TATGCCATCCCCCTCCCCACCCTAGGCTGCCCCCGCGGCAACCGCGCTGATCTGGGCCGGGAAAAACATCCGCCAACTGTTCATATAATTCCAACGATTGTAAAAGTTCATAGCTATCCCATACTAGTCATCCACTCTTGTTATTAGCTAGCCTTATAAAAATGTAGATAATATGTACTTAGTACCCTGTACAACTGTTGTGCAATAAAGTTTTAACTCTTGTAATGTTCTGTGACTAGTATGTAGATTAACTTACTTTGTAACTAATGTTAATTTCTTTTTGTGCTCAATGTGTGTTGTTTTCACCATGTTATCTGTTGTATATGCGTTTTTATTTCTGTATGAACCCTGGAATATTAGCCTTATGGGCTAAAGGACATCGCAATAAAGAGAAAGCAGAAGGGAACATGTTCTGTTGTGATGCGTTTTCTTCTCAGCCCCCGGGCTTAACACATTATGTGCTACGCGTTTATTTATGTCATTTTAAAACTAGTCATTGGAACATAATTTATGCACATTTACACATGCATAGTTGTGGAGGTGCGTAGGTACAATATTCAGCAATGATTTTGGCTCTTCTGTCGTGCTCAGACATTTCATTCAAGATGTATGTTTACACTGATCAAAGATGCGTGTATCATATGTATATACATGTACTGTATGTTTACATGCGCGTTTACATTATGTATATACCCAGATACACACGGGGATAACAACATAACTTCACAACATCATTGGTGAACTAAATTGGAAACAACAAAGTCCAAAATAGTGATGACAAGTGTTATGTGTAGAAGGTATACACACTTACAAAAACATATGCACCAACGTACATAATATTAGAAAAAGCCCTGCAGCCATATCATCGACACCGATGAGGGACACCTGTGCCTGGAGATACCGCAGCGCCTCCAAGTAAAGGTTTATTGATAAAAACGAATGAGTCGGGAAGGGTCAGGAATTGTAATGTTGTATACTTAAGAGAATTCAGGCATGGCTTAAGGGTAAAGTACAGGTAGGATTAAGACAACAACATATGTGAAAAGTGACCTAGATGATCCGTAATTATCTCAGCGTGATGCCGGCCCGTACTTTACTTTACTTACCCGTTTCATGCTTCCCACCGCCGGGCCGTCCATGGGCGCACTGCCGGGACAGTACACCAGACTGGTCCGCCTCTGCATCTGTCTCTTTCGCGTCTCGTACTTCTGGATCCTCTCCTCGATGTTGGAGGTTCTCTCGGCGCCGTGGTCGCGGTCGGTCTCGGCCAGGACGCACGCCTTCTCCAAGAACGCCGCCACCTTGTCCGTGACGTCTTCCCCGCCGTTGTTGGTGTTGTTGTGTTGAATATTGATCGGGGAAGGGGGAGTCTCGTCCAGTCGGTACTGGATCGACCTGGGGTTGGTCGAGTTTCGGCTCTGCATTCTCCGTAGAGGTGGCCGCCTGCGTCCGGGGAGGACGAACGTTAACTGTTCGGGGCGCCGACGCCTCGCCCTCGAGAGGCTTGGGCCCAAATCCGACGTCGAGTCGAGAGTCCACCTCCTAAAGCTCTCGTAGATAATATTGGGTGGATGATCTGTGGGGTAAGTTGCACTCACCTCGGTGTTATCCGTTGAGGAAGCTGACACGGAATCGGGGCTGTAAGTCCGTACAGTCGGCGCGCCTAGCAGCGCATGTTGCGTCCGCAGCGCCCTCCCCTGCCTCTGCTGAAGGAAGGTTCTCCGCGCGGCGTCGTGCTCGGCGCCCCGGGACCACTGCTGCCGCTCCAGTTGGTGGGACGCCTGCAGGTGACGTACCCGCTCCAGTGAGTTCGTCACGGACAGGCGGCGCCGCGTCTGGCACGTCTGTGTCTCCACCGCTTTAGCAGCGTCCATCTTATTCAAAATCCCTTTCCCGAAAAATAAAAGGAGAGAAGTTTATTGTGCTCTGTCGGTGACACAACGCCAAAATATCTGGTTGAAGAAATTCCTCGAGACTCTCCCTCTATCCCGGAGTTGGTAACTGGACAAAACTTTGAAAGTCCACCAGGCCTAGGTAGTGACTTCTACAACTAACCTGTCGTCCTCAACTGTTGTTTCCTGTTAGTCAATATCCTTCTATCTCGCCCCTCCCGACTGCACCTGTTCGTACCGCTCACCTACAATCCAATCCCGTAAATTAAACCCTTAAGCAGACCGGGTTATGAGGGGCGACGGTGCCATCCACACCAGATGATAATCACAGTTTTACGACCCATGTTTTACCACCCCGTGTGTGGCAGGAAGAACAAGCCATTAACATGTGAAGCTCACGTTCAGCCATGTCTAGTGACAACAGATCGCGAACCTGTAAGACGAACTCTGAAGCCTTGCCGAGAACCAAGCCACTATCTCCGCACACTGAGGCGTGGGGGCGACTTAATGAGTTAAGTGAAGTTTAATCTGGTGAATCTAATTTAAAAGTTAAGTAAACCCTACAGTACTTTCTCGAGCACGCCCCGTGTCAAGGAGGTGCTCGCCCACAATTACCGATGCACACACAGCGCGCCAAACTGAATTATCCGTCCATTAGGAGACACAGCTAACCTAATAAACTGGTTCACACGTTTCACAATGGGACCCTTTTATCTAATGCTTTATTTTCTAATAACTCTTACGTAGGTGCATGGTGCTTGTTGTCGCCCAAAGTTTCAGGAATGTTCTTAAAATAAGACGAAGAAAGGGCTACATATTATTAGAACTGGCTTTTCCAATTTCGATCCTTGAAACGGCAAATGTTAATCTTAAAAGCCCCGGATTAAAACAGACGTTATAGCTCATTTTTATTGATCTAGTAAAAGGATGACAAAGTATAAATTGTCGGGCATGGTAATGATATAGATGAATATGATGATGTATAACTAGAAGGAAATGAAAAAAACGTGTGAAGTTAAACATTTGACTTGGATATTGTATTATTGTCCTGATTCAGGTATGTCCAAGATATGTGGATTGTTGATTTCAAGAGTCGGTCCAAGCAGCACAAACAAAAGTACCGTACTGTTTGTCTTTGCTTTCTCGTAACATTTTTGTCAAATCAGTCCTGGCATTATATCAACATGAAGTTATGCCTTATGACTTCCGCTGCTATGTTGACGTCATAAAAATATGAGTCACCAAGACGTTTTCCTCAAGTGTAATTTAATCTTTTCTTTCAGTGTTGCTAAGCTCCTTGTATACATGTCGCCTGGCAAAGTTTGGTCTAAAAAAACTTCTCAGACGACATCCCCACACCTGGGTTGCCTCGCAACCGTCGCCATGGCAACGCTTCCCGCCAAGCACCCCGCGACCCGTCTGTGGGGGGTGGCGGGTCGATATGAATCATACTCGGGCCTTTGGTCGTTGCCGTGGTGACGTTATCTGCGTGATTGGCGGAGGTCCCGACTTTGGTCGTCCGATTTTCTCCCCGATATAACCCGTGCATGCTGCGGAGGCCAGTATGTAACATGCACCGCCGTAACCACAGTCTAGTTTGGCAAACTGACAAATAACTCCATAACTTGAAGGACTGTCACTTCCTACACCGCAGTGGAACACTTGACACTTAGTGGAAGTTACTATTTCTTGAAAACATAACTTTAAACAACAACATATAAGCTGTCTGCTTCAACGTATATACACACACATGTAGATATAACGCATTTTCCTTTTAAGATATTACTAAAGGCCTTGCCTAAAATCATTCATGAAAGCAAGAATACAAAGAATAAGAAGATGGTGTCTGATACACAGCCTGCATCGAGAAATATAGAAGGATATGGGACATATTCCTCAATCAAGATACATGTACAATATTTCAAATGTCTCATGAAAATGTGTCCTGAAAGAATTTCTTCTTCTGTTTTCCCACCTCACTACATTCTGTACTATCTCCCTATCGAAATAACTGACTGCCTCGCATTCCTCGATCCCCTATTATTATCACACGTACTTCTTCAGAGTTACTTGGCAACATATATGTGAGGGATTTCACTACTTCAGGGGGCAGTCATTCCTGTGCCGACCCGTATCGCTGCAAAGTTTGGATGTTTGTTTTCTTCGAATGCCACGAATGTCAGTTGCCATGTCACAATTTCTTGTTGTCGCCGTAGTTTATCGGTAACTAAAACAACGAGTGTCTACACAAAACTAAGAATAATTGAAATGTGCTAAACAAGGTAAGAATATCGTGCCATGCCTTCATACCTGCACTGACCCGTAACACAGAAAAGTTTTCCTGTTTGTTTTCTTAGAGTGCTGCGGATGTCAGTTGTCGTCATCGCAATTTCGTGTTGTCACCCCAGGTTTGTCAGTAGTCAAAACAACAAGTGTCAAACCTAAGTTATTCAACTGAACAAAAGTACTCGGTACGCGCTACGCTATTAAAAACGCTTTTGGCGGAATGACACTAGTACGATTTACCGTAACTCCGGTTCACAGTGAAATATCTTTGCTTGGGCAATATTGTACGATAAAAAATATTCTATCCACATTTTTCTGCATGTTCCTACCATAATTGACATGTAAGGCTTTTGGTAAGAATTTTGTTTGAACGGATTATGATAGAATGGGAGCATCTATACTATATTAGGAAACAAACGAGTGGCAGACAGACTAACCGAAGTGCTATCTAAGCCCAATTTTACCAATCGCTGGCACCTATTATATTTGCCTTCATACAGAAGTAGTAATCCATTGGAGAGATTTATAGATCTGATTGTCCCTAAAAGTCCCTGCCAAGAGCTTTTGAAGTGTTCTGTTTACCACGACGGAGGCCGCTCCCAGCCGGGCGTGATTAATCGGCTCCATTAAGGCCGGCATCACGAGTATGTATTGTGTTCTACAATGGCGATAGACCATAAAGTCTCGTAATTGTTTACCAAGGTATTACAAGATCCATTCGACTCGACATTTAACCTAGATTAGGTTTTAGTATTCTGTGACAACATTCGACTATATTTATCACATGCAGGTGCGTATCAGCACAGTATATTGTACACTGAAAGGTACATGTAGTCTCGTAGCCGTTTTCAGGCTCTAGCTAGGGGCAGTGGATTGTTAATCCACTGTCTAAGGCACAGTAGTGGAAGGTAGAGGCCATTCCCCTCCTTCCACCACATTTTACCTTCCCAGCTGAAGTCAGGTGGAGTGAGGGAAGTTGTGTAAAGTGATTTTCCCAAGGGCACAACATCTTGCCAGCAATCAAACCTCTCAATGTTCGTAGGCTGATCACAATAACACAGCCATAAACCTCTTTGATGAAGGTTCATTATAACGTCATTAATGACCATGAAAAGATTCGGCTCTGTGTTCACAACAGTAATAAACACGTTCACCGCATGTCGATTATAATGCTATCAGTAAAACTGCACCAATGCTAAATTTGCTGCCCTACTGTTTGTTCGAGTCTGTTGAAGAGATTATAAATATCTTGACTTTTCATCAGCCTCACATAAACCAGTTAGCTTCCCAGGATATGATTCACAACAACACCCCCAAAATAGCCCAAATTGAACTCGTACCCTTAAACCGAGGTTGGCTAAAGTTTAGGAGCAGTCTGACCAGATTTAAGCCACGTCCACCTTTTGATATGAATCAAATCGGTGTTAAATTTAGCTAAGTGAAAGTATGAATAGAATCTCCTTGGTGAAAGTAATATATGTGTATGTGCATGTGGCCATGTGCATGTATATAGAGGACAGCAAGACAATCCTAATCAACATGAAATCAGGACAAGTATACCAGGGGTAACAGGAATAAAATGTAAGATTTTTATGTTAGAATAAAATAGTTGTCAGTGTACACCAACTTACCATTGTAAATGTAACATTATATACTGTATATATACTGCATATGTTTTGTACGAGTTCCTGTACTTCCTTCCCAATGTTTTCAGCATATCCCCAGGCCATGGCATACTGCACTTAATACCTCCCTTCCCCCTTCATACCGGTAGCGACCTGTATACTGACCTTCATGGTTAAACCTGCCCCAGCTGATTTGTGATGCAATGTTTGGCAACAACAATACTTTCACCAAAGATTTCACGCTATTTGGTGTGTTGATATATTTGGTGAAAAATGTCTCAAACCTCCTTTGTGTTAGATTGTCTGTCAAAGACGGAAACGTTTGGACTCGCGAAATACAAAGGGAGGAAAAATATTTTGGCGACAAAAAGTGGAACACCTTTCCCACGCCCTAGTCACACACAGCCCTTTGTTTTCGGGTCATACCTGGTTTGTGCCTAATGAAAAAAAAGATAATCCTTGAGCACTGAACCTGTACTATAGGGGGAAGGCTAATGAGTTTTGGTTGAAATACCAGTCATACACTATTCTCGGTGAATGCAGAGCTCCGTATGAGCGGGTGCCAAACAAGGACAAAAAAGGATGGCATGGAAACAGTCACTGTGCACCTTTTTTTGTAGAATGCGGGTCTTGGTGCGTGCCACATGCAGGGTACTGCAGCAGCTTCGTGAACTTCCACAACAAGAATTCTACAGTCTACAGCCAAAGTCTGCACATGTTGTGCTTACCATCCATGTTTGTTACCCTAAGTGAGAGAACACCTTCCCATCCACTGCAGTAGTACTACTAAGTAAAACTACAAAGTCACAAACAAAAACATACAAAGTTTCTATGTAAATGTTTTATTTCAATTCTCTTCAGTACCCTTGTAAATGAAGGCTTACAAACTATGACACTTTTACCTCGAGATATTAGAAAGGAATGCTTTATTAAATGTTGGGAGAAACATATACAGTGGCGTCTGATCGGCTGTTTTAAGAAGACACCTGATACCCTAGTGGGTCGAGGTTCTGGTCCAGCAGCTGGATGGAGGAGTCTCGCAGCTTCTGCAGAAACCTCTGCAGCTCATCTCTCCTGAACACCTAACGGAGATGGACAGAAGACATGGTAGGATCAGCTCAACATGTGATAAAATCAGGTCATAACATGGCAAGATCAACTTAAGATATGGTCAGATCAACTCAAGACATGGCAAGTTGAACTCAAGATATCATCAAATCGACCTAACACAATGTCAGATCAACACTAGATATCATCAAATCAGCTCAAGACATGGTAAGATCAACTCAGCACATTTTCAGATCAATTCAATTCAACTCAAGACATGATCGTATCATCTAAACACATTATCAGAACAACTCAAGATATGATCAGATCAACCCAAGCCATTATCATATCAGCTCAAGACATGATTAGATCAACTCAAGTCATACATGTAGTAAGATTTAACACAAGACATAGCAAGATCAACACAAGGCATGATTAGATCATCACTTAATCCACTCAGCCAACCAATTCCCAAAGGATATTGACAGAACACACAGTAACCAACTGACCGAGCATCCAATAGCAGGGCTTACCGTGTAGAGCTGATGCTGTTCTGATGCGATGATGTCTGCGAGCACCATGCAGTCAGCGTAGCGGCGTGTCTCGTGCAGGACGGTGTGCAGCAGGAGGGCCATGGTGGGCAGGCACAGCTGCCGCAGCAGGTCCAGCTGGTGGGTCCGACCCTCGTCCTCATCACTCTCCTGCGGGAGACAGGTAGAAACAGGTCATCACCATTTCTTGTCTTAGCTTCTAGTACATGTACTGGTGATTCGGTGTAATAGTATTGATACCAGGTTGTTGAGTGTAATACCAGGTTGTTCAGTGTAATATAACCAGCTGCAACTGTGCCTGTGAAGCTAGTGTCTTATGCCAAAGGGCAGTTATACCGGCTATGCAGATACAGGTAACGTTCACTGTTTTCACGGTCATCAATCTGCACTGTGAACTCATGATCATTACCGTTATCAAACTGTTTGTCTATCGTCAACCTCCCCGCACTTGCTGCCCCCTGTAAAAATTAAGTTCCATAAGCACGCCCATTTTTCCAAGACTGTAAAATTTTGCTGCCATCAACACAGTGAATTACAGTACTAGCCCAAGTAGCAAAGATGATTTCAAGTGTCACCTCTCTGAGCCTCACATATGAAGAGCTTGTTCAATCAGAGTTTAAAAAAAAAACAGTCACTGTGTCATAATATGTTAAAAATACTGTTTTCTACAGACAAGACTGACCATTCTCTGGTCGACCATCCAGCCATCAGGGAACAGCAGCACATTGTAGATCTTACTGACGACGTCGTCTGTCTGCAGGGACAGGGAGTGGTGCCACCTGCTCACCTCCACCTCATACTCCTGCTCTCTGTGCTCATGTTTCACCTGTAACTCACACAAGTAAGACAGTACACATACAGGTACACACATATAAACCACATACAACACATCTACCACAGCACACATACATGTACACTACCACCTCATACTCCTGCTCTCTGTGCTCATTTTTCACCTGTAATTAACACAAGTAAGTACACACATCAGAGCACATACACACACACATCATCCTCAGCACACATGCAAACCCACAGCACTCATTTACACCATTTACAGCATATATACACTGATACACACCACCTTCAATACCGGTATGCATGCAATCTACTGGTACAGCACACATACACACCACCCACAACACTCATTTACACCATCTACAACACTCGTATACACCATCTACAGCACATATACATACCACCTACAACAGTACATGTAATACACTTTGTCCACAGGCTCAGCACACATACACACCATCAACAACACTCAACATACAAACACCACACACACACACACACGAACCACACACATACACATACCACACACAAACACAGCACACATACACACAACATACCCAGTTCTCTCACCTTCTCTGTGAAGTTTGCCCCCTCCTGTAGTTTGGGTCTGTGTGGTTTGTTGTGGTGGAAGTGAGTGAACCAGTCGTTGAAGGCGTCGTGTGCCATGAGGAATGTCTGTATGCAGATGTACTCCCTGATGGCGTTATCGTCTTCAGCGGGAAGTGGTGCACTACCGTTCTGGGAAAGGCAATGAAGAAAGAAATTAACAAAAATTCTTCAAACTAATGGGCCATTGTGTCCCCTATCCCTTATCAGTGAAAATACCACTTCCACTGAGTGCCTTTCTGGCCTTCTCAAATGATCTGTCAATGCATATTGAGCATCTGCAAAATATACTAGTAAGCCTTTATGAACTATGAACTGAGCTTATTATATGTCTATATAATGGAACTTGTCTAACCTTTTCCTTGCTGTCTAAACACATAGCCTATACAAATTTAGTGCCAAATTTCTACATAGCAGGATGGAGGTTAAGCTACTATCAAACTTTGCCCAAAGTAATGAGCTAACTTCCCAATATCTCTTACTAGTATACACAACGTATACTAGTAAGATATGTACACCAGTAAGAGTACATTTGTACACACAATGTAACAGCATGCAAAAGTTAAAATTTTCCGAGCAAATTTTCCCCCTAAACTAGTACTGGAGTCACCTGTATCTGCCACTGCCTGTTGATGACGTCCACAGACCCTGAGGGGATCTTCTCAAACACTTCCTTTGCTGCCGCGTGTTTCTTCATGGCCAGGAAGGTCCGCATCACAGCGTTACTCTGCTTCAGGGCCTCCGCCCGCTGCGATTCGTCAAACACCAGCCAATCGATGGCCCTGATCTTCCGCCTGTCCTCCTCGGACGTGGCGGCCTCCAGGGCGGCGGTGACCTCCGCGCTGACCTTGAAGTCACCTTGGTCGTGGGTGCGGATGTTCTCCACCACCGTCTTGGTGATGGTGGGGATGTCCAGCCCTGGAGGATTGTGGGAATGGATGGATTAGTTACCCTGAAAGTTCATGAAGCGAGTTTGAGCTATTTTGCAAATGTACCAGCACTAACATACTAAGTTACAAAATTGAAGTATGAAAGAAATAACGGCAATGGTTTCTGAACAGTTTTTAGCAATGATCCATGCTTCCCGAATTCTGAGTGGTGGAGGTAAAATTTTGTCTGGTGCAGGTAATTTTCACCTGCATCAGTGCAAGTGTGCAGAAAAAAAGTATTTCAAACTCTGTACTGGCTTTTTCTTCTAACCCCTCCAACAATCCCTTACCTAGCAGCTATCTTCCTACATTCTATATATAATTCCCTAACCTGCTTCCTCTGCCAGCTCCAGGCACATCTGCCTCTGCGAGTGTTCCTCCACGCGCTCCAGGAAGTGTGCGTACAGCAGCACCTGTCGGTCCAGCGGCAGGGTCGCCGTGTAGAACGCCACCAGCTGGGTCTCACCTGCCTCCATCAGGGTCTGGGGAAGCCAGGGCGTGAGATCAGAACCAAACAAAAAAAAATTGTACACAAAACCCTGACAGAGGTCATTGGCAAGTTCAGTGGCAGGCTAACATCGACTTGTCAGAACAGATCATCATCATCACTAGGTCATGATGGTTTCACTCATTAACTCCCTTCCTCTATCTCTCCCTGTCCTCTATAGCTTTATGTAGATCTTAAGTGCAGCAAGTATCCTCACATAGAATATAAATACAGAAAAACAACAGAAAAAACATGACTTTTGTGTCATGTCTTTTATAACAAAATCAAGGAGGAAATAAGATTGGTATAAATGTGATGGCATAAACAAGGATGGGATAAACGACACAGTATCAGCCACCAAATGCAGAATATTTCACTCTCCCCTCTTTTCCAAAAGTTGGCAGTGGGACCTACCCTGAAAACCAAGGGAAGAAATATAATGCATATTATGTAACAAAAGGCACAATACATGTATTTCTCAGCAAATGCAAAATGTGTCAACTCTATGTTAAAAGCTGTCAGTGGGACCTACCCTGACGTAGTGCTCCAGAATAGCGGTGCACAGCTCGTCCTTGGTGTGGACTCCGATGGAGCGGAAGAACAGGACCAGGTGGGCCATGAAACGCACCAGGTGCTGGTGGGGAGGGGAGTCAGCTTTTATCCACTCACTCATGGTCTCTATCAGCCCTACAGAGCAGAGGAGGTAATATGTTACAACTGGATGAGAGATCAAAACTGAAAAGTTCTGCTGCAGTACTGTGGACTGCTGCTAGATTGCCCAAAATCTAATTACAAAATGTACTTTCAGCTTTTGTCACAACCTACCAACAACCCAAATATCATTAAGATCCATGCACAAACACCCAAACAAACGAATTCGCAGGCTTATACAGGCAACCAGAGGATCAGTAATGAACGGTCCCTACCGTCCACGTCCCCCAGAATGATGTATTTCTGGATGATGTGGAACGGCTCCTCTGCTTCTGACTGGACCCCTTCATGTGGAGATGACTGGAGCTCCTGTAACGGAAAATGGTTCAGAAACGTTGCAACTTGTTCCTTTCATCACTACATTGTCTCCGCATTCCCTCGTATGTCAGCCTTCAGTGGAATGACATAAGGTGTAGTGGGCCTGACCACCCCCATTTCTCACTTGGTAGCTCCCAGAATGAAACTCCCATGATTCCTTGCTGCGCATGCGCACTGGTCAGTCTTAATTTTTTGAGCCTCTGGCAACACACCCCCGGTGTTTTTCTCTTGGTAAAATGGGCTCGAAGCGCGAGGACAGACGACGCAAGAGTTCAAGAGCTCCCGAAGAGCGGGAGGAGCGCGCGCGCTCCTCCTCGAGGCACGCCAGCCGCAAGAGGACGGCGTCCAGAACCGAGCACATGGCGCCCCCTCCCCACCTGGGGGCGGCCATGATGGTTCTTCACAACATTCACAGCCGCCCAAGTTGCGGCCTGTTACGGCCCCCGGGCGACGACGTGGAGTCCACGGCGGGCGGAATCGAGTCTGAAGAACTTCATGAGGAAGAGAAAGACACACGTGTCGACTCTCAACTCGAGAAGAGGAGCGAGGAAGAAGTCTTTTTGGAGACTCAAGAGAAGAATGGTGACAGCAGTGCCGTACGTATATCTGCCTTAGAGCAGAATTTCTCTTTGCTTTCAGATAAGCTGGACGGACTTCAAGAACTGCTGGTCAACCAACTGACGTCTTCAGAACCCTCGAGGAAGCGGCGAGCTTCGACTGGCGGGGGACCGGTTGCAGAGAAGCGGCAGCGCTTCACAGCTCAGCCGGAAGAAGGGAGGGGGCGGCAGCACCTTTCCCGACGACAGCGCGTCATCCGACGATGGCGGCGATGACTTCAGCGCCCTAGAGCCGTTTGACCCGACAGCCAACAAGGCCAAGGAGCCCTGGGAGGCCGATGATATTGTCATTCGGTTCTCCGAGAAGTACTTCAAGCACGAGAACCAGTGCAGGGGAGAGGCTCTAGAGAGCTGGCAGAAGATGCATGACTGGCCAGACAACAAGCCGGACAACATGGTGGCACCGGTCCTGAACGATTTCTTGTCCCGTGCTGTCATCGAGAACGACAAAAGCAGGGTGAGGTGATCGTTTCTCACGATAAAGCATTGAAAGGGGTACAATCTAATCTTGTACAAGTGGCTTGCCCTTTAATGAATCTTTGGCAACTCATTCAACGTTGTGACAAGGATAGTTTTGAAGAGTTTCAAGTGACAATGAATGATTGTGCTAGTTCAGCCATGGCACTTCTGGGATCAGTGAATTCACAGTTGTCATTCACCCGACGTTCCTTTGTGTCCGAGTCTTCTCAGAAGAAGTTCAGGGACATCTTCAAGAAGCCTTCAGATGATCCCCAGTACCTGTTCCCACCAGATCTGGGCTCTAAGGCTAAAGAGATGGCTTCAGAGGACAAGGCAGTCTCCGGGCTGCTGCAGAAGGAGGGGTCGACCAACAAGGCTTCAGGGTCGTCCCAGAACTTCCGTCGAGGCGGCGGCGCCGGTTCGGGCGGTAACAGGGGAAGGAACACACGTTACTTCCCAGAACCAACTACAGCTATGCAGGTAGCAGCTACCAGTCACGTCCATCTTACTACAACTCATCCCGGTCTTTTCGCTCCAAGCCGGCGGGGACGGGAAGCGACAACAGAAGAAGTAAGCACCCCATCTACTACAGAGAGTGGGGCCCGGCGTTCGACCGAACTGCAAAGTGTACCTCATCCGTCTCCGCTGCCTCATGCCGGCAGGTTAGCCCACTTCCTTCATCGGTGGCAGCAGGTGACTACGGATCCATGGATCCTTCAATGTGTCCAGGGGTACAAGTTGGAGTTTGCGACAACGCCGCCAATTCAGGGACGTCTTCCACTGTCCCGACCGAGAGACGACGCACAAGCGGCAGTCTTAGACGAGGAGGTAAGAACCTTACTCACCAAGGGAGCAGTTACAGAAGTTCCCTACCATCACACACAGTTTGTTTCAACTTTGTTCACAGTACCCAAGAAGACAGGGGGTCGTTCGACCGGTCATCAATTTGAAACCCTTAAACAAGTTTCTTCACAAGCAACGCTTCAAGATGGAGAGTCTTCGCCTCATCAAACATCTAGTGCGGCCAGGGGATTACATGGCCAAACTAGACCTGACAGACGCATACTTTACCATCCCAGTTCACAGAGACGATCGCAAGTATCTGACGTTTCACTGGAGAGGAAGATTCTACCAGTTTCAGTGCCTACCCTTCGGCATCGCCACCGCACCTCGTGTCTTCACCAAGGTGATGAAGGTACCCATCGCACTTCTGCGTCGGCGAGGGTTTCGTCTGGTAGTGTATCTGGACGATATTCTAGTGATCGCTCACTCAAGAGAAATGTGTCGGAAGGTGCTTCAAGCAGCCATCGATCTGATCTCCAGTATGGGATTCGTGCCCAACTTATCCAAGTCGGTACTGGAACCGACTCAGCGTATCACCTTCCTCGGCTCAGGCATCGATTCAACACTGATGGTGATGTACCTTCCCGAGGACAAGGTGTCAGCTCTACAGCAGATGGCGGACACACTTCTGTCAACAGATTGCCCGGTGTCAGCAAGAGATCTTGCAGGGATCATCGGGAAGCTACAAGCCACAGCACCGTCGGTCTGGCACGCTCCACTTCACTTCCGGTATCTTCAGCGTCTGCTTATCAGAGCTCTGCGAACGTCAAGAGGTCACTGGGAAGGTCAAGTCTCTTTGACAGCAGCCGCCCGCACGGATCTGGTCTGGTGGAGAGACCAGTTGGCCAACGCGAACAGTCGACCGATTCTCGCTCCCTCAGCGGACTTGGAGGTGGAATCGGATGCGTCAGGTACAGGTTGGGGCGGCTTCTGCAATGGCGTCCACACCGGAGGCCGTTGGACAGAGAGAGAGAGCAGAGCTCACATCAACGTCCTAGAACTTCAGGCAGCGTCGATGACAGTACGCGCCTTCTGCAAGGACATCGAGAATGGTCACGTGAGAGTTCACTCGGACAACTCTACTGTGGTGGCATACCTGAACAGGCTGGGCGGCACACGGTCGCTCGCTCTACTGAACGCCACGCTGGATCTTTGGCAGTGGTGCGCCGACAGGAACCTGTCTCTATCAGCGAAACACATCGCAGGCAGGGAGAACATTCGAGCAGATTTTTGCTCTCGACATTTTTCCGTAGCAACGGAGTGGTCTCTGGAACGGAATACGTTCCTGAACCTTCAGGCAACGTTTCCACTACTCAGTCAGGGGGTGGATCTGTTCGCCAGCAGAACCAACCGACAACTGGAGCAGTACGTGTCGTGGCATCCAGAAGCGGAAGCCATGGGAACAGACGCCTTCACACTACGGTGGAACGAGTGGGAACTAGCGTACGCATTTCCCCCCTTCAAGCTGATCCCGCCAACACTGCAGAAAGTGCGGGAGGACAGAGCTCAGCTAATCCTGATAGCACCAGTGTGGGACACTGCGGTATGGTATCCCGTTCTACTAGAAATGGTGGTGGAAGAACCGATCCTCCTACCCCAGCACGAGCATCTCCTGATCCAGGTAGAGTCTGGGCTGCCGCACCCAGAGGGCAGCAAGCTGCAACTAGCCGCATGGCATGTTTGCGGAGACAACATGCGGTGTACGGCTTTTCGACAAAGGTTAGCCGAATTCTACTGGCATCATGGAGGGCAGGAACACAGCGTCAATATTCCTCGGCCTGGGACAAGTGGAGTAGCTGGTGCCGTGGACGGGATCTTGATCCCGTTTGTGCTCCTCTGAGTCAAGTGTTAGAGTTTCTGTTATCTCAACATGAGAGAGGGCTCCAGTACCGCACAGTGAACGTGTACAGATCAGCCATCTCGTCCACACATCTTCCCCTGGAAGGTCGTCCGCTAGGGGAACATCCTTTGATGCGCAGGTTTATGAAAGGTCTGTTTGAATTGCGACCTCCTTTACCCAAGTATTCGTTCACTTGGGATGTCAGGCAAGTGTTGGACTTCTTGCGCCGCTGGTCCCCGGCCAACTCCTTATCTCTTCGTCAGCTAACACTGAAGCTGGCTATGTTAGTGGCACTGGTATCAGCAGGAAGGGAGCAGACACTTTCGTTCCTGGACGTAAAACTGAAGCGAAGAATTCCAGAAGGAGTTTGTTTCCGAGTAGAGAAGCTGACAAAGACTTCTCGTCCGGGCAGTGTGATTCAGGAGATCATTCTACCCAAGTTTGAAGAGGACCGTAGGTTGTGCCCAGTTCGATATTTGAAAGTGTATTTATCAAGAACTCGGAGTTTTAGGTTATGTGATAGTTTTTTGTTTCGTGCCCTGGTGGAACCGCACCAGGCAGTTACGTCAGCAACTATAGCTAGATGGCTGAAGACTGTCTTAAAGGAAGCGGGAATAGACACACGTCAATTCACAGGGCACTCGACACGCAGTGCGTCTACTTCAGCAGCACAACTGCAGGGAGTATCTACCAAAGACATCATGAGAACAGCCAATTGGTCGTCTTGCAGTACGTGGGAGAGATTCTACAAGAAGCCTGTGGTGAGCAACAACTTTGGGCGAAGTCTCCTGGCCTCAGGCTACAAAGGCACCTTATGTCATTCCACTGAAGGCTGACATACGAGGGAATGCGGAGACAAATGAGAATTGTACGAACTGACCTGTCAGTGATGGACAGGTTCAGTTGTCTCCGCATCCCTCTAGGTCAGCCTCCCTCCCTGTCAGATCATCCTAGAAGTCTGGTGGATGAAGCCCTCCCGAGTACACTTCGGCCAGGAGCCTCTACAAACAGAAGACTGACCAGTGCGCATGCGCAGCAAGGAATCATGGGAGTTTCATTCTGGGAGCTACCAAGTGAGAAATGGGGGTGGTCAGGCCCACTACACCTTATGTCATTCCACTGAAGGCTGACCTAGAGGGATGCGGAGACAACTGAACCTGTCCATCACTGACAGGTCAGTTCGTACAATTCTCATTTTTCAGCCATGGAGATAATATCTGGTGTTGAGATATTGTCAATTTGATAGTCTTCACTTCAGCTAACAGTGAAAATAAATACCAGCATTAGCTACTATTGAATGGAAAAAGACATTCTATTTCTATGTATTAGGGTGATCACAGTTGTTTTTGTTTACATTATAATATACATGCAAATTGGTAAGCAAATCTTGACACAGTCACGCTTTTTTGCCTACTACTCACAGGCCGTGATGTCATGCTGATCACTCGTACTGCTGTTTTTATATTTGTATATGCTTGTATGTATGCTCTTGAGGAGTGGGCCCCTTGTCTGATCATCATATAATCAAAAAACAAACCTTAAAGATGGCCTCAGGTGTGAGTACCCTGTCCCAGTACGCGGGGGGGAGGGGTTCCATGGGGCGGTCTCCGCGCACCGTTCGGATCTCCTGCTCCACACGCGAGTCCACCATCACCTTGTAGTACGCCCACAGCCAGTCTTCCCAGGATTCACAGGCAGGCAGCAGCTGCAGGGGCAGATTCAGATTTTATTGCAATCAACTTGCAGGTTACATACACTTGTGTGATAACATGAAATCAAGGAGGTTAAATACAAACTTGTATCACGTGTAAATTACACATAAAGACGAATGTACAAACATGTTAAAAGCAATGAAAAATGGGTCAACACATGTCATTCAGAATCAAGTAGGTAAAATTAAAGCCTAGTACTGTTATGTCATATCAATATGGATTAGCTATTAATTGAATAGCTTCAAGGCTCTAGTATGAGGTCACAATGTTAGGAACACTAGTGGCGGGGACGGTAACCTTAGTCTCTTTGGTTGGTATAGAAATGTGTTACAATCCGGTTCAGCTTACAGATATGTGCATTGTATTCTCCAATACTGGTTTTCTCCAGGACAAATTGACAGTACACAAGGAAACTGTTCCTCAAGCAGTTGCAAAGATATTGAAAACTGTCCACTTTTTGTCAGTGACTAATGGAATCTGTAGTCGAGTCGTACAGGTATTTATCCCAAAATAATGAATTACAGAATATTCAGTTGCAATTTGTTGAACTTTCTGTCCACATGTACAAAGAATTGAAAAAAAAAAACAGCTTAAAGTTCTGATTGATAAGAAAGCTCAAATGTTGAAATGTTTCCCCCACCTCCTTGAGGTTGCCGCTGAGTGCAGCATACACAGCTCTCTCGTACAGGTGTACGTGTTCGTCCTGCGCCATCCTCCAGCAAACTGCCTTCCACACATCTCGGTTTGGGTTCCCTTCTATGGGTGACAACTCACTGGAACCTGGAATATTTGTAAGACCGCAAAATGAAAGTCACATACAGTAAGGCAGGAATTTTTGGTCACTGGTGGGAAATTACTAGTACTTGATGAGTCTCTGACTCTTGCATCTGCTGTTTTGCACCAACCTCTTGAAGTTATGATAGTGGTCTATACATTTGGGAATCACAGCATTAGATTCAAACAGAAGACACATTTGTATAGAAGCCTCCTTGCAATATTTGCCCAAACTGCAGCACATTCGTATACCCTGTAGAAGGCCTGATGGAGGCTACTTACCCCCGCCCATGTTGGGATCATGGTGCAGTCTCCATCCCTCCAGAGTGGCTGCTCGCCAGGACTGACCACATTTCCTGCACAACCTCTGGGCCTACAGCACAGGGAAACAAACACTGCTTACATGTCCTCTGCTTTTGTAACTATACGCAACAAACGCGTACAAATCTAGTCTAGATGACAAACACAAATCCTGAGCAACACCACACAGTGGAAAGGTCTTTTGTGGTTAGAGTTGTTAACTAAGAATCTGAAGGTTCTTTTTTTTCAATCCCTGGTAGGCCCCAATGTTGTGTTCTTGTGAAAGACACCTAACACCCATTTCCTCACTCAAGTCAAGTGACAATGAGCACCTAGCTTCGGTTAGGGATGGGATGTAAATCTGGAGGTACAGTGTTTGAGGAGCCACACCTGGGAAACATTAAACATCCTACTGTACTTATGATCGAAAAGAGTAGGGGTCCTTCCTGGTGTGTGAGCGGATCAAACCTTTCAGTCTGGATTTATGCAGCTTGTACTTAATGTACAAAACTATTACACTTATAGGTAGTTTACCGGTTATGGAAAATGAACAAACAAACACCATTTTCTGTTCCTACCTCCTCCAGCTGCCCCGCCCGCAGGTAGGTGAAGATGTACTTCAGCAGGCCTACCATGTAATGTAGCTAGCTGCCGCATGCCTGCAAAGCTGCTGTGTTATACCAAAGGGCGGTTATACTGGCTATACAATTACAAATACAGATACTTTCTGTCCCTACCTCCTCCAGCTGCCCCGCCCGCAGGTAGGTGAAGATGTACTTCAGCAGGCGCACCTCGTCCTCCTTATCCAGGTCAGCCAGGGGCCGCTGCTGTCTGATGGGCGCATCAGGGTCCATCTCTGTCACCAGCGCCCTGCTGCCGTGGGTCAGGCCACTGCCCTGCTGCAGCGTGTGCAGGGTGTTCTCCCTGTAGGAAATATGAGAAGCTCCAAATAAATTTTAGTGCAATAAGGTGCACATGTACCCAGTATTTCAAGCCCTCACTGTGTATCAAGTAATCTTGACACAGCTACATGTAGAACGTGATGAAAGCGATCAATAGCTGATAGTGAGAGAAAGTTTTATCTGCGATTCTTACAGTTGCTACAAAAAATAGAAATAAAAGATTTCTGGTCAGAAACCTTGCTTTGAACGCTATGATGTCTATACTAGTATTATAGTAAGTGACGTTGACCATCAGAATCAAGACTGACTCACCAGCAAACTGACTGCGAGTAAAACTCCACTTTCTCGTAAAAGTCCACCACATCGTCCGCCGCGTTCCTCTCCAGCCAATCGATGACCAGCTGACTCTGTCTGGTGGACGCTTCCCGTTCAAACAGCGCCTCCACGATCTTCCGCTCGCTCACGTTGTTGTTCACCAAGTCCGTCATCATCGCCTCCGACTCTGAGAACTCCGACTGGATTCTGTCCCTGTACGAGGCAAAGTTTGAATTATTCCCAATTCACAACAAGCATTGAAGAGTCTTTGGTTAGATAAGACATGGCTTGAATTAGTTGTTGATCCTGATCTACCCAAACATGATTTAGATGTAGATCTGACTATGATCCTCTGACTGGATTCTGTCTGTGTAGAACGCAAAGTTTGAAACTTAGCTTTCTTAAATGGATGCACAGCAGACCTGATCATGATGAGTACATAAGAAAGTGTCTTATTAATTATGAATAGAAATATGCAACTGCAATACAGTATGAAAGAAATAATGACAATGGTTCCAGAACAGTTTTAGTATGATCCATACTTCCTACATTTACCTACGTAAAGTTTGTCTGGTGCAAGTATGCAGAAAAAAAGCATTTCGAGTCCTGGACATGTCACACGAATAGACAAGTTCGTGTACTGACTTGTACATGGAGAAGAGCAGTCTCCAGGTGCACTTCTCCTGCTGCAGCAGCTGCAGGACCGTCAGGGTCAGCTGGAACTTGTTCTGCGCCGTCGTCACCTTCTTCACGATCCTCTTCAGCAGCGACACCTGCTCGCAGCACACCTGCTGGTACTCGTCCAGCAGCTCAAACACCTCCTTGGAGGTTGGTCGGGCACGCAGGCGCTGCATGAACTCTGTGTACACACCTGAGGAGGCTGGGGAAGAATGGGAACTTTGTAAGACAATCATGATAACCATAGAATGGTGGCTGTCAGGACTCCAACCTGTGTACATGGTCTAAGGAGCACATGAACTCCTTGTACATACCTGAGGACTGGGGTATGAAAGGGGATTGTGTGACTGGGGTTGCCATGACAATTACCATGGTAACTGTAATAGAATGGTGGCTGTGTACATGCCTGAGGAGTACATCAACAGAAGTTTACGTACTGTATCTGCGCAGTGAAAGTGTCATATCCAAGGCAAACACACTGTCTCTATGGTAATTCCATCACCCCATAAACTTCCCATCTCTATAGTAACTAACCATCTGCATCTCTATGGTAACCCCTGTTGCCATGGTACAGTACCCTGACCTCCTCCCTACCTGCCAGACCTGGGTCCTCCTCCAGCAGGAGTGACATGTTTGTGGATGTGATGTCCTCAGTCATCCCACCCGGTGTGTACATCTCCATGGTGGATGGGGGCCTCTGGGCAGGGGTGTGGACCTTCAGGAAGTGACAAGTGTTATGATTGAAAGTTATGGCGCAATAAAAAAAAGCAGCAAGCAGGAGACCCATAAATCTTCTCAATACCACAGTCTAACCTGCACACCAAAACCTCCATGATTCAAAAAATGGACTAGTTTGTTCTCCTGGCAGCAAAAGGCAAACTTTGGGTCACCGTGTACATAGCAGTAGTTAAGTTTGTCACCAAACTCTGCCATGCATGGCTTTAGGCCCTTCTCCACATTTGGGGGTGGGGTGGTGTGTGTGTTTGTTGGAACAGGATCTTCAGGTGGCCAGCTGTATTTAGCTATTTAATCAGGCTTAATCAGTGGTCATTTCCTGGAAATTAGACCTATAGACTTAAATGGTTTAACCCTTAGCATACTTGGTGACTTGATATGTAGTTGGTGAAGGGTTTAAAAGTGTTAACTGACCATGGACTGTGACAGAGGCATGGATTTGGCCGGGGTCATTCCCAGGGACATGCTGACATCAAACTGCGATGTGGACGGGACCGGGCGCGGTGTGTAGCTGGCGTGTCGCAGCTGGCTCCCCGGGGTCCGCGCCATCCGCAGGACCGGGCCGGGCGTTCCGCCGACCGCCTGGTCAAGCAGCTGCAGGGCTGGGGCCAAGGTCAAGGATGCACCAGACAGACATACATGTGTAATGTGCAGCTGAATCAGATTCTTAACAAGTGAAGTAGATGCTTCATGTTTCTTTCTCCATGCCACCTAACCCTAGCCTGGGTGCCATCCCCAGTAGTATATTCGCAAACTCTATAACTGGGTCTGGACTTGCACACATATGTAGCGTCTGGAGTCTAAATATTCGTTCAGATTTTGAACGAGCGCGCTGATTGGTCCTACTCGTCTAAGCCCTTTTTGGGGTATGTACATATTAGGTAAGGGCCGTTCGGACGTCCGAACGGCGACGTTAGCGTCCGTTCGAACGTCCGAACGCCTTATCATCAACATGTCCGACGGCGAACCGAACGCTAAAGCGCACATGATATAGCCGTAGTCAGTCTTTCCGCGATAAATCATCAACATGGCTGACGCACAAGCCGCTCAGCTCACGGAGGTTGATGTTGACCTCGCAATTAAAAATGAGCAAAAAGATGCATTGAATAATTTCGTTCGTGATGTTTTGGGCGTCCTACCAGTAAAAAAAAGAACGCACCGAGAAAAGGAACACTCGCGCGAAGATCTGTGTTTACAAAACAACAAACATCACTTGAATAATGCAGGCGCGCCATTGGCCGTCGCCTCTGAGGCTCAGCCAATCAATAATGAAGCCCCGCTGCTCGGGCTAGCTCATTACGTGACGTCATGACCAATCGTTTTATATGTGATCAAGTCCAGACCCAGTTATAGAGTTTGCGAATATACTACTGGGGATGGTACCCAGGCTAACCTAACCCCTGGGCCCATAACCAAGTTTATATACAATGTGTTAAATCCATTACAGGTATATTTGCCTTCCTGGACTTCTGACAATAACAATACATAATACCATGGAGGTACCTCCATGATAATACGTACATAATTTGTATCTAATAAAACTGCTAGAAGGTGCTAATACATACAAGGTTTGGAGGGGAAAAAGTACATGTAAATCAATTACAAGTCAGCTAAGATACAAACGTACCAAAGAAGAACACATTTGTTTATGGCAATAATGTTAAAAATCAAGATTTAACCTCATTATACAAGGATACATTTCTCGACATTGGTGCTTCTCCTGCGTAGCGTCCTGCTGGCCGCCTCCTGGCGAACTGCGGGTGACGCCGCGAGGGCAGCGGTAGGGAAGGACGGTCTCAAGTTCTTACGGAGCTGCCGTCTCTGGTCCAAAGCCTCGTTCATGGCGCTTGGGTTGAACTCTGCTCCCTCCTGAGACATCTATACAAAAATTATGATTACACACCAGTTACTAAGACGTGGTGGCCACCATTTAGTATAAGTACATGACTCAGCTTCACACTAGCACGAGTCACCAAGTGTTAATACCTACAGAGACATACTGACTCTGAACTGAACCAAGCGAAAAACTAGACTAGAGACCACGTCTAGCGACATAAACGTTAAACAAGAACAACAACAACAACATGTGCTAGTATATGTGTAAAAAGAGAGCGCATTTATATGATAAAATTATGGCAGGTCCAGAACTTTTCCGGTCACTAAAACCAAGGACATTATCTGTAAAAACCGAGTCAGACGCACTCGGACAACACGTGTGGGGGAGGGGGGCAACTTTCACTTTGTAAACCACTTTTTGTGTCCCGAAAATCTTAACAATCTGTGGAAAACATAGAGAATTCTTGGAGTCTACTAAGATCTGTGAGACACTCACTTGCCAAATGACCCCGATGGTGGAGTCTGCGGCGTCCGAGAAGGACGCAGACAGACGATCTCCGGGAGGTTTCCGACCGGACTGAAAATCTTTTCCCGCCGCCGCCATTTTGAACGACTAGACTATTCCATCATTGCAGTACAAGGGTAGATTTCCGTCACAAAGACCAGTTACTGTCACGTATATTTTGGAGTAAAAGTACAGCAAAGCTACCAGTAAAACATAAATTAGTGTAATGAGGATAAACATATTGAAAACTAAGTTATAAAGTTTTGATGATTGAAGATGCAAATGAATAAGGAATTTTTGAAGAATGCTTCCTCCCCCTAAAATTATTGAGAATGGTCCACGGCACATTTCCGTTTTGAAACGAGAAGTTTGTGTTACTTCTTTTCCTTGGCAATATATGAGGCTTCTCTAGCTGTTCCTTACTTTACAAAGGCAGGTTAAAGCCGAGAATTACTCTAACATCATATGAAAACGTTACAGGTCCAGAAATTGATTTCGGGTCAAAGGTCAAAGGACAACGACCTCGAACGTGCCCAGGTGTGCATTGCTTCGTGTGTTGTTGATAACATTTGCTGAAGCCTGTCCTGACAAGTTTTGATGTGTAAGAACTGGAGGTGATCACTTGGTAGAGGCATCTGTTGTCTGCGTTTGCATCATCAACGTATATAAGATCCTCGATCAAGATATGGGAGACAGAAAACGGAGCCTACCTCAAGATGCAAAAGAACCGGACAGCAAACGGAAGAAATCTCAGCCCGCTTCCGGGTCTATAAAGAGGGGGAAAGCAAGTTCAAGTCTTAATCCGAATGTTCCCCAGATCTTTCAAGACGTCAGGGCGTTCCTACTTCCAGCAGGACTGGGGAAGGCGAGGATGGACATCTTCAAACGGCAGATTCCGCGGTTTGGGGGTGATCTCCACGGAAAGATCACCGATAATACCTCTCATATTGTTGTGGACGATAACATGGACTATGATAGACTCTGTCGAATCCTGAAGGTGGAAAAACCACCCGAACACGCAACTGTAGTACAGGCAAACTGGGTAAGTGACTGTATCGAACGCCGAACACTGCTTGAAGCAGATGAGTACACAATCAAAGCCCCTGCCTCTGTGATACCCCAGAAAAAAGCAACATCTAAAGATGAGAAGGATGTCAGCCAATTAGGGGTCAGATCACAAGCTGTTAGCCAATCATATGTAGCCGTACAGAAGGTTGATGATGTGGGTGAGAAGGGCAGTGGAGTGGAGAGTGCAGCATCATCACAGCCGTCCCCTGCCAAGGATGCCTGGTGGTGGAGGAAGAACAAAACCAAAGGTAGAACTTACCACTACTTCTGCACTAAGTATGTAGAAAACAGTTTGGATAAAGGCCTTCTGTGGAGATTATGAGCTTCTGTTTTTAAGGTTCTCCTGGTCTAGCCGTGGCGACTATTGATTCGGGCTTACATTGCATTACCCTCAGCAATAGTCGTGGAAAGATCCATTGGCAGAACTGCACATTTCCCGTTGGCTGCTCGATGCTCCGTTTTTGACCCGGTTTTTTGCTGTCCCGAGCTTCCCTACAATATATAACTCCACAATTGGCCGGGTTGCCGATGTTTAGATCAGCCTAAATATTCCACAGCGCGACAGAAAAGTAGTAAAATAGCTAGTCGGCACAAGCTGGCGCCATCTTGGATATAGTCGGGAATGTCCGCTACCGCCGTCGGGAACGCTCGGTAGCCTTTCCGGTTATAATCGGAGAGCTTTCGGTCGGGCTTCGGTAATCGTGACGCTACCGAGCGTTCCCGACGGCGGTAGCGGACATTCCCGACTATATCCAAGATGGCGCCAGCTTGTGCCGACTAGCTATTTTACTACTTTTCTGTCGCGCTGTGGAATATTTAGGCTGATCTAAACATCGGCAACCCGGCCAATTGTGGAGTTATATATTGTAGGGAAGCTCGGGACAGCAAAAAAACCGGGTCAAAAACGGAGCATCGAGCAGCCAACGGGAAATGTGCAGTTCTGCCAATGGATCTTTCCACGACTATTGCTGAGGGTAATGCAATGTAAGCCCGAATCAATAGTCGCCACGGCTACTCCTGGTCCTACTTTGATGGGATGACCACAAGTAAGACCCTCTGCATTTCTCAAAAAGAAAAGTATTCATTCATTCATTTGTCTGCTTGTTCATTCATTGGATCATCAGTCATTCATTTACTCACTCACTCACTCACTCACTCACTCACTCACTCACTCACTCACTCACTCACTCACTCACTCACTCACTCACTCACTCACTCACTCACTCATTCATTCATTCATCCCACTCAACAAATGAAATGAACAGAAAAACAGTAATATCATTGATAATGGCTACTTGTTAAATAAAAAAAAATGTACCAGCCAGAAACAAGAACATGTAGACGATTATTAAAGCTTATCAATAACATTTTGCATCAGCACATCAATACTAGTTTTCTATACTATAAGATGATTTTAAAGACTGTTCACTCAAATTTCTAGAACGTAGACAGATAGTCTTCGAAATTCTCACTATCTTGCAGTGCAACTGCAGCTGTAACGTATTCCTCTAGGGGGCAGTGCTACCATGCATGGTGTATCTATTCTTGCTCAGTTCCCACAGGTGAGGACAGTGATGACAGCAGCTACGTCCCCACAGATGAGGAGGAGGATGATGAGGATGCAGGAAACCAGGAGGAGGAGGGGGAGTCAACCCCATCTACATCTGCCTCCTCCACACCCAACACCTCCCCTCACAAACTACCAGTAAGTTGTTCAAAATGTCAGACGGGGTAACATTCTTCTATGAATCTAATGAATTTTAAATTGTTTTAACCAACATTGGTCACAGTTGGGCATTTCATTTGAAAACAGGATGAAAAGCGAAAATGGGAAAAAGGAATTTTACCCTCGCTGTCCCTTCCTTCCTTCTTGCTGTCCATTTATAGCATAAAATCTTTTTAAATGTAGAAGTTACTAGAACATTGGAGCAACATACATTCATCTTACATAATTCCTTTCTTGGTACTAGTAGAAGAAGGAATATTTAAAACATTCCTGTCAAAATCTAATGATATTTACAAAGACTGATGTCTTTACCTTCAGCCTTTAGCCATTGAAAGAACCAAATTTGTAGTGGTTATGTCAAGGATGTTGTATATTGATATAATGTCCTTGGTATATGTACAACATGTACAGTAGCAGGGAGAAGGTTACTACATGTAGTAGTAATGTCCCAAACTTGATGTGTTCTCAGTCTGCTTGTTAATTATGAGGTCCAGTGTCTATGGAGTGTTCTTCAGTAGTACTTGTAGCACACTCATCAGGAGGCTGTGTCCCAGGTCTGTTGTACAGGTTCTGAACATTCGACACATCATCCTCTTCCTCACGAGCATGCTGTGATGGTTCACTCCCATACACCAGTCCACGTACAGGTGGAGCGTTGTTGCTGTCATCCGTTCCATAAGGACTCTTGCTCTCTGTTGTTGATGCGACGCTGCTGTCATATTTTGGCTCAGTCTCGGCTCCTGTTGGTAGTGACTGTGCAGCTGATTGTTTGGTGGTGTGTTTCAGCGGTGTATAACCTGTTTCTGTTGGGCTTCTTGCAGCTTGTGGCGGGTCGGCGTAGGTCACTGCGTATGGCTGGATATCAGAGTTGTCGTTTTGCCCTGGGTCATCAACACGAGTCATTGCGTACGGTTGATGATGAAGCGTGTCGTTCTGTCCTGCATACGTCACTGCGTACGGCTGAATGGTATCGTTGTCCTCTGTCTGGTGTGTGCCTTGATCTTGCGTTTCAGCTGGGTCAGCGTAGACCACTGCGTACGGCTCAATGTTCTGGCTCTCTGATGTTTCACAAGACTCACGACGAGGGTAAATGCAGGAGATGAAGGCTGCTGATGCTGACAGAAGGAGGAGTGGTGCAACAAAAGTACTGATCAGGGCAAACAGATGGGACCAGTTAATGCTGCTACCCACGTTGACTTTGCCAAGAAGAATGACACTGTCCATTGCTGTTGTCTGGTCAACGATCGGCATGTCCTTTGTATGTGGCACATCTAGATCTGCGTAGTCCTCAGTGGGAATAATGGTCTGGCTTTGTGTTGAGCTCATATTTACAGAAGCTGTTGTGGTAGACATCGCTGTACATCCTGTAAACTTGCTCTCCTCTGGGTCTGACATGTTAGACTGGCCGACGTTCTCCCTCAGGGTGGCGAGGAACGTACCGCGGAGGTCGGCGGGTGAAGCACACTTCAAGTTACCGCGAGTGTAGATCCAGTCCAGGTGTGGCAGGTTGCAGATGAACCACGTCAGATTCCTGTCACAGTTCAGCTTGTTGTCGTGTATCATAAGATCTAGACGCAAGGGCCTGCGACTGAGCGGGGACATGTCCTGGCTGCTGATGGTAGCGATGCGATTTGCGCACAGGTTTACAAACAGTTCGTCTTTCGTCTGCAGAAGTGCGCTGGTGGGCACGGAGCGCAGGCGGTTCTGCCCCAGATTCATCATGAGAAGGAGAGGTAGGCCCCGAAGTGCATGCTGGGATATGCTGGAAATTGCGTTCTTTTGGAGGTACAAATATCTGAGTGTCTCCAGGCCGTGGAAAGTGTTGGATTCTGAGGAGAAACAAAATACAGAGCATGAATGATATTATTAGAATGGTCCCAATAAGCAGTCCAAAATGTTGTTGTTGTTGGAAACAACTGTTCAACTTGAGTTATGATATAACATTGAAGAATTGCAAAAGTAAAATCTAGTTGTAAAACTTCATATTCATATGAAGTATGGAATTAAGTCTGCATCCAGCAACACTACAGGACAGGCTGTCTCGTCAGTTATATTTGTAGCAACAAATTAACTGCAAGAGCTACATATGATATAACATACCGGTCAGCTTTTCTGTCACAGACTAATAGACGTCACAACTTATCTAACTGTAACTGCCATTTGAAGCTTAATCTAATTCACTCTGGCCGATTTTCCCTTTTGTGTTACGTTGCGGAAACGGCAAGTTTTAACCTAAATGAATCACTTCTATAATATATACGTATTAAGATTTCGTTCAACCTACCTAGACTGGAGATACGGTTGTCATCAAGGTTGAGGCTTTGCACCAATGACAGACCACGGAACGCCCCTGGTTGTATTGCGGAAACGTTTGACTGTCTGATGTGCAGGAACTGCAGGATTGAAACATTGGGGAAAGACCTTTCCAGGATCACCAGAGAGCGGAGATACTTGATGAAGATCGTCCTCGTTTCTTGAGGGAAGCCGGCCGGTATGTTGTCCAGACAGACACGGAAGCTGTAGAGACCGTCGTGCCCCACCCAGCTGCATGGAGAGCCTGCCTTACCCTCATCTGGGCAGTGACAAAGAGCTTGATATTGCAATACGGCATGTGGTATGTACGAGACGTCAGTACTACAGACATTCGGGCACTGCGGATCTACAAGTGTGAAAACCAGATGGTTGGAAACCAGAAGTAACACGAGCAGTGCATTCTTTTGCGCCATCCTGACCACTGGTAGTTAACAATGTGCTACAGCAATGTAAAATATGCTAAGTAATCTCACCAGAGCTACCGGAAGATTGCCAACCTTCTCTGGGCCATACCAGGTTAGTATTATGGATGACATCATCATCCAAGTACTGAAAAAGCAGCATGAGCCAAAAGTCACCATGCTTGGATTTTGAAAAATAAAATCACAAGTTGCATCAGACTGACAGATACAATATAAGTTAATAACCATAATTGCCTTTTATTTGAAACTAGGTTAAAAGCCATATGATTGTCACAAAGAATTCCATATAATATATGTGTTTATTTTATCTACCTCATTCTCTAGCCTGCAAGTCTTGTACATACTTAATGAAATTCAGTTCCATACAACAAATCATACATGTATGAAAAGAAAAAGTTACTGGTAATTCAGTCCTGAAAAAGATAATACATTGTACAGTCTTGAAATAGGAAATTCTGGTCTGTCTTGGGCAAATCAGATCAAAAACAGTGTGCACAAGGACGTCATCCACAAAACTGTCTTGATGTGACGTAGCTAATGCCCTGTCCAATGGTTGGAGTGAACACCTGCAATTATTACCACAAGGCCGGCATCAAAGAGGCTTGGCGTAGAATCTGGGTCAGTTACCAATCAGGAATCAGTCTGAGAAAATAGACTCCTCTGAAGAAAATATTCTGTTTGAAGTCTTGCCTGTCAGGATTTGTAGTACTCAGTAGCTGGCTATATTACATGTATTTTATTCATTGTATCACATTTTGAGGTTCATAACCCCCAGGGCAGAGGTGCGTACTGTTTTCTGGATAGCGAGTGAGTGTGAAGGACAGATTTTGGGAAGTAGAATTTTTCCTCTTTATTTAATACAGAATTATTTTAAGGCTGAATGTTGATTTTTAAAAATTATCTATGAAAAGCCACAGGGTTCAGAACCTTTGCTGGTGTATTCATTAAATGCTGAGCTAAGTACTCAAATTAGCATAGGTGCAGCCTATAATGTCCAAATCACAGTGTAGGGGTCCCCTATGCTCCAACCATGCTAAGTACAACACTGTAATTATTTGAGTTGGTTGAAAAAAAAAAAGAAGAAAACAATAAAAGCTTCTGAAATAATTGTTTTTTTTTTGCCATTTTTAAAGTATCATTGATGAGAAATTCATTGGATTCCACAAAACCTATGAGCAGGGTTTTGTAGTCTTTTGCTTTGAAAGCTAAACCGTTATTTTCCACATTCAAAATAGAAATTGATATGTTTCAGCTAAATGTATCATGTTTGCTCCCTTACTATTTTGGATGTGAGAAGTTTCCACTGCAAACTGTGCAATGTATTTTCTGTTTTTCTGTTTCAGCGGGGAAAGTGGGTATGTGCAGAGCCCTCTACCTCCAAAGGTGTGAACTACAACAAGCACATCACTGACAAATTTCAGGTGGGTCTCTGTATACTGTAGTAGTCATCAGGGCCTGTACTGGGGAAGAGTAGTACAAATTATGAAAAATTCTCAGTACTCATATCACCAATGCAACCTGTGCCTGCAAAGCTGATGTGTTACGCTGAAGGGTTATACCGGCTATGCTGATACAGATACAGATACAGACTACATTTAAGTTAAACCACCTAAACTTTACTAAGTGTGATACTTGGCATTCTAGCAACCTATGTTCAGAAATTACGACAAGTCATTTTGAACAGCATATGTTTGCTTAGACATAGTTAGGGCCAGTTATAGCTTAATTATAACATTTTCTTGAAGTGTAATAATGGTTTATATGCTATATATGTTTCTATAGTTACTGGCGAAGGCATACAAGAACACCAGCGACCAATGGCGTGCCATGAGCTACACCAAGGCCATCGCTATACTACAGAGGCACCCCAAACCTATCACCTCATGGGAGGTCTGTACTTTCTGTCCTTAACTCCTTCGTTTGGACCTGCATTCCTTATTGTCAATCAATAAAGGAATAGATTCTGCATTGTATGTAAAGGAATAGATTCTGGAAATTTTCATTGAAGAGGGCGTGCATTTTTCTTGTGAGATTTTCAACATTCACACTGAAAGTCTTTGAAAGAGAGCCTCAATTCAATTCAGGTAGAATGGGCGTAGATATTTACACGACAGCCTGCCAGGTGTTAGGAAGACAGGTGAGAATCTAATTGTGTTCCACCTGTGTTTCACCTGTGTTCCACCTGTAGGAGGCCCACAGTCTGCCAGGTGTTGGGCAGAGACTTGCGGACAAGATCTGGGAGGTGGTGGAGAGCGGGCACCTGCGGAAGCTGGACCACCTGGGTCCCGAACACGAGGCCCTGAACCTGTTCAACGACGTGTGGGGAGCCGGGGCCAAAACTGCACAACAGTGGCTGCAGCAGGTGAGTACCCAGTTTGGTTGATTTCTGCTCTTTCCAGCCGCCTCCATGGCTTACCTGTGTGTGGAAGTTGTTCAGCACCAAGGACAGGTGTGTTACCCTGTGTGTGTAAGTTGTTCAGCACCAAGGACAGGTGTGTTAACCTGTGTGTGGAAGGTGTTCAGCACCAAGGACAGGTGTGTTAATCTGTGTGTGGAGGGTGTTCAGCACCAAGGACAGGTGTGTTTGCCTGTGTGTGGAAGTTGTGAAGCCTGGTAGAGGCTAGGGTTATTGACTATAAGATTCAGAAAAAATCAGGTGTGTGACCAGGTGCTGTAAATCGTGAAACTTTCAGGTTTTAAAAGATTTTTGCAGTGTCCTTTCCATGGCGAATATGTCTCCCTTTTATGACTACTGTGCTATAGAATCACTGTAACATCTAGCGTCAGCGCAAGTCATAATTGTCCCAAAGAAGTTGTTGTGAGTAGAGAACATTGATATTTAAAATAGTCTGGTAACAACCCTCTCTTTTGTACAGCTGGACCAATAGAATTGAAGAAAAAATACTAGATATTCAATCATTCACCAACCCGAGGAAATTATTTACAGTGATCATTGTGACGAAGCTAGTCAGCAGTACGCATTATGTGCAAGAGGATTGAGTGAGTGATCATTGTCATATAGTTCTGCTTAATGTTTGTAAACCATTCCATCGTGTGTTCCCCCATGCCAGGGTCTCCGTACGCTGGACGACCTGCGGACGAAAGCGAAGCTGACGCGGCAGCAGCAGATCGGACTGAAGCACTACGATGACTTCCTGGACAGGATGCCGCGGGACGAGGCAGCAGAGATAGAGAAAACTGTAGGTGCTCTCAATAACCAGTCTTGTTTGTTTGTTTTGCATAACTGGTAAACTGCTTTTAGGTGCAACACACCAGTCTTGTACAGTATGCACAAACTGTGTAGGACTGGACTGTAAGGTTTGAACCACCCACACCTTCATTTGCAAGCCTTGCGTCAATGCATTAGAGCCGAATATTGCAAACTCCAAGGTGTTTATTATAACGTGGCATCATTTCACCGGGACCCCATCCTCCTCTCCCATACAATCTAATAAGCCATTATTCAAACAAAGTACCTTACCTTACCTTAGACCTTAGGTCCTCCTGTGCCTACATACTAGGGCTGCGTACCTAAACGTAACATCAGGTACAGGTACAGGTACTGGTACAGAGGTTTAGGTACAGGTCCGGACCTGTACCTGTACCTGAACAATTTGACAAATTAACACGTGTTCTTCACTTTTTCAATCATGACACAGAAACAATAATAAAGTGTTGGAGGGAAGGGAAAATGACTGACCTCTGACCTGATTTGAGTTTGTTGACCAATCACAACCCTGGATCAGCCACACTCTCGCGATGTCTCGTGAGACTGAGGATCTCAAATCAATCGACGGTGTTTACGTCTTTTCCAGTGCTAATTTTTCGTCTTTGTGGTAGGATTTACCTATCTTTAGTCATATACATGGTGTAAACTAGCTATTTCGGTATATACTCGTTACTTCATGATCAGGTATTTTGGACCTGTACCGAAACGATTTTTACGGTATTGGACCGGTACAGTGTACCGGTCCGCAGCCCTACTACATACAGGCACATTGTGCAGCAAGTTTCCATGTGGGTCTAGCTGCTGCTGCTTCCTCAGCCTCTTCTTAGGTTATATTACTAGTAAACAAAGTACAGTGTATGGATAAAAGTCAATTTTTATTGCCCCTTGAAGGTGCGTGAGATGGCAGAGTCTATCAACCCAGGTCTGATGGCGATGGCGTGCGGTTCGTACCGGCGCGGGAAGACCAACTGTGGGGACGTGGACGTGCTCATCACGCATCCAGATGGGAAATCCCACAAGGGGATCTTCCAGAAAGTTCTGAGTGGACTCAGGGAAACAGGTAAGGGCTGTCGTGTTGGCTGTTAATCTGCTCAGTGAACTGTGTTCATGGTTTTGTTACGTTTGCCAAGAAGGCTATGTTTTTGGGTGCATGTGTCTGTTTGTCTGTGTGTGTGTGTGTGTGTGAACAGCTGCTTAACTCGAGAAGTTGTGGATGGTTCTTTATGATACTGTATTTTGTGTGTGGATAAGTCTTGATAAGACCCCCACATGACAGATTAGGTTAGGACACTGAACATGTCAGAACATAGCTTGAGATGCCAGAACAAAACATAGGGGGTGGAAAAACATAGGGGTGTGTTACCCAGTACACAGCAAGGAACAATCAAACATATAGAAGAAGCAAATGAGGTTTAGGTAAATGACAAGACCTGATACACCCAATTATTGTTGAGCACTACAGAACACAATGACATTCAGACTCCATGCTGCAACATCCGAGGAGGCTATAGAATAAAAACTAATGCATTTTACATTCCTGCAGTCTTTTCAACCAAGCTCGTGTTTATGTTAACTTTGTTAGTGTTCTTCCTTGACTTACCTGGTATTTGTTGCTGGTTACAAGATTCCACTTACCTAAACCTGAGTATATTTAATTAAGGGTCTTGATACAGCAGCTAATGTAATAAAGCTGGGTTGTACAGCCTTGGTCTCCCAGTAATTGATGCGAAAATGTTTGCATGTAAACTTGTTTGTTTGGACCATTCTTTATTCATGAGAAGCTCAAATCTGCCTGCAGGCCGCTTTTCACCGAAGTCATGAGGGAAGAGGTAAGGGTCAGGAAAAAATATATCAAAAAGACTACATCATTTAAAGTCCTAATAAATCTATACACATTTCTTTTTACACATACATGATATGTATAATACACATACATAATATGTATGATACACATACATGGTATGTACAGTATGATACACATACATGATATGTACAGCATGATACGCATACATGATATGTATGATACACATGTGTAGGATACGTAGGATTGAGAGCTGGTATATGGTACATGCATCCATTTGAATTGGTCATTTCTGTTTCTATTACTTTGGGTTTTTGTGGCCATGTGTGTGTCTGTTACTAGTGTTAGTAGACTGTTCCAACTTTGTTACATTACACAAAATTACACTTCCTTGTGCTGTTTACCCTTGCGCATCACCAGCCAGTGGTAAACACGGACATGTTGTGTGCATGCTGTGGCACACGTCGCCAGGGGAAAGTTGTGTACACAACAAGCCATCAACGTGACGTCAGGAACGGATCAGTGAGGTTTGCTGTAAACTTAAGGGGTTGGTTTGGATCGGTGATAACCGGTTCATGTTGTGTGAATACAGAACATTTTACTACACTACATTGTATTTTTACACTGCATACTACCATGGAGGTACTACCTCCATGATACTACCTACATTTTGCATGTAGGTGAATGGAAACCAGTTACCATGAATGCAGAACATTAGTTGTGAATGTAGAACATCATTTGTGAAAGCAGAACATTACTGATAAGTCAGGATTATGCTGAAGAATGTAGTTCTGTTTGATACATTGATACAACCTGCCATTCAAGTTTCTCACTTCCAGAAACCATGTCACTTAAGAGATACAAGCTTTTGTATTATAGACCTAACATGAGAACCACAAATTGACATATTAAAAGATAAGTGTTCCAAGAAAATCTATTTCATCTAAAGGATTTTGCTACAATTATGAAATGCAGCCAGTTGCTCAATACAATACTTTTGACACATTTGAACTGTTTTGAACTAGTTGCTGATAAGGCTGACTTATTTTTCTGTGAAGTGTTTTCTTTGTGCAGAACTAGTTAATGATTTTCCCACTGTTGATGGAACACTTCTCAACCTGTTTAACTCACCCTTGTGGGTTTTCATAACTTTTGGGTGTGCCAAATCTTGATACGTCAGTATGCCATGGTTTGTTATGCACTGTTTGTTGCTAACGTTACAGTATAATGTCATCGTTGTTGCAGTTTGTATGTGAGTGGATGAGAGTGGTGGTGAAACCTACGTAATTTATATGACTGTGATGTCAGTATGATTCACCTCATGCTGATGAGACACTTACTATTATTTTGTATGCGCGTACTGTTATACCCATTACATAGCGATGTGACGTTTTGTTGCATGAAGCCTTGCTTGAAGTACATGTAACATACTAACAAACATACAAACTCTGTTCATCAGTTGGATGTTAGGTACTAAGCCTATTAGATAGATAGTCGGACTTGTTGACATCCAAGATCTTCCTTTACCCACCTCCTCAATTGGGCCTCACTTTGTAACTTATTTCTACATATATTGAAACTACGTCAATATGATATGTAACGTTATAGATATATAACATTATATACAAAGTAATTAGAAGACAGTGTGAGTGCTGGTATGGTCTGTTCTGCAATTTTACATTGGGCAAGAAGCTGCAGAAGTACAAACGCTCTGAAAATTTATAGACGGACAAACAGATGGAAAATATCTTCCATGAGCTACATGCATGCCCAAAGAGGTGGTATGCCCATGCTCAAGGAGCTTTAAACATATGTCCCAGCACAGTTTCACATAAGGTGTCCATGAGCAAGTATCTGTATTAGTCATCTCTTTGGCGTAATGCTGGCGTTTCAGACACGCGGCAGTGGCTGGCTGCATTACGTTGCAATTGAAGGATTTGTCATGCAAGTACATGTATTCAATTCCAAGCATATATGATCATAAGCATGTAGCAACACGGCACACTCATTCTTACTCATCGACCCTGCTCATCGACCTAATAAAAGCGGGATTCCCCAACGTCATAGTGACGTCAAGCCAATCACAGTAACGGGATTCCCGGTCGCCCGGAACGGACCAATCAGAAGGGAGAACGTACCGTATATCATTTGTTTGATGCAACCCCGCCAGACAGACCGCAGACAACGTTACCTTACCAACACCTTGCAGAAATCGGAAGTCAAGTTCGCACAGGTGAGAGAAAGTAAAATGTCTGCTGCAGACGGACTGAGGAGAGCTCCGCGCCGGCGGAATGCCATGGGGAACGTCCTGGAAGGAATCGACGCAAACGTGCTGCAAAATCTACGGCAGGAGTACGGCGAGCGCACCGAGGAGGACCCGGAAGTGCTCCCGGCGGCGGAGGAGAGCGCCCTGCCGACGAGCCCGCGGCTGCAGCGCCGGAGGAACGCCGTGCCGGACGTCCGGGTCGGGGTGGAGCGGGCAGAGCTCCGCAGGCTCAGGGAGCTGTACGGCGTGTCCTGGAGACCGAACGGACTCTTTCTCAGCAACGCCGTCTTTTGATAAATATTCTTGTGCAACGGAGGAACTGATCGTTTTCTTACTTCAATACAAGACAAGCGTCTCACAGGAGACCAGACTTTTGTCTCAGGTTGCCAGGGTGATCCACAGACTAGAAACCCGTCTTGCCGATGCCGAGAGGGATGACGAACCCTGTTTGCAATTGACTTTGACTGTTTCTAGAAGTTACATGTACTTCCTTCCATCATTTTTATACTGTTAGAATTTTTATACTGTAAATGATGCGAAAATGTTGTAACGTTGTATACTTAGACGTTATGTCACGCTGTAAAGGCTCTGCAGAACTTTGATGACTCTGTCGTAATTGCCCAACATGTTCCTTCTGCTGGAAAAATATTCTAACGTAATAACGTGGTAGCTCAGCTGGAGTCCAGCTAGCTACCTAAACAATTGCGGAATGGCCCAGTGCAGTTTCAATCTAATTTGGAGGCTCTAAATCCCACAGTGTAACTTAATTTCCGCCTTTGGAAGTTTCTGTAGTGTTAGGTTTCTGTTCAGCTTGTCAAATGTTACCTTAGTTACCTTAACCTGGTGAACGTTAGCGGGAACCAGGTCGCCAAGACAGGCACAGCACGCGGCACTGATCTGTTGACCCGGCGACCTTTGAATGGTCATGACATTTATCATGGAGGTAGAAAAAAGCATGCATTTATTCAAGCATTACGCGAACTGTGGACTCTTTGGGGAGGTTTTATTTGCCATTCGCTTCACCAACCCAGTTTGAAGGTCGTGTTGATGTAATTGTTAGCTTGGTGTACACTGTAATAGTGTATACAGCCACCTGGACACTTAAGTACCGATGGTACCTGCAATATTTACCTTTGCTGAACACGTCACGGACCAAGCCCCAGGGCGCATACCTGAATGACGTAGCTATGACTCATGGGACGACACCTCGCCTTCTATTGTATTTTGGCAGGTCGATGCATGAATTTCTACCAAGTTCCCTCGGTAACTGACAAGACAGCTACATTTTTTATGGAGTACCTTTCAATAAAATGTATTTATATGTTATGTCATGGAGTATGTTTCTTACGGTACGATGTATTGTGTAGAGATCGAGTTTCATGACAGGGATACGATGTCATTTATCAAGAATGCCTACTGACATCACTGGGACAGTCCAGCCCCCCTGGAGCTGGTTTCGGGTGGCCACACAAAATCCCAGGTTCACGACGTTTTGGTAACTGATTGAATTTGACCTCGCACATATGTCCCAGACTCTTCCCGAGAAATGAAATGAGTCCCTAGAGTTCTCAAACTGCATTCTAAAGCCCCACCAAACAGGTATAAGTGGCACATACTTGTTGTCATCATGTCTTTCACACGTCACCAGAATTGCATCTTGTCTGTAGTACAAGTAGAGATATGGCTTTCTAATTCTGGTCTGAGAGGACCGAATTTCTTTGATACTTACTGAATACAACAAGGCGGGAATAAAAACAAAGGTCAACGTCTAAAGAATCACCCTACGCTCTGTGAGCCTGAAAATATTTTCTGTCTATTGACATTGTAATTGGATCTCTAGAAAGTATATCGGGTATGACACCTAACTCGCAATGTTGTGACAAATGTCGCTGAACCATCCATATCTCTCTTTTATAAGTAAATTCATTCATTCACCTTTTATTTATTTACCAATGGTTTTTTGCGTCATTGACGAAACATAATATTATGCCTATGTCGAAAGTTTAGTCTTCATTGCTTTTTGTCATACCCATCCCCATACCCATACACATACCCACACAGAACTAGTCTGGAAATGTGGCCAGAGAATGGCGGGAAACGGGAGGGTCCATAATGACAGACTATCGTGTGACACACGGAATATTAGAATTCAATCTTCTATTGTTCGGGACTCGAGGTAATGAATGTTTTATTAGCGTGAACTCTCCCCGGACCAATTGCCTGGGCCTTAGCAAGGTTCAATCAATTGAATGTCACTGGTCTTTGCTTAGGATTTTTCTCTCGTCTATTGGCCTGGGAAGTGGGAGTATGACTTCGGTACAGTATGAAACGTATCCGTTTTGTACGATGTTTTCAAGGGAAACGGTGTTGACTTTTTACACATATATTTTCGTATTTCGTTTTTATTGTATGAAAAATCTACATTTAAATACTATATTTTGTACAAGAGTGAACAATATTGCCGCTTTGATGTCATTATTGCACACAGCTGTTCTATAACCTTAAGTCATTTGACAATTGAGGGAAATTTCAGGATGATCCTTGTGAATGAAAGTTTCACAAAGCCATGAAATGATTCATAAGCACGACATGATAGACATCATAATTACAGTACGTGACATTAATGGTATTTGATGTGTGTCCTCACAGGACCATGAGGGTGACGATGACGTCACTATGACGTCATTCGTGATCTTGTTGCTATGCCGACCAAACATTACGTGACTTCTTACAACAGAAGTGAGGTGGATTGCGCAATGTTAATTTTTGTGGTTCATCAATTGTCACGAGTTCCGAGGTGACATTTACTTCTGTTGTTGCCCTTATGGATTGCGACACTGCTAGCGCGTTCCTGCATTGTCACAAGGTAGATTTCGCGTGATCCATATGACATCATAGGGATGAGTCATATAGCTAACGAAAGCAAAACCTCAGAAGAAAGATCGACGGGATTTGCCGTAAACGGACCCAGGAGGCATCGGAACGTCTCAGAAGGTCACTAAATGTATTCCATGTTCTTTTTATTTTTCATTTTTATTCGTGACACCAAAGAGCAAACCTTACAGCAGGGATAAAACTCCCTGACTTGCAGAAAGTTTACATACACAACGGACGAGACAGGCGATATATACATCCCTCGTATACATCATAATACATTATACCAAGGAAACCTTCTGACTTCTGTACAAATGAGGTTTAGGAAACATAAAGCATGGCTTATGAAAGTTCTTTGTTGTACACAGATATAGCCCAATGTAGAAAAGACTTGTAAAACGTGAAAACTTCAAAATATCGATCAATTGCCACGAAGCATTAAAAGTACTGAAAGTGGAACATAGCCATTTTACATTTGCGGCAGACCAGGGATCCCTAGCGGTTGTGTTGTACATAACAAGTGTGATCACTGGTATGTAGTATGGTGCTAATACATGGCGCGATCGTAGACTAATACAATATGAACTGACGAAGTTATATCAGTCTGCACAGCTCACTAATAAATGCCATTGAGGAAGCCACCTTCCTCCAGCTCACTGCGCACTTGTTTCATCTCGTCATCGGAGCGATAGACCATAGGGTAGCGGGGAGGACCCATGTCGATTCCCGACACCAGGCTCATCACCTGTTTGTTGATCCCAGCGTCGAAGCTGTGAGCAAACAGGACTCCCACGAGAGACTGGGATTTGTCGAGCTGTCTGAGCGCCGTTTCCATGTCTCCGTTTTTGTACGCGTCGATGAGCTTGTTGTACAGACGTCCGGCGTAGTTGTACGTGCTCCCGATGAAGGTCTTGCAGCCGAGAGGGAGGACGCAGAGCATCTGCTCGTCGCAGCCGTACGCGAACACGTACCTGTCACCGAAAAGCTTGATGCTACGGCGTAAGTCCCTCAGGTCGCTCCCAGTGAACTTGGCCCCACTGAAGGTTGGCACTCCCAGCTTTTCCACAGCATTGACCAAGTCCTCTATCCGTATGTTTACATCTGTGTTACCAGGCAGGTGGTAGTAGAGCAAGGGGGTGTTGGGAGCAGCGTCGCACATCATCTTCAGGTGTTCGGCCACCATGTCGGCGTTCTGGGGTTTGAAGAACAAGGTTGGAAGTGTGGCGATCCCCTGCACGCCGACACTCTCGGCATGTCTGGCGAGGTCCTGGGAGTCGGGGATGCTGACGCCGCCCACGTGGACGATCACGTTCTGCAGTTTTCCGCTTCCGGCCGTCACCCACTTCTCGGTCAGCTGTTTCCTCTCAGCCAATGAGAAGTTCACCCCCTCTCCCGTGCTGCCGCCGACAAAGACATTCAGCACGCCCTGGGACACCAGGTGGTCGACGTACCGGTCTATGACGTCCAGGTTAAGGGCGCCGTTCTCCTTAACCGGCGTGAAGACGGCGGCTATCACACCTTCCACTCGCAGCATGATGTGTCTGAAACATAGAAAACAAACTTCCGAGCGTAACGCGTTGAAGTAAAAACACAGAAGAAGCATTCAGAGAGAGAGAAAGCCGCTAGCTATGTCACTTAAACTAGTACTGTTCTCGTCTTTTCAAACAGAGATAGAAGCCATGATGGCACATACATGCCTCTAGACGTTCCCTCGCCATGCACTATGAGTGATAAAGTGTATCCCCGTAGTGTCGCAAATCCCAGAGACTTAGAATTTGTACAGTGAATATGTTCTCACCTGTGAGGCACAAATCGTACAGCAGTCTTAGAGATATTTCTGATCAGTGCTGATCCGCCACGCAATCGCTGATGCATGTAAATGAAGGGTAACTCGTCTTTCCACTTCTGCTTATTGAGTCGTACGCAATTAAAGTGTCAAAGTGTCACCTCTGACATGGGACTGGATATAAACAAACATCACAGCTGGCCTTTTAGTGAAAGTGCCAGTGTCGATGGTGTGCAAATTTGTAATTTCGATCGTGCTTTTGCGTTAGAACACATCGTAGTGTGATATCGCTTCAATACAATATCTGTCAGTCTTCCTCTTGCTCAGGTTCCGTCGCTCTAGATGACGTAAATTACTAGTAGGTTGACATCTGACCCCGTTAACTTAAAAGTGACATACGCCGCTCTGATCGGCAACCCGACGGTCACTTTTCCGACATCGATATCATCACAACTAAACCGTTCTTCACTCTTTTTATACTCTGTTACGGCTACATGAATTCAGCGTAACACACAGCTCTTGATATGCATACGCGCGGCGAAACTCAAACGTCTCGAAATATTTCTCTTTTCGTTGTGAAAAGTGAAAACCTCAACATATCTATTACCTTGAAGCACGCAAAGTGTCGGAAAGAGAAACACAGTGCCAGCTTACATTTGCGGCAGACCAGCGACATCTAGCGGCTGTTCTGTGCATCACTGGTATGCAGTATGAACTACCGCCAACAGGTGGCGCTAATAGATGGCGCTGTCGTAGCTAGACGAAGGATGGATGCACGATCACTTCATAATAGGAAGGAAATGTTACGAGCCTCTTTCAGAACTACTATCGGATGGAAATCATACAATGCACTGAACTTCAGCCTTGCAACAACAGATTGCATGGATAAGGCCTTCACTTCATTTGTAGAAAATTTAAATGTGTGAAAGAAATGACTGGGCCCTTTGATTCATCTAACAAGCAATTTCTCTCAAATAAAGGAGTCTTCTAGTCACCACAATTTGCATCCTTCTTTTCCATTCGATGTCTCTTCCCCCAAAGCCTTTAGTATTATTTTATACCCTTTTCATTAATCTAGTTCACTTATTGTTTTGAATTAATTAAATCAAGGAAGAGCAAGACAGGAGACACATGTCTGAGAAGAAAGCATTTGTCTTTTATTCCACAGAACTTATATGTGAATGTAACACTTGAAGGGTTCTGTATCTCCACTGATTATTGCCAGAATTCCTGCATCAGTATTACTTTGACATTTCTATGTATTTTGGACAATTAACTTATAATGACAACTTACTGAATAATAGTAACAACAGATATGTCAGATTAATGCACTTACACAATCTGCAACAAATATCGAAATCTATGACAACATCATTAAGAGAGATTATCTGACATGTTGGCACTCTTTATATTGAGGACACTAATATCCATAATTTTCCTTCAATGAGAAGTTAAGAATGATAATTATGTCATTGCACACACATGTTCTTTTTAGAAAGCATCATACCTCACTTAAATTTTACATTTATTTATATTCATGTATATCTTTGGTATGGTGAATTCTTGATTTCTCTTTCCATTTTTATTACAGCTACTGGTACATGCCCTTATGTGCTAGGAAATATCAAGGAAGGGGCTACCCAGGTGAAATAAACACAAGTATACAATCATAATGAAATAAATAGTTTAACCATTTTTACTAATACATATATATATGGTGGTACAACTTGCACCAACCAACCTACCAACCAACTAACCAAGTCTTGCTGACAGACAGTGATGTTAACATCAAGTTGGTGGCTCTCACACTGTCTAACATACTAGTAGTATCCAAATTTCAGTCTCCATTTGTGATAGTGTGAATGTGTAGTGTACGTTCCCATTCCTTTTCTTGCCATTGAATACAACTGTTCAGATGAGAATAGTTCAGGTAACGTTACATGTTAACAACAGTTACTATGTTAGCAGCATGTGGGTTGTTCTGTCCTAGTAAATGTCTCAAAAGCTATTAGAGGAACATGGATCAGTCATGAGAAGTCGCTACGTTTGGAGTTACTTCTGTCTGCACAGGACAGCTCACTAATAAATCCCGTTGAAGAAGCCACCTTCCTCCAGGTCATGAGAAGTAGATACGTTTGGAGTTACGTCTGTCTGCACAGGACAGCTCACTAATAAATCCCATTGAAGCCACCTTCCTCCAGCTCATGAGAAGTTTATACGTTTGGAGTTACGTCTGTCTGCACAGGACAGCTCACTAATAAATGCTGTTGAAGAAGCCACCTTCCTCCAGCTCGCCGCGCACTTGTTTCATCTCGGCAGCTGAGCGATAGACAATGGGGTGGCGGGGAGGTCCCATGTCGATTCCCGACACCAGGCTCATCACCTGTTTGTTGATCCCAGCGTCAAAGCTGTGAGCGAACAGGACTCCCACGAGAGACTGGGATTTGTCAAGAAGCTTGAGCGCCGTTTCCATGTCTCCGTTTTTGTACGCGTCGATGAGCTTGTTGTACAGACGTCCGGCGTAGTTGTACGTGCTCCCGATGAAGGTCTTGCAGCCGAGAGGGAGGACGCAGAGCATCTGTTCGTCGCAGCCGTACGCGAACACGTACTTGTCACCGAACAGCTTGATGCTACGGCGTAAGTCCCTCAGGTCACCCCCAGTGAACTTGACACCGCTGAAGGTTGGCACTCCCAGCTTTTCCACAGCATTGACCATGTCCTCTATCTTTATGTTTACCCCTGTGTAATCAGGCAGGTGGTAGTAGAGTAGGGCAGTGTTGGGAGCAGCATCATACAGCATCTTCAGGTGCTCGGCCACCATAGCAGCATTTTTGGGTTTGAAGACCACAGTGGGGAGAGTGCTGATCCCCTGCACCCCGACACTCTCGGCATGTCTGGCGAGGTCCTGGGAGTCGGGGATGCTGACGCCGCCCACGTGGACGATCACGTTCTGCAGCTTTCCGCTTCCGGCCGTCACCCACTTCTCGGTCAGCTGTTTCCTCTCGGCCAGCGAGAAGCTTGCACCTTCGCCGGAGCTGCCGCCGACAAAGACGTTCAGCACACCCTGGGACACCAGGTGGTCGACGTACCGGTCTATGACGTCCAGGTTAAGGGCGCCGTTCTCCTTAACCGGCGTGAAGACCGCGGCTATCAGACCCTCCACTCGCAGCATCATGTGTCTGAAACATAGAAAGCAAATGATTATTTTTATCATATATTTATGATGCATTATCTCCAGTCTGATGTATGGTGTTGGTGTATTTGCCTTCCAAACCTCTGTCGTACAGTCAAAATACAAGGGAAACACACAAGAGGGTACTATGTTTCCTCTGTGTGTCCTCTCCTTTTTCCCTCTTCAGAGGGTTCCTTATGTTTGTTGTACAGAGGAAATATTTTCAATGTGTTTTTTTGCTCATTTCATTTTCTAGCAAAAGTAGCTTTTTCAGGACAAGCCTCATACAACCATACAGGTTAAAAAGCACAAACAAAAATAGTGAAAGAGGTACAAAAATTAGCCCAAACCACAGGTACTAATACGTTGAATGTCATAACCATAACAATGTAAACCAATGTTATACTACTGAAATAGTATTGCAAAGGGACAAATCCAAATGATAACCACAAGAAAGCTGACATGTTTGACGTGTGTGTTTCAGGTTTCCTGACAGATGACCTTGTGACCCAGGAGGACAATGGAGAACAGAAGAAGTACCTGGGAGTGTGCCGTCTACCTGGGGAGGGCAGGAAGGTCAGGCTACATTTGTACAACTGCTACATACCTAAGGCCCTGTCCCACTAGGATAGAATTGTCCTGATTGAGTCGAATAAATTAATTGGTAACTGACTTGGTAACTGGCTTTGATCTGGTCCACTTTACCCCCAGTAGGAATGTTCCTGATCCAGCTCAGTTTGAGATTAATCCAGTCAGCAATGATCCAACTCATGAGGTAGATCATAGGCTGAAGTTACATCAAGCAATGTAGGTCCAACTTGCAACTGACGTCAACAGTGACATTCCTTACATTGACAAATGGTCTGAGTAGGGAACAACCAAGCAGTAATAACAACAGGTACTGTCTGCCCATCAGAGGTTAGGCACTACACATGACAGGTAGGGCGTGATAAATGTTCTAAGACTCATGATCAATAGATCTAGTCTTGCTCACAGGAAAATCTTTAAACTTTCTTCCAAACAGCATTATAAAACAAACAAGTCTTTGGTTCCATATTTTGCTCAGACACATTGTCAACATGTTTGATTTTATGTAATGGCCACAAACAATGGACTTGTTTTGTCCAGCGGGTGCAACGACTTTACATGACATTTTGTACAAAAGGTCAGGGCTAAAGATCTGAGTCAGACACAGCCACAATATTTTTGTTGTCAATAAGTACAAAAATACAAACTTTAAGTTGGTATCTCAATTAAAGACTTTTTAAAAAGATTACTACATGACAAACTCCTAGCTGATCTGACAGAAATGATCGTAAACTACATGTGTACACTACCTGTATACGAAGTGATAAGGATTAGTTTTGAATGGCAGTGAGGTGTGGTAAAAAGACAGTTTGATGACCACACCTATGTTTGTGTTGGGTAATACTGGTAGCTGCAGGCAGACTGTCCTATCAGACTGCATTAGAATTAGTAAATCCACCTAAACACAAGTCAATAAGGGGGATGAGGGTACTCCAGTATGCAGGTCAGAGGATTGAGGTTGCATGGAGAGCCACGCCCATGGTTGTTTACAGTGTTCTGAGTGGGTTGATCAGGGAGCATACTAGTACTGTATATCAAACTTAAGAAGTAGTTGGAAAGAGCAGAAACAGCAGTAAACTGTACTCTTTATCGGACCAAATCCCCTGGAATGTCATCTGTCTATTTGGCCAATTGCTACTCTTTCCAGCCACATGTGAAGCCTGATAGAGGCTAGGTTAGCATACTTGCTTGGATATTTTCCACCCTTGCACCATGTATACACACCGGGTATATCCGTATCAAGAGAAGGATTAATACAAGCTGTCAGCTGTGACTTGTTGATGCAATAGTGGTACGACCAGTAACAACAAAACAGGATGACAAGATCAGATAGCTCTACAGTGTAACGTTTACCAAGTGTGCAGGCACCGATGTTGTGCAACAATTTTGAAAACCATGATTAACCATTTAAAATTCCATTTATACAGTGAGCTTGGATAGCCAGTGACAACTTGTGCACTGATAGGCCTTGTGCATTAGATAAAACACGTCAAGTGTTTAAGCAACAGACCAAAAATCAGGATGGGACTAATGTGTAGGCTTTAATAGAAATGAAATACTTAAATTTAATACTTGATTTCACTAGATCCTGTTTAGCCATAAGCACATTGTACTGCTATACTGGAAGACTAAAGTGGTAAACCTTAGAGGTAAAATTGCATTTTTTTTATTCTTTGCAGCACCGCCGACTGGACATTATAGTCGTGCCATATGGTGAGTTTGCCTGCGCCCTGATGTACTTCACTGGCTCAGCACACTTCAACAGGTCCATGAGGGCACTGGCAATCAAAAAGGTGATTAGCTAGCCGACTGAGTTTATACCGCTAGGTATATACATGTATAGATGTACCTCAAGGCGATGTTTGAAGTGCAAAAAGGATCGACAACACAACCTTGCAGCAAAGCTGATTTGGGCCCCACAATACAAATACATGTATACCAAGTGGTTTACTAGTGGGTCATCTAGAAATATTGCATACTGGCAATAGTGACAATAATAGCAGTATGGAGAGGACTTGAGTGAGATTATCCATTTGTAAGCCAGGGTGTGGCCATGGGATAATCTGTAAATTATAAAAGTCTCAGAAGCCACGAAACTGTAATCCACACACCCTACTGGGATTCTCAAATTACAATAGAAAAAAGGAACACCTTGCTTTTGGCATCCTGACTAAATAGGAATACTATTTTCAGAGTGTACTGATCTTCAAGACTTGTAAGCTGAGAAACATGCAGACATACAATTTTGCTAGCGTTCATTTTTAATTTCCTGAATGCACACACATGCATCTAGGTGTTGTCAGATTGTATATATCTTTATTTTTGCAATACCAAAAAGCGATGAAATAACAAATGACCTAAATCATCTTTTTCTCAAAATACAATCCATCCTGCGTGATTCGTAACTGTGCTGTGACCTCGAAGTGAGGAAACAATTGTTTGGGAATAAAAGCGCTGTCTGTGTCATCAATTATGTATCTACTATTCTATGAAGGTAACAATGCCCCCATTGGACTAGTCTAATTGTTTGAGAGCTTTAACTTTTCTTTATCATAGAAGCCATTGATTAATTATTTATATACCATGGCTACAGAGGAACACGTGTACAATTTTGATTTGATGGGTGACATCTGTGCACACATTGATTTTAGCCCATTTGAAGAAAAAAATGCAATAATTCCTTTTGTTAATTTTGTGAATGGTCTACAAGCTGCTATGTCCAGTACTTGCATCCTGGTAACAGCTAGTATAATCAATGTAAAGCATTATAACTTACTACCCTGTATTAGCATTACCAGTGGAACCAAAAATTAAGAATGTTGTAGTTATCACTGTCAAAAAATGAACTTTTATATCATTTGAAAACAAGCTAATTTGATTTTTTAAAAGTTGAATAAGATTGCAGCAAAATGCCATTGCAATGATCAAAGACTTTTACGTATCAAATTACACCTACACATGCCCTGTATGTGTAGTTAGCATCCTACCGAAATAGTTTATAGTATCTGTTCCATCTACATTGTGTATTTGGTGAAAACTACATAGTATAATTGCATGATGTCACAAGTGGATGTAAGCCACTAAGGTATTACATTTGAGTTTGGACCACACTGTAGTATTGTACCTGAGCATTAAAGCATGAAAGTTGGATTCAACTGCAATTACATGTACTCATAGCATTATGCCAACTAGACCAAGACCGGTTAAATTTTGAGAAACTCCGTACTAGTGTTAACCTTTGTCATACTGAACCACCTGTGAACCACTTGCAGTCTGTAGTGGATCAGAGGTGCTGCAACATATTAAAGGTTAAATCATCCCGTTAAAGTTATGTACATTATTGTCTACTGTTATAGATCTCTACTGATCATACAATCCATTGTTGTTCTACAGGGCATGTCTCTGTCAGAACACTCCCTGAACACTGGAGTCATTCGCAAGGTCAGTTTATGGGAGAGAAAGGCGGCTACAATTCCTTGTACATTGATACTGTAACAGTTAGATAATAGCATTAAGATGTCCACGTAGTATAACGAAAGTAGAAGGTTAACAAACTTTTGGCCATCCTGTCATCTACCTATGTTGTAAGGAAACAAATTAGACTGAAGAAGGAACTATGGACTCTTAGTGGTTGTTTAGATAGTTCTGCTTACACAGTTACCGGGAACACCCTTATGCTGTGTCTGGCCACTTTGTTTTCATGCCACTGTCAGGGGGATTACAGTGTCATGCATGGTAGCTAAGTCTGCATGTGTTGGGACAGGTTTAAGTCAGTGTAGTTGGGATCTAGTCATCTTGGAACAGGTGTAAGTGGGTCCAGTGGGGATTTAAGGAACCTTAAAGTTTATGTTTCTGCCTGTAAAGTCCACAAATCCACCTTGTAGATAAGTACATCACTCACTCACTCTCACTCACTCACTCACTCACTCACTCACTCACTCACTCACTCACTCACTCACTCACTCACTCACTCACTCACTCACTCACTCACACTGTTAATGTCTGTTTCCTCCCGTTGCAGGGGAAAGAGAAGATATTTGGCGGCACCCCCCTCCCCTGTCACACGGAGGAAGATGTCTTCAAACACCTGGGCCTGGACTACAGACCCCCTCCATGAGCGAGACTGGTGATGCATTAACCCCCCCCCCCCCACACACACACACCTGTAAAGGAAGAACCCCCTCTTCCTGACTTTGTACCTTCCCCTCCAAGAATCTAAGACAACTATTCCTGTTTCATAACTACAAACTCATGAAGGCATTTACTTTTTATTCACTAAATGTAAAACAAGAACACCTGTTTTCAGATAACCAGATTCTCATGGTTACCAACTGGTATCTATCCTAGGTGTGTAAATTATGCTCTGAAGCCCACAAGTTTACTGTTGCTATTCGGTCTGTACATATGTACATTCTCCCATACAGAGCTATACTGTGGCAATACTGCCTTGGTGATACATTGTACCACTTGAAGGCAGTATTGCTGTGGTATATCTCTGTGTGGGAGAATCAATGACTCTGTATTGATTTTTTAACAGTTGTAGCTGCAGGGCAGACAGGAAGTTGCTTTTGTAACAAACAATGGTTGGCACAGCTTGTGTAGGAGATATCCAAGCAGGTAACTTGTGTACATAGATCTACTGTACTGTAAACTTTCTGTGCAATATGACAAATGTAATAATCACATTTACTGACGACTATTAACGGTCGCTTGAAATTCATGTACTGAGTAGCTAATGAATTGTTTTTCTATTGGATTTTAATGCACACTGATACTGATAGAGAAGAAATAAGTATTTTAGCTGTTATGTGTCAGTTATTGATTGAATTTGCAAATGTTACCAAGCAGAATGTTACATGAAGGGGGTGTGCAAAAATAAGGGGGCTCTACAGGATTTTACGTTTTAGCCAGTGGTTTTTAGACATATTCATTTTGAAGTTGTTAAGAGTCTCTCAGTTGCAAGAGTACAATGTTGTTGTTGCTCTACCTATACTGGCTTAGGAGATTTTAACAGTGTTAAAGAAGCCTAGGCAGATTTTTTTTAGAATCCATGCAATGCTTTCTGTACGAAAAAAATATTTGTTACTGTCAATAAATGATGCTTTTTAAAGTATTTGAATTTCAATGAATTTGACAACAATAAATTGAATGTTAAAAGTGATTGTATGAATGTGTGTTTTTTTGCTGTGAAATCTACCATCTGATATGTCAAAGTCTCATAAAGAGATTTTCTATAATTGGAACTTTCTGCAGAAGAAGCTACACATTTCACACGATTTTTTTTGGAAATTATGGTCAGTATTTACTAATAATTTTGTCGATTAAAACAACTAGTTGTCTGGACAATGACTGCATTGACGTCAGAATACTCAGTTCAGACGGTTGGTGCCTTTGGGGACATATTACCAGGGCCGACCTAAACAAAAGGGCATCTTAAGCGGACAAGTCGCTCATGGGGGTTCTCGGAAAGCCCAGGAATTGAAAAAAATGACACCCACTTGCTGCGTATCTGGTAACATAATGACATGTACAAGTAGACCCGCTCTAACCTTGCATAAAAATCTGATAGCACGGTCTCAGAAACACTATCTGATACAAATATCCAACTGTAGTCTGTGTGTAGAGTTGAAATATTTGGAGTCCGACGCTTTCTGTGATTAAAAGAAAATCTAGTTTCCAGACTTACTAACGTTCGGATAGGTTTAGAAAACACATGCGAATGTAATCAATGTTCCACTAAAGCTATCGATACTTTTAAAACCTGTGTCATGCGGTTATTTATTCAGTTATAGTATAGAATTAGTAAGTAGTTTTACCGTTGTTGCCAAACTACACACCATGACCACAATCACGATGTACTCGGCTCGGATATTGCCGACGTGGAATCATTGATTTACCTGTGTTTTTCGTTCAATGGTCTTAAATAAATTACGTTACAGCAATAACGTTATATAACATCCTTGGTTGGTTACAGGCCTTATTGACATTGCTAATAAACTTTCATAGTATTACATAAAAAAATCTGACGTAGAAATAATAATGATAATAATAGTAATTTTACGGCTCTTGGTGGCAAATGTGCAGATGTTGGTGTGTTTTGGCGTACATTCATAATTCTATACAGATTTAATAGCCGAAGACGCTGGATGGGCGTCACCCCACCCTCAGAGAAGTGAGTCACCGTCAATCTGGCGTAAAAGTTTGTAGCAATTCAAAGAGTTTGTTTGTGTGATTTGTCATTATTAGAGCAATGGTCTAGATATTTCCAAATGCCAACATGTTTGACCTCTTGGCACACCTTCTGTCACAGACGCGGTGGTGACGCACCCACATATGATAATCTCAGGCGACACGCCTGCCGGACATGTCCAACTGACAACCATAACCGGGGGGAAAAACTGCACTTCAACTAAAAAACTTCTTAAACCCCTGTCACAGTTCGGTTTACCTTCACAAAGATATGTATAGTCATATAATATTAATGTATCCGATGCGACATTGCAGCTAGGTCCTGTCAAGGCCCATATTTTAAGACCTATAAAACTGCGTTAACCCTTTTCGGCTAAGATGGACCCGTCCATTCGCCAGAGGGAATAGCTAATGACCCGCGCCTATAAAAGCCGGTGAGCGCCTACATTAAGGCCTCTTCGACGTGGGACCTGGTCGGCTTTAACTCGGTTGAAACCAGAATTTTTGTTTTTGCGAATTTTTAGCACATTTTCACCCAAAATGTCGGTAGAATTTGAACTAGCGCCCGGCCGCATGGTGGGAGGAGACCACCCCTGCTTTGTGGTGGCAGAAATCGGACAGAATCACCAGGGGGACATCAACATCGCCAAAGAGATGATCAAGAAAGCTAAGGTACGGGTAAAAACTTGCAGCCATTCCTCTATTTCACTTGTACGTGTACGTGGCACATCTGATAACACATGGCAGCGTTAGTAGGCTAAACATGCGGTGTGAAATGGTGTTTAAGGTTCTAACATGAAGTGCAAGTTTCTGAAAATACCGAAACAGCGCAAGCCGTTCACTCGTTACTTCTGCAAGTAAATGCCTGAGACGATAGCACAAGTCGTTGGCATACCTTAAAATCGTCCGTCCAGGTGCAAAAAACAAGGTCTGGTGGCGTCTCCCCGTCCTGTTGTGAACGAACCAAAAGAAGCTGGACTGGTTGCGATGACGTTTTATCATCTTCCAACTCATTTGCATGACAAAAACAGGTGGGCTCACCTGTAATCACTGTCAATTTTCTGGCGCGGCTGCCACGCAACCAGCCAGGTGAGGGTGACCTGCTGTCCATCATAGCTGAACTGCTGTCTGATTTGCCGTTGTCTTGGTAACAGCGCTTCGATATATGTTAGCGGGGTGGAGCCAGAATTTACGTCTGCCTTACGAACCCGTCTGACCAGTAGTGTCTCATTTGGGTTGGCTTGTGTGTCAATCTGTAATGACTGTTCTATTCTTGTTTGTACAAAGAATGTTGAGCTACCCTCTGGCAAGGGATATCATGATTGCAGAACTAGCTGACCAGTGTTTTGAATTTTAAAAAAAGGGTGAAAAAAGAATCGAAAACACCAGAAACAGCTTCAATGCAAGATAAATGTGTGCGCTATATGAGAACCATTCTTTTGGGCAGGTCCAAAGCAGCGAGCGCCTAGCTTCATACCCCGAAACGACCTGACCCCATTTCCTTTGTCGTTTTTGTTTCGCGCTGGTCGTTTTCCAAATCTGCTTTAAATCCTGTGGCTAATCCTGGGAGTTGAAGATTTAAGTGTCAGCAATGCGTGCTTTCTGATGAAGTTTAACGCTACTGAAATGATCTTTTCACAACTCAAAGCAAGCTAACAGTATTTATGAATAACAGTAACTAGAGTCTTGTAAAGCAAACGGCCATTTTCCACACATATATCTCAAATTCTGACAAAAACAACTCGAATATACAGGTGGCTTCGCCAGTTGTCAGTGTAGTTGTTTGTTGCTACAATGTACGCGCGCGGCCGCACTGGACGGAAGCGCCCTCTAGTGGCTGAAATACGCAACGCACCCTTGCCTCGCATCTGCAATGTGCTGCACAGGTTGGCCATCTGTAGACCTACTAGTACTCTCCGAGCAGAAGTTCAGACTTCGGCCTATATTTTCGACGTGTTTTCATTTTTTTAAAAATCATATTTGTACTGGATTTTTTTTACGCCAGCCCTTCGGGCCAATGCTGCATGGCTGATGGATACTGCATGGCCCATTTGATACTGTCCTTGCAGCTACCAAAAGTTTAACTTAGAGATTTGCTTGGAGATTACTAGTATTGTATACTTTGGTACTGGATATCGCGACTATCGTTTTTTTGTTCGTTATCCCCTTACAGGAGGCTGGTGCAGATGCGGCCAAGTTCCAGAAGAGTGAACTAACGAGGCGGTTCAACCGCGCGGCCCTGGCTCGGCCGTACACCAGCCCGAACGCCTGGGGACCGACCTACGGCGAGCACAAGCAGCACCTCGAGTTCAGCCACGACCAGTACAGGGAGCTCCAGGCCTACGCCAAACAACAAGGCATCTACTTCTTCGCTTCGGCTATGGACGAGGTACGGACGTCTTCGCCCGCTCTTGTCGGAAAACTCAAATCTTATATTTCGATACTTATGAACTTGGAAACGGCAACAAATTAACAAATTTTTTTTCCCCACAGAAAGCTGCAGACTTCCTGGCTGATGAGTTGGACGTCCCGTTCATCAAAGTCGCTTCAGCTGACGCCAACAACCTGCCCTACCTGAAGCACACCGCCAGTAAAGGTAAACGAACTAATGATTTGAAAAAAAAAAACTAAATGTTACATAAAACACAGTACCGGCAAAGTTGAAAAAATGTGAAACATAATTATCATCATATCAAGGTGTCATCACTCCTAAGGAGGAAACCCTCCCTTGACTGACTCATGTTTTTTCTTAGCCTCGTAGTAACGTAGGGCCTAGACGTTTGTCTATCTCCATCTCATACAGGCCGCTATCAATCAACATAAAATACAAGTAAAACTGTCAGAAATCAAGTAAAAACTTATCCGGACCTCAATAACAATGCCATATACCGAAATTCCAACAAATCGGTCAAAACTACCGAGAGTTATAGCTGCGAACACAAACACGTCCGCAAACAACCTTCCCGTGGAAGGATTTCACCCCCCAAGGAGGTAATGAAACTTATCTTTTCCTTTTCACCTGGCAGGAAAACCTATGATCCTGTCGTCCGGTATGCAGTCCATGGGCATCATGGAGCGGGCCGTGAGCACCGTGACTCAGAACATGCCGGGCGACAAGCGCCTGGTCGTCATGCAGTGTACCAGCACGTACCCCCTCCCCCCGGCAGACGTACATCTCACCTGTATAAATGTAAGGTCAACCTCCATTGCATCCTCCCCCTCTTTTCTCCACTACATCATTCGCATGTACAATTAACAGAAAATCCAGAATGAGTCTTCGTGTTTTTGAATTTATGTCCATTTTTTTGCATTTGTACTTGTGCTGTGTGTACAGCTTATAGGTCTGATTTGTAACACAAATTTGGAGTTCATATAATGTCTATGTAGACGCGTATTTCAGCAATGCCGATGCAAATGAATAAACACTGAAAGATTTATGGGTCTTTTCACTGAACTCTTGTCTGCTTGCTAAACTTGTTAAATCGCACCAGTAACCTTTTCTGAATTTCTGTTCCCGTTTCACCTGCAGCTTTTCAAGGAAAAGTTTCCCCACGCCGTGATCGGGTACTCTGGGCACGAGTCGGGCATCTCCATCTCCCTGGCGGCTGTCGCTCTCGGCGCCAAGGTCGTAGAGCGTCACGTGACCCTGGACAAGTCCTGGAAGGTCAGTCAGTGTTCTTTGGCCGTCTGGATGACGTCAACAAAGCTTGACCTGGCTTCAATGCATCTTTCATCACTTATTTTTCTCTCAAACCAGTTTTCTGGTGTCTAATTTCTTCATTGTTCACTCCGTAAATTATGTCATCAGGTTGGTGAATTATTGAATACCAGAGCTCTTTAATCACAACCACTTGTTTTTCAAGAGCCGACGTTTATCATCTAGATCTTCTTCAGGGTAATAACATGTATGACTGGTGTTACTGCTAACAGTGTTGACTGATGGAAACGTTCTCGTTCCCAGGGCTCTGACCACGCCGCGTCTCTGACGTTTGAAGAGTTGAAGGACCTGTGCGACAACATCCGGATCGTGGAGACGGCTCTGGGCAAACCTATCAAGGAACCGCGCCCCAGCGAGCAGGGACTCTTCAAGAAGGTCAGAAGACATAGCTATATGGAAATTATCCTCTAAATTCTTCTGAATTACTTTAATGATGAGTTTTAATGATCATCAGTCATAAACTTTTTGCGATCAGTCCTAGACTTTTTACAAAAACGGTTTTCAAAACTTTTCTACGTCATAGCCTCCGCCGTTTTTCCTCGTGCCTTATCTATCGAAATTCCTCATTATCCAACCATGATGGCAGTCTTTTTGAAAACATTTCTTGCACTATAAACGGGAGGCAACTTGACCACAAACCAGACAATAACATGGTCAAATGTTAAGGAGATTCTCTACTGCTTGGGAAATAACTAACAGAGACCTGTCTGCCTTTCCAGCTGGGTAAGAGTGTGGTAGCTGCCTGCGCCATCCCGGCCGGGACCAAGCTGACCATCGACCACCTGTGCGTGAAGGCGGCCGAGCCGTTCGGCATCCCGCCTGACCAGATCTACGAGCTGGTTGGTCAGACCGTTACCAAGGCAATCGAAGAGGACGCGACCATTCCGAAAGAAGCTCTGGCGGCTTAGGGGAGGACAGGCATCGGCACTGTATGCACTCTCATACAATAACTACAACTAGTAACAGATAACGTTATAGATTTGTGATCTATTGGGGGATTGAATAGAAAAATTATGCTTTGCTGTACATTGCTATGCGAGGCAATATCTATTATGGAAATGAAATATCATTAACAGCAAATTTTCTGGAAAACGTTTGTAGATATTTATGTGCTATAAGCCATAAGATTACTGCGTTGGGATGGTATTTCTATAGCAAAGATGAGTATAGTCCTGCGTGCATTTAGAATGCTATCTAGACATTGATTTTCTTGCAATGGGAACACGGCATTTCATGTGCCTTCTTAGAAAATGTAATGTTTACAAACGGACACATCTTTGTATTCTGGCACTTTTCAGAATTAGATTTGGGAGAAGCCTACAAAATAAACGGTATAAACAAGAAAATGTGTTGAAGTTTTGTTACAAGCCTACTTTTAGTGTACTGTATTTTGGTAGCTATCTTACTTGTTTAGGATCAGTCACACACATGGCATGCACACACAACAAAAAACAGTTCTAACCCATGTTGCCATTTTGTCACATCTATTGCACACCTGATTACAATTCTTGTCAAAAAGAAAAGAGTCCCATGCAAAATTTTATCTACTTTCTGCAGTTCCCATGTTATCTCCCAGAGGATTTAACATTAGTAGATCTAAGTCTTGTTTCTTCTGATACAGCGATTTCAGAATAGAATATGATGGCCTTCATTTTTGGCACTGAACACTTTTGTATCTTGGGTAAAAAGACACATTAGCCTCAAACATTACACCAGGTGGGATCACATTGTGACTGTTTTCAGCATAACTCACTAGGCTAACACTGCCCACATGATTCTACAGTCTTAGCCATTACAAGGCCAATTTGTCAGATGAAATATCTGAGGAAAAACTGCACTGTCTTGTAATATAGCTTCAATATAGCTTCGGTGTGATATAGCTAGCTGCTGCCACGCCGCGTGCCTGCGAAGCTGGTGTGTTACACCGAAGGGCGGTTATACCGGGTATACCAATACAGATAAAGAATAGTCTGGTCATAATGGAAGTAACCAACTAAAGATCTGCATCACTACTAGTAATCAAATTCTACCCAGCCTACAAGGTCTGGGTATTGAGGCTACACATACACATATGTAAGGCACTTGTTGTGCACTAATGTTAACACATCACATGATAGCCATGTCTTCTCAAGTACCACTAACCTAGCCAGAGAACTGATCATTACATACATTTGTACCAACACACAACTACAGCTGCATAACAAATGAATAACATGAGCAAAAACAAAACAATAGATATATAGAGTATGTAGACAACTAGTCACACAGTGTGCTGAAATGCTTGCAGAGTAAAAATCCAATTACAGTAAGCACCAGACCATAGCTGAAATTTGGGTAGCAGTGATCATGTAATATTTGGAATAACACTCAAAATTTTTATTCCTTTATGTCAGAAGTCTAACATTTCAACATGTTACTAGTTTTACATCATCTTAAAGCACTTCCTTTCTGAATACATGTACTAGTAATAATATTCTACCCATAGAATATTTAACTGTTACTGCTGTACTTCATCGGTGGGGTAAACCCTTGCTTTTTACCACAGGTTTGATGCCTTGTACTATTCAGTAGCTTTTACCACACACCCAAGTACTGGCATCAATTCATGTGATGCATGGTGTACAAAGTAAGAGGCAAAACAATCTCATCTGTAGATCCCAAAGAACATGTATCAGTGTGTCTTTTGCGCTGAAATTTTTGAAGAAGGTGATTCAGTAACACATTATCCCATGTTTGTGTTCTTTAACCTTCCCCCCACCAGGTGTGCATCTTCTAGTATTGCTTACAGACATAACTCAGCAGGGGGAGGGTTAAAGGTGACATTACGTTGGTTAAGGTTAGACATCCAGGTAATAAGATATGCCAAAAAACAGCTATTCAAGCAACTGAATATGATTTTGGAAATGGTCAGACGTTACCTTTCGGACTTTCCAAAAATTTGTCTTCCCTTATTTGCACATCAATCAATAGTTCCTGCTTATAATCCTGATTTTCTGACAACCCACTTGTGTCACTGACAAAAGGTAGTGGATACTACCTGAAACGTCTGACCGTTTCCAAAATCATATCCAGTTGCTTGAGTAACTGTTTTTTGGCGTAAAGGTGACATTATTCCACATCGTCCCCCGTCACTGTTTCGTCGTACTCCAGGGCCCGCTTGAGTTTCTTGCCGACCAGCTGGTAGATGTTCTCCGGCGGGAAGCCCTTGGGCTCGGCGACCTTGACCGTCAGCATGTCCATGGTCAGAGCAGTGCCTGCTGGGATATCCTGCTTGGCCACCACGCTCTTCCCAAGCTGCAACACAAGTTTACTGCCATGAGTACAGTACATGTAATTTCATCAGGTTGGTGGGTGACAGAGGAAGTCAGTAAAAAGGGCAAAGAACTGAATAATGAATGATAAATACTAGCCTGGTTACAAATATATTTTAGCTGCTGAGTTTGCAGAGAGAACAAAAGAGACTCGGCAGCTAAAATACGTAACCAGGCTAGATATATTGCATATTCCCCAGTGGATTTTGAGGGTCTGAGACAATTTACACTGGACTGAGATATATATGTGGCATGCCCACGTTATTCCTCTTCTACCACGTTGCCCTGTTTGTAGGGAAGTTCAGAACCTAACCTTGTCATGACAGGCGATCTCACACTGCCTCATGTCCTTCACGAACGACCCCATGGCCGCCTCGACCTCGCGAACCCTCCTGATGAGCTCCGCCAGCTCCTCGAAGTCCAGCGAGGCGGCGTGGTCCGACCCCTTCCACGTCTTGTCCAGGGTCACGTGGCGCTCGATGACCTTTGCCCCCAGGGCCGTGGCGGCGAGGCTGATGGCGATCCCGCTCTCGTGCCCGGAGTAGCCGATGGGGATGTCCGGGAACTCCTTCTGGTACGTCTGCAGTACAGGTCATGGGGTAAAGATCAGAAGTCAAAGGTAACATAAAACTTTCCTTTGACTTGATTTGACTTGAACCAAGTTTGTAAACGTAACAAAAAATTTCAGGATGAAGTAAAAGAAGAGAGGTGATGATATGTGATATAATTATAGGACCTCCTCCTAAGAGTCCAGTAAAGATGTGATAAAAAAGTCAGGTCATAGGGTAAAGTTGAAGGGTCTAAGGTCACAGCTACTGCAAGCATGGACCCTGCGAAGTCGTAAGTTATTATCCTGGAAGTCCTATGCAGTAAACGATAACTGTCAGTGTCCTCATTCATGGTTTCTGAGACAGAAACTTGAGACACAGAGTCGTCCACAGTAAGTTCCTGAAGTGGGACAAACCTGGATACACCTGAGGTGAACGTCCTCTGGGTTGAGTGGGTAGGCGCTGGTGCACTGCATGAAGAGGAAGTTGGGATTGATGGGTTTGACTGTGTTGTAGACTTTCCTCATGGTCTCCAGGGTCTGCATTCCTGACGAGATCAGCATGGGCCGGCCTGGGAAAACACAGGCACAGCATTTGAAAACTATTAATGGGATGTCATCCTTAAATATGCAAATACAATTGGGACATTTGCAGAAGTGCGATGCACAACACATTACAGGTTTCACACAGGCGCAGTGCGTTCTGCTAACGTGCTAGATATTGACCACTCCATGCAGTTACCTTTCTTGGCTGTTGTCTCCAGGTAGGGCAGGTTGTTGGTGTCTCCTGAGCCCACCTTGAAGAAATGTACATCCAACTCATGGAGGAACTCCACTGCTGCCTGGAGTAAACAATGTGTGAAGGGGGAATAAACAAAACAAAGAAACAAATAAGCAACTTGTAGGCTTCGTTCCATCTCACTTGAGAATGAGATGATGCTAAGAGTATGACATATTACTGAAGTGAAGATAGTCTTAAAAGTAAAAATTTTTGCATGCAACCTACATTTTGGCATCTGTAGTGTGATATTTGCTGTACCGTAGTGCACGGTAAAGAGGTTTTCTAAACTTACAGAACAAGGACAGAACAAAAAAGCCTTTCTTCTTTCATACCGAATCCATTCCCGAAGCAGCAAAAATGATGCCGATCTCCTCTGCGTATGCCTTCAGCTCCCTGTACTGCTCGTGGCTGAACTCTAGGTGGCGCTTGTGTTCGCCGTACGTGGGTCCCCACGAGTGCTTGCTGGTGTACGGTCTCGCCAGTGCCGCCTTGTTGAACTTGTGGTCCAGCTCGCTCTTCTGGAACTTGGCGCAGTCCGCACCGGCTTCCTGTAAAGGTGACGGATGAGCTGCAGTTATCAATGTAAATCCTGGAGGGGCTGTATAAAGTAAGGGGGTTATAAAGTAAGACAGACAAATGGTCTGATATTTGCTTATCATGCGTGTATTGTTACTGTTATCAATATCTACCACAAGGCTCTGAGCCATTCGTTGCTTTAGGGATTTTTGTGAATTCTACACTACAGTGTTGGTAACCTACGCAGACCTTTTAGAGTAGAATATGTCAAATGAAAAAGAAGAAGAGGAGAGTAGAGTCTACGCTTAAGTAAATTAGAAGGTTGTTCATCTAGTTTACAAGTGCCCTTCATCTGCCTCTTCCTCATAATGGGTTTTATGTGAATTTCTATGACTTTTTTCGGCTGATTTGCCCTGTAAAGAATATCCCTTGTATTGTGTAACATAAACTATAACTTGTTATGTCTGCAAAGTGGCCTGGGGGGCATCACAGGGCATTCAACTGTAATGATTAAAGTCGCGAAAGGTGAGAGAGGTCAGCATCAAAGTCCGCCAGGACTGGTTCCACAATGTGTTCCACATGACTGACTGCTGTACAGGTGGATTGAATGGACCGTACAACGAGGACCCCTAGCGGTTTGTTTGCGCTCAACAACCTGTTTGGTTACGCCCCAGACATTATTAATCACTTTGACAAATAATATCGCCGGAATCACATTCAAAACATGGTTACTCTAAAAGCAAATTGTAGAAAAATTATATTCTAAATAATAACTCCATAGCCGTAACAATTTTTGTTGCTCATATTCCTCTTTCGGCGTCCAACAAGTTTTTGTAACGGGTAGCGGCCACACAAAAATCAAGTATCATCACCTTGCACTTTTTGATCATCTGCTTGGCGATTTCCAGATCTCCCTGGTGGTTCTGGCCGATCTCTGCAATGATGAAGCAAGGGTGATTCCCGCCGATCATCCTCCCGGGCGCTAGCTCGAACTCCAGGGGCATTTTGGCTGACAAGTGTTGGCAAACTGCTACTGAAAACTTGATCGTGCAAACGTGGACGCGACTGGGGCTAATCACCCGGAAGTGCTGCTATCCGGATATGGAAGATTCTATTCTTACCTGCCCAACAGGGGATTGTAAGATGTTTCCTACATGTCCATAATACAATCTACAAGTATGTAATTTAATGGAAAAGAAGATAGGTTATAATTTGTTGAAATAATATCAGTTGAATGGAAATTTATCTCGATTTATGAAGAAAAAGAAAATATCAATCATCCCCACGAAAGAGATACTGTAGACTATTCCAAAGATGGCCGACGATGTCTACAGTTCTGATGAAAATGAGGAAAATTACGTGTTTTACAGGTTCGTTCGAACATATTGACACTCTTTGACCTTCGGTACATGAATGATATGTTTTTTAGATACTAATTTAAGGTCAGTGTCTGCAAATCATATGTTTGTGGCCTTTGAAATCACCTTAATTTGCTTTGCTCATGCCCCCCTCCCCTTTACTGATCACCCTAAATCATGTCGTGCTGTTGATTTACAGTGTCATGCATGATTTAGTTATACAGAATTTGGAAATAAGATTTGATAGATTTGAGAAAGTCTGACATCACACAATATGATATTCTACCCAGAAGCTTGGTTTCAAACTCCAGGGGGGTATCTCCTGAATATGTTTTCATCGGGTCGGTGAATGATTGAATTTTTGAATAGCAAAGTGCCTTTATTATTCACAACCACTTGTTCTTGCTCTTGATAAACAAGTGGTTGTGAGTAAAAAAACTTTGCAATGATGGATTACACCCAGGAAACAGTGTTAGCCTTACAGAGGTGCGTCACTTGATGATCGTGAGCATTAAAGGGAAGAAGACGAAATGTTTTAAATAAGACAAAATTTTGTTTCCACAGGGATCGTGAGGAGTGGAAAGACGTGACCCCAGTCCCACAGGAGGAAGGACCTCACCCCGTGGTGCAGATAGCGTACTCAGACAGATGTAAGCACTCATGGTGTTACATATACAGAGCACACCAGCAGAATGTACTGTACCTGTGTGCAACCCGTAATGTATTTTGCATAGCACTTTGGCAGAATGGCAGAATAACTTTTATAAGGTCATATTCGCGCGTATAAGGTTAACAACCTGTCTGTAGTTTCCAAATGTGGCTTACAACAGGCAAAATTCTGGTGCAACGTTGACCAAACATCCAACAAAAACCGTGAAAAATCTGGGTTTTGCACAGGCACAGTATGTTCTGCCGACAAGTTTCTGCAATGTCATTTTGAACAGTACTTCTGAAGATTTATTTTGGATCCAGAAACAACCCCAGTTGGACATTGCGTTTCTTAACTTGCGTCTATTATCTAAATTTGCCTCGAGATTTATTTACACGAAATTTCTTTTTCAATGTCTTCCTTATCGCATTATGTCTGTATGATTTTTCCAGTCAAAGACGTGTTTGATTACTTCCGTGCTATCCTGAAGTCTGATGAGCGCAGTGAGCGAGCCTTCAGTCTGACCAAGGACGCCATCGGTCTAAACGCTGCCAACTACACTGTATGGTAGGCTATGATCATGATATACTGTATTATACATGTACACAGTATAACTTTCCAATATGTTTAGAAAATTTTGAATTTGAAATGGATCAAAACCACTAGTCCTATTCCTATATTATCCTCCTTCGCAGACTTGTAGGGCGGCAGTGTTATTTTTTTTGGGTAGCGAGATGCGAGTTATACCGCAGAGGGACGGTTTTGCCTCCCGAGGGAGTTTTGCTGAGGAGAGACCTACAAGTTTCCGAAGAAGGCTACTGCTATACCATGCATTACAGTTTCACAATGCTATTTTGCATGTAAAAAATTTTGAAGAATTTTTTTTTGTTCCACTTGATACCTGAGCTAGCTGAGACTGCAAGGTTGTGGAGCCCTTCTGTGACCTTACTTAACCTTTCCCCGCTGCCCTCCCTGCCAGGCACTACAGAAGACTGCTGCTGCAGGACCTGAAGAAGGACCTGTGGGAGGAGATGAAGTTTGTCAAGGATGTCATCGAGGACCAACCCAAGAACTACCAAGTCTGGTCAGTCCTGGGATCAGATACTCTAGCCTGGTTACCAGACCTATTATAGCTCCCGAGTCCTACATCCGCTCCACAAATATTTGCGGAGAGGATGTAGGACTTAGGAGCTATAATAGGTCTGGTAACCAGGCTGGAGATACTCTGCAGTTGTGTCACTCAATCTGCAGCTATCAGTAGTAACCTCTACCAGGCTTCAGGGTGACTGGAAAGAGTAGAAATTGGCCAAGTAAACAGATAACATGCCAGAGGAGTTACTCTGCTAAAGGAGTACACTTTGCCCCTGGCATGTTATATGTCAAGTGTACTCTTCTGTCTGCTGCCTCTAAAGCCTGGTAAAGGCCCATCAGTAGCCCACAACTTCAAGCTATTCTTTCTATTACTTTTGTGGTTTTACCCCCATGTAAACTTAGTACATGGATATATGAAATGGCTACAGTATGGACCGCACTTGATAAAACTTTTATATACCTGTGATACTACCCGGTAGTAGTGCATTAGATTGGAATTTTTGTTTGCTGAGACATTTGATGAAAAGATTGCCCCCTTGTTGTTTCTCCAGGCACCACAGGCGGGTGCTGGTAGAGTGGCTGAAGGATGCCTCTAAAGAATTGAAGTTCACGGAGGAGATCCTCAACATGGATGCCAAGAACTACCACTGCTGGCAGCACAGACAGTGGTGCATTAGGGTCAGTACAGCTGAAGCTGTTTTTCTTTCTGTCATATTCCTTTTTTCTTTCTCTTGCTGTAACAGTATAAATCTGTAAAGTTTTGTGGTGATTTCATTTTCACATTTTTGCAGTGACCTCTCCACTGCAAATTCACGACTCTACATATGCATGCTTATGCATTTTTGATGCATTATTACTAAGTAACTGTACTAAAGAATTGTTTCAATTGTGAATTCAAAACACAGCAAAAACATCCCTTTTTCTCCTACAATGAAGTACTAGTAACACCACTGCAAAAGTAAATGAATTTACAGTATGTAATATTCCCCTCTGCTGTTGCAGAAGAAGTGAAGTTTGCCTGTTTGTTTGTGTAGGAGTTTAACCTGTGGGACGGTGAGCTGGATTTTGTGAACAACCTTCTGTGTGAAGACCTGCGGAACAACTCTGCGTGGAACCAGCGATTTTACGTCATCAACAACTCCACAGGATTCACTCAGGAGGTGCTGGAGATGGAAGTCAGGTAAGGGCACTCTTTCTTATGTTCACTTTCACTTTTATGTTTAGTATTGTTTTTGATTGATATATTGAAAACGAATATATTCAACTTCAACTAACAATTATGAGAAGCATAATATTTAAGATCGCAAATCCACTTTTCTGTCTGTGTTCTCCCAGTTACACACTACAGATGATCAAAAGAGCTCCAAACAATGAGAGTGCCTGGAACTATTTGAAAGGGTAAGAACATACACTATATGTAAGATACACCCTCACATCTCAGTATTTTATTTGATATGGGTCATTAATCATGCTTTTTCTTTGTGCTAATTATGTAATAGCAGATATTTGCTGCTTTTGTACATGCTGCTCTCTGACTGATGATTTTTTTTAATGTTTACATGTATGTTGATGTTTACGTCAGAATCCTGATGGCGGCAGGTGTGGAGGTGAGCTCCTACCCTAAGCTTATGGACACGTGTCAGGAGCTACGAGCGTCGGGCGTGCACACCCCGTACCTGCTCGCCTTCCTGCTGGACTGTCAGGAGGAGATGTTAGAAACAGGGTCGGGGGTCAAACAGGACAATCTGGACAAGGCTGTACAGGTCAGGATACAAGGATTTAACTTGATTTTGATGGTTTGTTTTAGCACAGTTACATAAGTTTCACACTATTCTTCCTGGAGTCAGTAAGGGCTATAAGGCCACACCGATTTAATTTTATGGATGACATCCTATGAAGACCCCCAAACTAGTGCGCGCGGGCGAATAAAAAAAAAATCCGGCCAAAAATAAAAATGCTACTAAACCACAGGAATACAAAGCTGGTATTGTGAATTTGCGGCAGTACTTTACAACGTATACGACATGCTGGCTTTTTGCGGCATTTATGAATCGGAACTGTACTTATGTACTGAGTTCTTGAGTCGCGGAGCTTCGAATCCGATAGCCTGGGTGCTCGGCTCCATTTTGTCGCTGACTACCATGAGCCAGGCTAGAGCCAGGCCAGAGCCTCGGTGGACGTGATTTTTTTTTTTTTTGAGGGCGACAGGCGAAAATCAATGCGCGCGTGGATGTCATCCATAAAATTAAATCGGTGTGGCCTAATGTTGCTAAAATGAGACAGGGGTTTGCCAGGTGATTTGTAGTGATTCACCAACTTGCAGATACATATATTAGTATTTGGACATTCCCACACCGGGACATGCCCCTACTCTTTTTTGAAAGGTGTGGTGGGCTCACTAACATGCAAGCTAAGGTGTGTGACTCCTCCCGAACACGGGACCTCCATTTGATGTCCTGTCTGAGGGACATCCCTAACCAAAGCTAGGTACTTATCATGATCAGGCTTATTTGTTTATTCCATGCCTGTAAATTAGTGAACACTATTTCTCTCTTCTCTCTCCCCAGTTGTGTAATCAGCTCGCTCAGGAGGAAGACACAATCCGCAAGGAGTACTGGAACTACTGCAGGAGATCCCTGCAGCTGAAATATGGCACCGCAGAGGGAGCAACATAGGGGGGACATGTCCTGTTGCTGCAGTAAAAATACAGTAGCATGGGTACCATCCTGGTTAGTTTACCTCTGCTCCCACAGTTGCTACCCAGCAACTCAGAGCGATTATCAGAGCAGACATGAACTAACCAGTATGGTACCCAGGGCAGCAGTGAAAACCTGCAGCTGAAATATGGCACTGCAGAAGGGACAACATAGGGAGGGGGGACATGTCCTGCCACTGTAGTGATATAGTACCATCCTGGTTAGTTTACATCCGCTCCCACAGTCCCTACCCACAGTAGCAACTATCAGAGCACCCGTTAACTAACTGGGATGGTACCCAGGCTGGCAGTGAAAACCTGCAGCTGAAATATGGCACCACAGCATGGGTGACTTGGGTGTTCATGTGCTGCAGCTACAGTAGGGGGTACATGTGCAGCTGCATCAAATCCTGCAGCAGCTGCTGAAGTATGACACTGCAGCAATAGGGGCAGAAAAGGCGTTGCCATATGTGCTACTACAGATAGAACACTGCAGCAGAGGGAAGGCTAACATGTACCATTAGCCTCTAAATGTGTATTAGATGCAGTTGCTAAATGTGCAAACAGTGCAATGTTGACATTGTTTTGGGATGTCTGTACATGTTTGGTTTTTAATACAGCACAAATGTATTGCAGCACGTAAGATGTCAGTTAACTTTACTGAGCTGTTGACTACATCTATTCAACTATTTTTGAAATTTAGTCAAAGTAGGTCAATGAATTACCGGTAGCCTCATTGAAAAGGTGTAATATTGCTCGTGTAGTTTGTGTCTGATAACTGAACTCTAGTAGCTCTCATTCCATAGGCTCTGTGTTATGTCAAGTTTTCTACCAAATAAAGAAGTGAAGCATACAAGTTCTGTGTACTTAAAATTAGCTTTATTTGATGTCCATGAGAATAAATAAGTTGTAAGAAGTCCTTGGTCTCTGTGCTAATGAAATTTTCTAAGCATAACCTTTACCAAGTTCCTAAATGTTTGACTAAAGAATGCAGAAAGTTTACAATGTGTTCCTGGGGTAAGATCCTTCTCATGAAGGTCTTCACTGTGGCAAGAAACCGTAGATTTATGTACAGATATGGGGAACATTGGATCTGTTATTCTAATCTCAAAACGTAAAATACTAGTAGACAAAGGAATATTTCTTAAAGTTAATTGAAGAAGTTTGTAAGCACAGGTATCTACTTTTATCATGAAGTACTTTAATTTTTTATATTATAATATTAGCAATTTTGGCAAAGCTTTAATTTTGTATGGGGTCAATTCTAAAAATTTTATTAGCCAGGATGGAATTTTGAGACAATAGCAAACAGTTTTGAAAAATGCCAATTATTTTCTATTTGTACACAAATAACTACATGTATTTTTGCTGTTAGAAAATTCTGCAAGCATCACATTACTTGAATGTTACTGCAGAGAGGCAATTTTAGTCAAATATTGGATGACATTGTACATGTACATTTCTTTATCTATAGGTTTTGACAGAAGTGTGCTGCTGTACAAATTATGGTAATGATTTTTTCTATTGCACACAAAATTACTCACAAGCAGTTATACTTATCCCTCTCATTGCTGACTCATGCTGTAATCAATACAAATTTGATGCACGAAAACATTCACAGCTGGGCACAAGTTAAATGTCATTCTAGGCTAAAAAAGTGATTTTCTTTCACACAACTACCGAGAGTCAAACATTGGTACATGCATGTACATCATATATTTCGAATACAAATTAAATGCATAACAAGGGAAAGAAATTAACAGATATATGCTAAACAGGTAAAGTGAATACATAAAATACTGAGAGGAAAGCTAGCGACAGTGGCACATCTGCACCATATTGGCCCAACTATCCAATTTTTACCCACTAAACTAATTTAAACCGAATATCATTCTTCTGTAACGTAATAACTATATACAAGAAAACATGAGCTTAAATAATGTGACATAAGATCACTTTTGGAGTTATTTGGAAGGCTAGACCAGGCAGTGAATACTGGTACTACAAATAGTACATGTATGTTGAAGCCATACCAATAATACATAATACTCAAAACCGACTTGTAACACTTCTTTCAGACTCACAATATGACACTCCACTACAGCCTGGTCATTGATATCAATATCCCTTCATAACGCTGGAAAATGAAGTCGGTCAGACTAGCTTTCCACAAGAATGGGTAAACTGAAAAATAGACTTCTTACATACAAAATACTTGTATCTGGATGAGACTAAGGAGTTTTCAGTTGTGTCAACCTAGCATCAGTACAGAAAGGTGCAAGAATTACTCTAGCCATGAATTTCTTCATGTATTTCTTGAATAACACATTGCTTTTTTTCCACCATCCAGTTTTCACTGCTTTCAGTCCCATATGCTTGTCTGTACCTAGCAACTTAATTTTATGGGTGTGTCTTGTTGAGGAAACTAAACTGTAATGTGCATAACTTCACCAATCCAGAAACTGTCTTGGATTTACCGATTTCTCACACCGATCGATACACCATCACCATATTTCATTTCACCACTGTATCTGTTTCAATAACTGCCTTTTGGAATATTTTATTACGATTTATTACACCTAAGCCTCGCATATGTAACTCCAAGTGTTGTTTAAAACTAAATAAACTATATACCCAAGCTCCCAGAACTGGCCAATTTTCTGGCCAATACAAGTAGTAAGACTGAAGAGAACTGAACCAGCTACTGCAAACTAAAACTACTGCAGCTAAACCTATTTTTGTAGGAAGTTTTGTGAGGATGTCGCGTGGTGCTTGACGAAGGCGATGGCGGCTAGCTCTTTACAAAACTCCTCCAGGACAATCGCACCCTCCAGCAGAGTCCTGTGGTCAACACTGGGGAAGAGAGGGGAGCATTTATAGACGCTACTCAGGTTTTACGGAGCAGCCACGTCTAGGGAACTAGACAATTGCAATGGCTGATGAACACAGCTTACACACAAATATCAGAGAATTTATAACAGTGATCACAATGACTTGCTTAGCACATTGTTCAATGTACAGACAAGCTAACTTTTTACATTCCTTTGCAGGCTGAATAGATAGTAGAAATCAGCCTAAAAAGGAATGTAACTGCCCAGGGGAGGTTAGACCCAGGCAAATTGGACCCTCTATGGCTCCCCTGGACAGTTACATTCCTTTCTAAGCCGATTTCTACAATCTAGTCAGCGTGAAAAGGGAAAAGGGGTCTGGTGGAGACTACTAAGTTTTGAGGTTTACATACTGTGGCTATAGATTAAACCTTTTTTCAGTTGTAAGCTGCGACTTACTTCTCAGCCGGAGCCATCCCCATGAGCTGCTGCCTCACCATCACCAGTTTCCTGTTGAAGTCTGGGATCCGCTGGGCTCGTAACATCAGGTCAGCTGCCACCTGGGGACACAATGTCTTAAAGTCAGTAAACTACAGAGACAATGGCATTGAGCTTTTTACAGAGTGGCCAGACCCCCAGAGGGGAAAAGTCAGTACCGTCTAAACTGCCCAAGAACTCAGAGAACCAATAAAATTTGGACCATGTCAACAGGTAGTCACTACAGACAGGATTCTTTATTTGCTTGTGCCAACAGGAAAAAAAGACCTTAGGACCATCAAAGAGTGACCACATTGGTCCATATGTACAGGTTTCTACTGCACAAATAGAATTACTGATAATGTTCAGTTACATGAAAATTGAACAGACATGTGACCTGAGGGTGATTTAATCTGAGACCTAACAAATGCTGAAAGGTTAGCCAATTTTGAAGACACAGGATTGAACTAATCTGTGGTCAGTGCTTTCTCATTTCTAGACAAAACTGCCCTGCCTGGACCCTAAGGGTGAAAGGTGAGTACTTACCCTCTTGAGTACAGAGTGCAGTGACCTGACCCCGGGGGTGAGGGGGATACAGGGGTCCAGCATGTACTCGTGCAGGTGGGGGTGGGGCAGCAGGGCCAGCTTAGACAGCACGGACGTCACCTGGAGGTTCACATCGTATGGCTGGGGGTACAAGTAAAATTTTATTGATGCACATTGTACCTATAGTAATAGTATAGCTGTTTTTTTTTAAATTAGCTGTAATTTGGACTTTTGATTGTCTGCCACATGCTAATATAGTTTGTTGGACCTTGATTTGACATCATCGTCACCATAGTGTTTAACTGAAAGGTATACATTTGTACTTGTTAAAGATTATAGAATAGGTGACACACCTACTTTCAACTGTCACTTTTGGTGGTAGAAAGTTTTGGAATTCTAAATTTTACAGATTATTCTAGAGTCAGTAAATGACATGGCAAAAACAAGGGCACTTTATACGGGCAATTCTAAAAAAATAAATATCCATAAAAAGCCATGAAGTCTCACCTGGTCCAAGACTCTGGACAGCTTGTCGAATAACACCTTGAGGAGAGACCCTTCGTAGAAGTGGATGTCAGTACGACACTTGTGCAGGGGTTTCACAACACTCGGCCAGTCCCAGTTGACAGAGCTGATACAGCACTCTCTGAACTGCAGGGGGCAGGGTTATATCAGTTCAACATGGGAGCCAACAAAAACCATTTGGAAATTCTATTTGTTTTGGGTAAACTTTGTGGTAGGAATAGGGACTTGGACCAAAAATGCAATCTAAACCAAAAGCCAGCTCAGGCCTCGAAATAATGATTTTGTGCAGCCTGGTAGATCTGTAAATCCTGTACATGTCGTATCCCTGTACACATACATCTACATACCTGTCTGTGGGCATCCCTGAGGTACATGTCGTATCCCGTCCCTTCTACTTGTGATGACGACTTGATCTCATCTGGTACCAGGAACAGGAAGCTACAGAGATGGGGGATCAAAAACTCTGAAGTTTAGAGCAACAAAAGGACCTCTCATGAAACAGAAAGAAGCAAGAATATTGTCTATTCTCTACATACATCATAGATGGAGCATGTCAGCAGGATGGACTGCGTCCGTGCAAAACCTGAATTTTTCACGGTTTTTATTGGAAGTTTGGTCAACGTTTCATCAAAATTTTTCCCTTTGCAGACAATATCTTTTCTGACACAACATTTGAAAACTATAGACGGGACGTCATCTTTAAATTTACAAATACTACCGTAAACGAGACGTTCGGCCAAAGTGCTATGCACATTACTGATTTGTGTAGGCACAGTGTGTTCATTGATGGGAAGTTAAGAAGTAGCCTTACGTGTTGACGACCTTGTGTACCGGGGACCCGTCCTTGTCCTTAGTGGGGGAGTCCTTCTGGGGAGACCACTTCTCCTCATTCAACCAGTCCTCTATGTCACTAAAACATAAGATGTTGACGTTAAAGACTGAGCTAAAATACGCTAGGGAAAAAGGGTCTAAATAGAGGCTTTTATTAAAAATTCTGGGCAATTTACGATTGATTTATCCAGGATTTTAAATGAGTCTTAACAGCAGATAGAACAGTGCTAGGGTCAAAGCTCAATAAGTTTAGATCAGTGCAGGTTGGGTCGGGTTAAGTGTGAAAGAGTACAATCTGAGAGTTGGTTGGTAGTGCTGAAAGTAGGCTTCACATTGACACGAAATCAACAGCAAAGAGGTGCAAAAGTATGACAACGACAGATGCACAGTGCGTGTGACAGGTGAGCTGCATGATGTGTGCGACAGGTGAGCCTTACCTCCAGAAGCTCCAGGAGAAATGAGGGGTTTACATGGATGGAAGCATGAAGGCAAGTCACAGAAGGTCACAAAAAGTCAGACTGACATGGCTAATCAAATTTTAACTACACAATCCTGAGCAATATGTGGTATAGTGCTTCTAGCACCATTAAATCTGCATGTTTATCATAACCATGTCACCTTTTAAAACATTAATTCTTACACAAGGACTACTGAGGATATCTCCTGTGCAAAATATTTTGAAGATTCACAGTGTCAATTGACTACTATTGTATAATACTTACTCAGGTGAAGTGGGTGTTGTGGGTGTCACAGGAGGTGATGTGGACAGTCCATTTGCTACATGTTCCTGGTTGTCATGGTTACTAGGTTGATTGGCATCTTGGTTGTCCTGTTGACTAGTCTCACTAGGGCCCTGATTTGCTTGGGTACCACTCTCACTATCAGGACTTTGATTAACATTTAGCCCTTCGTTATTAACAGAGTCACTAGTAGCAGGCTCTTGGTTTTTGGGGTTGCTGTCTTTACTGACATTGAGGCTGTTGTCATGACTACCGGGTTGAGTGACATCTTCTTTGCTGATGTCGTAGTACCCCCTCTCCTCCAGGTTTGCCAGGACCAGACTGTGCGTGACGTGTTCCTGGGGCTTCTGCAGCAGGACTTCAAATAGCCTCAGGGACACCAGGCTCAACTGGAACACAGGATGGTGATCATTAGTACGTGTATTTTAACAGAAGGAACACCAGACTCGGAATACACAGGACAGCAAATAATTAGCATTTCTACGGTAGAAGCCTAAAGCAGTCTGAGGGACACCTGTCTCATTTGAAACACAGCAAAGGGATTTAAACCCCAGAAGAATACAACTATCTTGGGTTGAGGTCCTTGTGAGTAAGTATTCCTACGCTTAGGACAGGATCCAACACAGCTTATGCAAAAAATAGCTTAGCATTGTGTTCACAAGGAAGCTAAAGTTGAAAGTAAATGTTTTCCTTAGATTTCTTTAACCTCCTCCCTGCTGCCTAACCACATAACCAGTACAGTAGAGAAATGGCAGCCAAAGAGTAACTACAGTGTGTTATGGGTTAAGAAAACAAGTTTGTCTAACCTCATCCGACAGATGATCACACCTCTCAATGACCCGATGTCTCAGTTTGTGTCTCCTGGCCGCGTCTCCAGGCATCTCCATGTCCCTGCACTCTCCCAGGCAAAACATCACTAGTTCTGGGGGATAAACAAAGGGATGAGCAAAACAAAATACATGTGCAATTGTATATCCACAAGTATCCCTGAGTCAAGAAACCTTTGTTCTGCATACTGTTAACTGGTAACAGTCTTCAAGTGTAACACAACAATTTTTGTACCGTATGCACAAGCTGTCTAAGACAGAGGTTCATCCACAATCTTTTCGATAAGTATGGTGGGATTTTTTAAACATGCCCCAGGGGTGGCTTTCCTCATATATAGGACCTTTGCAAGGACACAACATTGGGGCCTGCCAGGGCTTTGAACCCAGAACCTTTAGATTCTAAGTCAACAACCCTAACCACTAGACCACCATGCTCCACTGAGTAAACTTTGTACCGTATACTTACCATGCAGCAGATGTTCTGAGGTGACCATCTTCAGACACTGGGTCAGCAGGGCTGTTGCTGTGAGTGCCCCGACCTCTGACCTGCAGGAGGTCAAGTGTAGAAGGTCAACAAACTAGATCAAGTGTATGACAAGTTGCTTCTTGTTCCAGAGAAAAGTGCTCTTTTCAAGAATGCAGCCTAAGACACTGTGAGTCTTAACCACACAGAATTATTGTCACAGATATTCCCAAACCTTACTCCACTAATGTTGTAAAAGACAGGGTGGACTTACGCCTGCATGATTTGAGGCTCGAACACTGGAACAAAAAACCTCTCTTTCACAGCGAAGGCCAGGGCAGCACCTATGGTCTGGGGATAAAGACAGGAAAATTTGAACTGACAAACATAACATGGATCATATGGAGATTTCAAACGGCAAAATGCTGCATAGGATTTTTCAGTTTGGATGTAAACAGCAGTTTTAAAGAAACCTGAGGTTATACTAAAAGAGTGTGGTGGATCAGGATTGATGCATTGAATGAAATGTAATGACCCACAGCCCATGGTAGACTCAGGTCAGAATAAAGAACCTGTCATACTTTGTGAGATTCTTTGATCAGCTGATCGCAGTAGTCCAGCCATGAAAGGAAAGACGTCAGTTGTCGTTTTCCCGGGAACTGGTTAGCGTCATCTTTGTCACTAAAATCTAACCTGTAACAGAAGTGCAGTAAACAGTTAGGTTATGGTGATGAAACCTTTGACATGAAGAAATTGGTACGGTTTCTTACTTCATTTGTGTAATATTGTTTTACCTAACAGTTCATACTAACTGCTTGTCTATGGCTTACTTGCCATATAGGTTTAAAAAATGCATGAATATATACTGAATACAGAAACCCTGAAAAACAAACCCGTCTATGACAATTATGGATTACAGAAACAGCCATTTCTGCAACTTGCAACTTACAGTAGCCTAGTAAAAGCATGGAGCTATATGTATTTCACATTGAAGACAATGTTTCCTTACCCCCATTTGGCCTCTACAGACTCTATGTCGATTGGCTCCATGGTGGCAGGCAGAGCTCTGTGCAGCAGGCTCAGTCTGTCTGTCAGTACCTCACACAGCCGTGTGTGTTTCACTGCACAGTCTGCTGCGGCCTGCTCTGGGAGGCTGACCAGGAGCATCAGACCTTCACATGACTTCACCGCTATTCTGCTGTCCTGGAAATTTGTAAAATGTGTAAACTCATCCATGGACAAAATAGGCAATGTCTCATCAGTTTTCACAGTTTTTGTTTAGGATCCTTCATGACATTTGAAATCAACCAATAGGGACACAAACATAGTATATTTTGACCAATCACAGCCAGCAACATATCACATTTAGGAAGACAGGTGGCTGCACATTGGCTGATATGAAGAATCTCTTTGTACTTTTCAAACTGTAACAAACACTGAAACTTACGGGACTCTGTGTCAGACTCAGTAATGAGTCGATGATGTTGTACTCCGGACACCCCTCGCTGCCTGACGACGAATCAGAGCCTTTACTGGGCGATGATGATGGTGTGCTTTCACTTTTGGGCGGGGCCTGTTGCCATGGAAATAATAATATCATCAACACAATGGTTAAAACTCCAGCATCCAGCAATGGAATATCAAAAAAATATGTGGCATACATTGAAAAGCAGGTGTTCACCATGTACGTTTTGTATCCAACTTGAGAAATTGAAATAGCAGTCAATTTAAAACATTGTCAAAATTGTTAGTACAGTATTCTTTAACTCATCTGCTCATGTTCATTAGTCTAATCAAGCATTAGTAAGATTAAATCAGTAAAAACACCTGAGATACTTGTCCCATATGTCTAAATGTACCTCTCTTCTATATTTCCATGTGAGTACAAAGAAAAGATTTTGGGAAAAGAAAGTGGGGCTACAAGATTTTCTCAAGGTCATGCAGGAAAAAAAATAAAGAACTGCAGCAGGAGAACAGGTCATGCATTTGGAAATTGAGCAGTTTCTCATCATGCAAAGGAGCAGATAGTGATATTAGCATGTCAGTAGAACGCACAGCATCTGCACAAAACCTGGATTTTTGAAGGTTTCCGTTGGTTTGGTCAATATTACATCACAATTTTGCCTGTTGCAGACGATATCTTGACACAACATTTTAAAACTACAGGATGCAAATAGACCTTAAAAGAGATGTTCCTCTGAAGTTCTATGCACAATACATCACAGGTTTTGTGCAGGTGCAGTACATTCTGCCCACATGCTGTAGTGATAGTCCATGCAGTCAGCAACCTTCCTTTAAAACTGTGTTGACCAAGCACCCCTGTCATTTTAGAATGGACTTGTCCAGAGAAGGGCATGTTAGAGTAAATTAGAAGATACCACTTCCTGAATGGGTGGTACTAGGGGCGATTCTTCAGTTAGAAAGGAAGGTTGGTATGTTGAGGGCTTACCTCACTACTGTACTTGGTAAGTTCCACACCCTACCACCAAACAGCCATGAACAGAAACAGTTAGCAATCAATCACCAAGCTGGAAAGTACTAATGAAAACCACAAGACACGTGCCGTATTGCTGATACACTACAAGCAGTGAGGACACACAACAGATACAGTGGATGTGCACATGTGGTTGCAGAGAGGAGACAGGTTTGTGCAGGAAGAAGTGTTAGAATCTATGACACTAAAAAGTGCCTTCAAACCACAAACAAGAAAAATGAGAAAGCAGGTAAGTATGCCAAAATGGTTCACACAAGAAAAGAAGATCAAATGTTAGAAGTTAGAGCCTAATTTCATTTGGAGCTCCATCTTATCAAAGCAATCTGAATCATACAAAGGCATTTTTAAGTAACATTGCCATGTGCCAATTGACAACAGTCCCACAAGCCCTGACTTAAGCCCTATAAAGTTATCAAGATAATTGTTTCATTGAATGACTGACTGTTCAATAATTGTTCAAAGGAAATTTCCCCCCTTAACACTCATACACACACACAAATACACGCATTTTGTATGCTCTATTTCTATAGTTCATCTGCATGCTAGCAAGCTAGAGCAAAGCTACAAAGGTCATGACCCCTGACCCTTGACTTACAGATCTGGCGCGAGCCCACCAGTCTCTCTGGTAAAAAGGAAGGAAGGAGAGAAGAATAGGAGGGAAGACAGAATGGGAAAATAAACAGATGGTAAGGATTGGACAAGGACCAGAAAACCAAACACAGAATGTTCACTTCCTAACATAAAAAAAAATAAACAGTTCAAAATGAAAACAAGAGACATTTATCAAAAACTTCACTGTCATAACATCTGTATATGCTGGTACATAGGGTGATAAACTATTACATTTCACCGACATTGACCTTTTGGCCAGAAAACCAACCATGTGCAAAGATAAGAACAACTTTTAGCCTTCTGTTTCAAAATCATCCAAGTTCTGGTGAGGCTTTGGGAGTTCAGATGGCCGAGGGTTAACTTGGACATAGATGTACAGATAACAAACAGTGATCAACTATAACCTTCAAGTTATATGCATCAATGCAAAAGATGATAGAACTAAATATCCTATTGTCTAGCTGCAAGAGAAGTAACCAGCAACTTTGACATGGATCAAGAACTGTTACAGAAGACTCTGCTACACTCATGATGTACAAGGAACTGGAAGGAATCACACACCTGTAGGAAGAAGTTGACTAGATACGGGTTGTCCTTAAGTTTGGCACACAGTGTGCATAAAAACTGGATTTCTTCATTTTCTGTTGGTGCTGCCTGTACTTCACCACACACTCGGATCAGCCTCTGAAAGGAGGAAAAAAAACACAAATTTTTGTAACAGCAGACTACAATCAAATACACCTTTTTTTTTAAATCGCACATGCTTTGTACTTGTTGTAACTAAACGTGGCAATGAAATAATCATCCCCCTCAATTCCAATTTTAAATGCAGATGGAATTTACGGTCAAGTATTGTCTTTACTTTCATCTACATACATGTTGACTGTCCCCTCCCCTGTAACCCAGTACATACATATATATACAGAAGTGAGAACTCACATGGACTGGTCTGTGCACGTTGACATGTGGTAGGATCGGCTGCTGAATTTTCCCCAGAAGTTTTGTGAAAAACACCAAAACTTCCTGCTTCATTCCAGGTGGGCACTATGTGAGAGGAACACAGGTTACAGTTCACCTTCAAGTCATCACAATAATTAAACAAATATAAAGATATAAAAGAGGTGATACAAAATCTCTAAATGTGAAACTAATAACATATTACCATATGATCATGTCAACACACAATGTAAGGATTTGGGAGCACACCAGTAATTCTTCTTTAGAATAAGACTGGCTACTGTATTACATATTCTTGGTAGCAAAATTTCACAGTCTGAGAAAAATGGACATTTGCGGTGTGGCAGGTGTAGAAGAAAGAAAGGCATATTTATTTGTTTGTGGTAATGATAAATTTGCAGTGCAGAAGTGACAGCAAAAAACAAACGAATGTAAATGTACCGCGAATATAAAGTGATTCACAGTATTACCTTTATAACAACATTTTCAAAACATTTGGATTCCTTTGTTTATGTACTTGAGATACAAGTGTACTTACATCTGCCCTGCCGAGTGTGTGGAGGGTCTCCAGGAGTTTATGCTGCATGAGATACTCCATGCACGGCCCCGCCTCCCCCCTCTCCTCCTCCTCCTGGATCAGGATCTCCAACATCTGCTCCAGGTGAGACGGGATGTTGGTCTGGTCCACCGGACGCTTGTCATCTGGGGGGGGGGGGGTCAAGGTCATCAGTCAGCACATTTGAATTGCTCTACAGTTGTTTTTGTTTTGTTTTTACTTTAAAGTACGGAAAGTACATGGGTGGCTGAGTTGTGCGTTTGTTTGTGTCTCTGCTTGTCCTAACAGCTTCACTTGCAAGGGAGGTGATTTTGACAGGTGATTGATAGGCACCATTGTTTTTTTAATGAGAATTTCTGGCAAAGGTTTAAGGGGAAATTGTGTATTGGGTCTATTTGCAGGCCTCTTATTGTCTTGGCCAAAGGTCAAGTACATTCTTGGGGGTAACTTGATACATATCTGGCAGCCATATTGGATCACTGGAGAACATGAGTCACTATCTTGTCATGTGGTTTCCATTAAACAATATCCTGTTGTATCTAGTTCTAGACAAAGCATATCCTTTTGTAAGAATACATGCGTATGAAGTGGATTGATGAAACAATTTGTGCCATTAAAAAAGATATCAACAACACGATGGACTCACATCTACTACGGAATACTAATATGTATGTATGTACATACAATGTACCTATATCATATTATGGCATTAGGTGATCACAAGGTCTGAGTCAGTGACCATATGTTTCCTGCATTGTCTATTCAAAATTCATCATTGATCACTGCCTGATTGTTGTATTGTCTTGTCTAATACTAAGGGAATACTGCCCGTACTTACCTGTATTGTCTATGTAATATTTAGTGATGGATTTCCAGTGGTAGACAAAATCCTCCTGCAGGGGAAGGTTTGGTGCCAGCTGAAACAAAACAAAACAAAACATTTCAAGATGAATACTAACATTAGTATTCACGGAAGGATTTTCCAAAGAAATTTGGTCTTGGTGTTATCAAGGAGTTATCCACCAGCGGTGTGAAGATTTCTAGATTAGCAGTGATCAAGGGTCTGTTAAGAGCAATTTTTTGTAACGTGAAGATGTGCACATTAGACAAAATTTTATGCTTTGGTTGGCTGTAAAATATTGCTGATACTAACTTCATTGCCAACATGATTGCATTTTCAAGGTTCAACCAGGGAGGTTCCCTTTTTTTAACCTTGTTGGTTCAACATTTGTCAGTTTTGGGAGGATGGATATTTTTAGACAGCCTACCTATCTCATCCCTCGATCTGACCTGGTCATTGGGGGGATGGGGTTAAGGTAGACATAGAGATGGAAACACGCTCACCCAAATTACCAGGAAGTATTTATTTTCACCGTAGATCTTGAAACTTTCACTGTGGTTTTATTTTGTGACCATTCCATAATATTAATTCATGCATTTCATGGTGGAATTAATTTACAGTATAAAAAGATTACCGTCCACTTACAAGTCTTTGTTTTGTTAGAGAGATTGACTGCGGGAGACACAATTATTTGGATGCTGCTAACTCAGTGGAATAAAAGGTGCTGATGTTAACTATATTTATTTTGAGAGCCGGTGCTTAACTTGTTATGCAAATTACCCCTGGGTGTAAAAGGTCACATGTGGGTTGCAAACATTCTAAAAGAATGACATGACAATTGGTATAAAGGGTAACAATAGATGCCATTTGAGATCCCTCATTGACATAATTAATGTGTGAACAAGTTGATGGGAACTACAACTACGTAGTATTCTGGTTGATGCAAATTGAGAGACAATACATTGGAAGGGATGCATTACTATATCCTTTTGCTGTGTGTTAGAATTTCGGCATAATAAAGGCAGGCAACATAAAATGGAAGCTCTAATTTGGAATCAAAATCAGTTTTTTCAAGTGATGTTTAATTTGAGAATCATTGATGGTGAAGGAAACAAGAAGGTTTGACATACACGAGGTTCCAGATCACCACTCCAGTTGTCAATCTAAACAAATATATAGTTTTGAACATAGTGAACATAATTAACAAAAGGACTTGATTGTCGTATATTCTATAGTAGCTACCAATAATACCATCTTGATAAGTAAATTATGCACTGTATATTAAAAAAATGTTTTTTTCCCTCAAAATAAGTATACATGTTACCACTGTTATTTTTGCAAGATCGTAGATAAAAATTTATCGTGTGCCCTCCCACCCCAAAGTAGTGAAATATATATGATAATTGATTTGGAAAGTTTTTGTGTCACAAAATGACAACTTTCCGCGTTCGACCAAGGGGTATGATGGTCATAACGACATGCCAGCCTGCCCAGTACGGGTTCTAAATGTAGAATGATTGTTTATCCCGCGCCAAGAAGCCAAAATCAGCAGAAGTCGATGATACAGAACAGACAGAGCTACGTTGGTTCGATTCACCCGTCTCCCCCCAGATGCGCTTCGCCACTCACCGCTTCCACCGCATGCTGTAGGATCGAGGCGAATTTGTTGAACATCTTTGGGACCCTCCGTCGTTGTTTAGCCCCTCCGCTGCCCTGTCCCCCCGCCTGAGCCACCGTGGCGACTTCTGCGGGCAATAAAAACAATAAATTCCAGGCGGCTGCTCGCCTCGCTGGAGTGTTGGAAAGTTGGCAGCCCGGAAATTCACGAGTTGCACATTCCCAGGATCCTTTGCGCCCAGGGTAGGTCACGTGGGCGTCAGGGTAGGGAAAGGTCGCGGTAAACCACGTGACTCATCCTCGGCTCTGGTCGGAAGAAGTCGGAAGTGTTCGCGAGCGCTCGGAAATTTCAAAAATGGCTGACACCACTGCCGGCGGCGGGAGGTACGTAGTTTTTCACAGCGTTCGTACGGCAAAGCGGCATCGAATTTTTGCTCCATGACTATCGGTATGGGATAGGATAGGGTTGATTCAACACACTTCGTGAAAATGTGAATGCTCCCAGCCTACTATCGGCCAGATATCGCTTAGGGCACCTTCTTCCGACCAGAGCCGAGGATGAGTCACGTGGTTTACCGAAACCATTCCCTACCCTGACGCCCACGTGACCTACCCTGGGCGCAAAGGATCCTGGGAATGTGCAACTCGTGAATACGCAACCTTCTCCTTCCCACTATGCACCGCGATGTTAACCTTTGACCCAGACATGTGCCGTGTCAAAATAAAAGCTGATTTGGGTCAAATTTCACACGTTTTTAACGTGGTAGATTAAAAATTCTGGTCAGAAACAAGAGGTAATGATATCAAGTCCAACTTCAATTCACAAATTAGCTATAAAGTTTTCTATAAAGCGGGTAGATTCCCTCCCAAAATAGAAATAAAGTTATTGTTTTGGATCATGCTACTCTAAAGATGGTTGTCCTTGAACTATTAAAAAGTTTATAAAAGGGTTTATTTTGAGATTTTGTCAAAGAATACACAAAACATCAATATTAGGTAAAGAAAAATATATATATTCGTAAAAGTAATCGACGATTGAGTAGAATTTTATATACATCCTTCACAAATTTTGCTCTTGTCTTCCACAAATAGTTGGAATACTCCAAATCTCCCATGATTCCGCTCCATTTCTTGTAAACTTGGAGACCGCGGGAGGTTGGAGGTCTCTTTGGGCCGTTAGTTTTCTTACATAGAAAGACGGAAAAATGACGCGAGAGACAACATAGTACAACTTGAGGTTTAGAAGAGTTAGAGTATCGGCTCTTATCGAGAATGACGCGCAAAGGTGGAGGATGGAGGGGGCGCGGCCGCAGCGGGGCTCGATGGCGGGACAGCAGGGCCAGGGGCAACCCCGCCGAGGCATGCCAGGTCAACACCCGCGGGACCGTCACCATCAAACAGGAGAAACAAGGTGGATGTTGTGAAATATGTTTGTAATCTTAACTTCTTTCATAGTTCATGCAACTGTCCGGGGTAAGATGCTCTGTTGTTGTGAAAAGAAAAGGATCAGACGGTTTGACAGTTGGTTGACGAAAGTTTTGCTCCGTCAAGCAAGATATGCAAATAAGGATGCTATTTGAGCGATTTTGAGTTGAGCAGCATATGGGTTGTATAATTGTTTGTGCATCCATTCCTAACCTTTGACAAAGCAAAAATAAACTTTGCATGAGATCTTTTACCTCTGATGAAAAGTGTGATAACCCATCCACAACATGACACAGACCCCCTGATTAGCATATAATTTGATGAAGAGTGTTAGCTGAGTGTGAATTGATGCACTTTTCATATGCAGAAATACTACTTTGATACCTGTGGAACAGATACATTTGTATGTAGATTTAGACCTACTATTTTAACCATCAGTCTGCTAAGGTAGTCATTTGGCTACAATTTGTATTGGGATTTATGGGGCTAGACAGCAAGAGATTAAAAGATTAAACTTTGAGAAAGGAAGTTGTTGTAAACATTGAGCTTTATTATATATAAAATGCAATTTGCAACATAACGTTACTTCTAGAGAGTGAAAAGAGGTAGTAGTTAAATACATGTAAACCTAAGGTTTCTCACTGAGATAGTTCAAATGTCATCTGATCACTTTAAATTTTGACCTGTGAACTCTGACCCTGACGTACCCCTGTAGATGAAGGCTATGGTGATGTGAAAGTGAAGTCATTTGAGGAGATCATGGCTGAGAAGAGGCGGAGACGGCTGGGCCAGCAGACAGCTGCCAGGAGCTCCGCAGCACCTGGGGCAGCTACAGACGTCACGGAAACACACAGCACGCCAGGTGCCTTTCTGCACACATGTAAATGTGATGGTTTGAGACACAAGTTGCAGAATAAATCATTGCAGTAGTAAATCATTCCATGTCACACTTAGAAGCCTTAGTATTGTCTAAAAAAAATAAGGTTAACATCACAGACAAGAGAAGATACTAGTTTGAGATGATATTTGTCCGTTTTCCACAAAATGTGATTCATAATAGAAAGCCTGCATTCTTTTAGCTTGCCAAACTGCACTTACCTGCACTTACAGGCTTTCTATCTTTTTAAAACATGCAAACTGCAGGTGGGTATTTCCAGCTCTGTAAGTGAAACTGTTAAGTAGACCCACATAGCCTGGTGTTCTTTGTATCCACCAGTGGACTGCCACACAGGTTTGATATAATCATGTTTGTTATTTTGTTTTCATTTTGGTTATGATACAGGCCGTCCCAAAGACAGTCCTGTCCAGAGTGTCCGCAGTGCTGTGTCAGATCCAGGAGGAACAGCGCTGTTCCGTGGTGTAGCTAACTTCAATAACAGTACAGGTAAGCTGTCGGTGGTGACAAGCAAGTCATACATAATGATTAACGTCTTGCACAATCCATTAAATCAGTGAATGATCTGTTTTTTAATTTTACTTATGTTCATCAGTTATTTTATTTGCTGTATGGTCCACTGTTGATGTTCATTTACAGATGAAACTAAAAAAATGTAAATAATGTAGATAATCAGGTAACGTGATTTTGAGTTTGCATCTCCAAGGTTCAGTGAATTTCTTTGTTCTACTTCCAGGCAACATCAACACAACACAGGGATCATGGACTTCTTCAGCGTCATCAACCCCAGTTCGACCTCTTGCTTCCATACTGAAAAGTTCATCTTCTTCTTCTCCGGTTTTTCCTGGTGATCAGTTAGGTTTCGGTACCCCCATTGTGTACCTGGACCGCTTGTCGCAAGCACAGGAAGATGAGCTGTCCAGAGTTGGCATGATCAGGACTCCCTCCAACTCACCTTCCCCAGACAGGGGGTCCCCTGCTGCCAAGGAGAGAACGCCAAAAAGCAAGAAGAAGGGTGCAGGAAAGAGAAAATCAGGAACAAAAGCTTACCTCGGGACCTCCGGGGAAGAATCCACAGAGTCATCAACTGTTGCAGTGAAGGTAGAAACGGACGTAGGTGCTTTAGGTAAATTTGGGGACTCCAGTGGTCTCCTTGGTCTACGTAATCTGTTAAAGGGAAGCGCAAATCAAAGACCAGGAGACAGTAGGACAGAGCAGGATGAAGTACCAACAAGTAGTGGACTATTCTCTCCTGTTCCAAGTCATACGGTCCCAGTGGAGACAATACTCTCGGAGTGCAGAAATCCCTTCGAGCTAACTCAGCAGCAAGATGTGATTCTTATTGACAGTTCTGAGGATGAAAGTGACACAAAGATATCAGGACAATCCAGTAAAGGAAGGAGGAAGAAAAAACGGGAGAGGAAGGTGAGAGAAGGACAGCAGGACTCTTCCTTGGAGTTTGCTTGGATAAAGAAGGAGCCAAAAGAAGATGCCAAAGATACAGCACAACCAAACCTTTCTCCACTTCCAAACCCTCTGACATTTCCCTACAGGAACAACACTATGGACTATGGACTAAGAAATGGCCCCTTTACTACAACTTCTTCTGACACACCTCAAGAGGTAGTGCCGTCTTCTTCACCAGAGCAGCCTGGAACATCAGACAGTAGCCGTAATGTCTGGGACATCTTTTCTGAGACGGGTTCAAACACCTCTGGTACAGTCTCAACACAGCCTGTAGCTGTAGCTGAACTATTTGTAAATACTCCTACGACAGCTCTCACAGTCCCAACAACTTCGGACCACCCGAAACAAACTGTACCTCCAGTTGACACTTTTGATGTTACCCAGTTGTCAAGGGCATCGTCCCCAGACAGTAATGCCTCCTATTCCGTGCTTTTGAAGAGCGTGCAGGAACTGTCGGAGCTGGACGAGGAACACCAAACGTCCACATATTCACCAGAGTATGATGTCTTGAATGGTAACACTGAAGCAGCCACACTTGCAAACAGCTGTTCCAGCCTGAGTCAGCCTCCTCTGGTTGAGACTGAGTATAGTTATATTGAACTGCTGAATGGACAACCTGAGGTGCCCATAACAAGCCCACAAGCTGAGCTGTCCATGCCAACCTTACAACCCGAGCTTCCTATGGCAGGACAACCCAATTGTAACATTCCCCAAACTGACAGCATCTCCAACTGCATGTCACCTACTCAGCTCTTGCTAGAGGCAGGCATACAGAATAATGTAGACCTTTCCCCTCCTAAACTGTTGCTTGATTCCCCAGCTCTAGTACAGACCTTCCCCAGTCAGCTAGATGGTCACGATCACAACAAAGGAGGTACGGAACACATCTCAGAAGCAGAGTCTTCGCAGGAAAGTCAAGAAAATGCAAGGAGAGGTGAGACTCAAGTGACTCAGGACGGCATAGAACTGGACAAAACAGACGTTGAAAAAAACAACAACCCACTTTCCAAAAACCCTCAAGTTGTAACAAGTCCGTCAGTGATTGAAGACTTGGAAGTAGACATGTTGTTGTCATCCTTTGAAACACTTGCAATGCCTGTGGACATTGCTGAAATGCAGAGTGATAAGACATTGGAAGTAGCAGATATGGAATGCCCCTCACAATGTGCCAAAAGTGGAGAATATGATGTCTTGCAAACTGTTCATGAAGTTCCTACAAGGGCATCTTCTCAGCTTGAAGCTTCAACATCAGAGAAAACTGGAAGAGGAAGAAGGAAGCCACAGCAGAAGAAACGGCAATCGGCTAGGCTGAGGAAGAAGTCTGGAAGGAGCACTCAAGTGGAACCTGGATCGCAGGGTGTGGGCCAAGACTACTCAGAGAATGGTCAGAACTCGCCACAGCTGAAACGAAAATCATCAAGAATGAAACCAAATGCCCCACTGGTTGAACAAAAATTAGCACGTGTGACAACAGACTCCCCAAGAGTTGAACAAAAATCACCACAGATGCAATCTGACTGCCCAAGAGTTGAAGAGAACTCACCACAGGTGCAATCAGAGAAGTCTGAAAGTGTGAGGCACAACTTGCCACAGGTGAAACAAAGTTTGCCACAGGTGAAAGCGAACTCACCACAGGTCCGACGAAAGTCCCCACGTGGGGGACAGGACTCACCATGTGTGAGGAAAAAGACACGGCGTGGGGGACGGACAGCATCAAGGACGGGACAGAACTCGCCACAAGTGGGACAGAACTCGCCACAGGTGGCCCAGGACTCACCACAGTTTGGACAGGACTCGCCACAGGTGGGACAGGACTCGCCACAGGTGGGACAGAACTCGCCACAGGTGGGACAGGACTCGCCACAGGTGGGACAGGACTCGCCACAGGTGGGACAGGACTCGCCACAGGTGGGACAGGGCTCGCCACAGGTGGGACAGGGCTCGCCACAGGTGGGACAGAGCTCGCCACAGTTGCGACAGGACTCACAACAGGTGGGTCAGAACTCTCCTCAGGTGGGACAGAATTCGCCACAGGTGGGACAGAATTCGCCACAGGTGGGACAGGACTCGCCACAGGTGAGACAGGACTCGCCACAGGTGGGACAGGACTCGCCACAGGTGGGACAGGACTCACCACTGGTGGGACAGGACTCGCCTCTTGAAAAAGAGCCACCACAGCAAGAACAGAACTCTCCCCAGCTGGAAACCAACATACCACAGGCTGGACAGACCTTGCTACCAGCGGAACAGAACTCAACACAGAACTCACCACAACTTTCAGATCTCACGCCACAGCTAGAACACAACCCACCACAAGAGCCACCACAGGTGAAACCAAAATCACCACAGATGAAAGCAAAGTCACGAAAGTCCCCACGCGTGAGACAGAACTCACCACGGGTGAGAAAAAAGACACTGCGAGTGAAGTGGACTGCACCACAGCCAGCAAACAAACCACCACAGCTGGGACACGACCCACCACAGCTGGGACACGACCCACCACAGCTGGGTGACGACCCACTACAGCTGGGACATGACCCACCACAGCTGGGACACGACCCACCACAGCTGGGTGACGACCCACTACAGCTGGGAGACAACCCACTACAGCTGGGAGACAACCCACTACAGCTGGGAGACAACCCACCAGAGCTGGGACACGACCCACCACAGCTGGGACAAGACCCACCACAGCTGGGACACGACCCACCACAGCTGGGACAAGACCCACCACAGCTGGGACACGACCCACCACAAAAGCCACAAAAGGCAAAATCACCAAGGGTGAAACCAAAATCACCCAGGGTAACAGCAAAATCACAGCAGGTCAAGCGGAAGTCCCCACGAGTGGAACAGAACTCACCACGGGTAAGAAAAAAGACTGCACCACAGCTGGCACATGACCCACCACAACTGGGAGACAACCCACCACAACTGGGAGATGACCCACCACAGCTGGGAGACAACCCACCACAGCTGGGACACGACCAACCACAGCTTGAAGGTGACCCACTGCCAAAACTGCCACAGGTGAAACCAAAGTCACCAAGGGTAACAGCAAAATCACAGCAGGTCAAACGGAAGTCCCCACGAGTGGAACGGGACTCACCACAGGTGAGAAAAAAGACTGCACCACAGCCAGCAAACAACCCACCACAGCTGGGAGACGACCCACCACAGCTGGGACACGACCCATCACAGCTGGGACACGACCCACCACAGCTGGGACAAGACCCACCACAGCTGGGACACGACCCACCACAGCTGGGACAAGACCCACCACAGCTGGGACACGACCCACCACAACTGGGAGACAACCCACCACAAAAGCCACCACAGGTGAAACCAAAATCCCAACAGGTCAAGCGGAAATCCCCACGAGTGGAACAGAACTCACCACAGGTGAGAAAAAAGACTGCACTACAGCCAGCAAACAACCCACCACAGCTGGGAGACGACCCACCACAGCTGGGAGATGTGACACAGAAGTCACCAAAGCTGTCACCACCTAGAAAGTCTCAAGAGGACGAAGCTATCAATGAGGGATTCTCAAGTTCTGAAAGCTTACAACAGTTAACAAAGCCAGGCAAGAGGAAGCAGAATTCATCCAAAATGCCAAAGAAAGTGCACAAGTCACACCATCAAAAACCAGCAGCATCAACTCCATTCATTCCACTAAGCCCAGGTAGTAATGACTATAAGGTAGCAAACAGTACCACTAAGTCTGACAAAGATGTGTCTACATCAGAAGGAGTTCATAGAAGTATGAGACGACAGGAAGAGGCTGCCACTGGGAGCCCCCGTGTTTTCAGAAGTTACCTAGCCCGTGTGGCAGGAAGTATAAGCAGCAATACAGACAGTCAACACGCTCCAGTGGGAGGTTTTGAGTTCAGCACCCCGTCAATGCTTAGCAGACATGGCAGTCCATCAGTAATTGGCACCACATCAACCCCTGCGTATTCCAAGGAGAACCAGCCTGCTCCTCGTGATGCTAGGGCACCCTCGCTCAGCCCCATTGTGTGCAGTTCTTCACCATTCACTCGAACAACCCAACCAGAAGTCTCTTACGCGTCGAGCCCAGGCAATGATGGCAGCAACCTGAGACTGATTTCCTTGGGAACATCACCACGAACTGCTGAAACGAGTCTGTCAGCTTGTAGTCCATTTTTGAGCACGGCATCGCCACGTTCCTCCCCTTTCGGGAGCTCAGATGCTGGTTACGAAGGCAGACAAGCTGTAGCCAGCAGTTCTCCTTACACGGGAAACAGTGTTGACAAGACACGGTCTTTCGGCCAGTCGTACATCACCGTGGACACCACCAGATGCTCCGCAACCCTTTCTGAGAGTGAGAGTGAAGAGAAGGAGGTTGCTACAACTCCTGAGCCTACATCTGTGAGAAAGGTGAAGTTTGGCATGCCTGAGGATCTCCAGGTGAAGCTGAACAGGACGAAGAGAGAGGTGAAGAGGACAATGGTACCATCTCCACAGAAGTCGTGGGTTTCTCTTGCAACTGGCAGTGCCATTCTGCAGAGGAGCAGTCCTGCAGGTAAGGAAAGTTTGTTTGGTCACAGAATGCTGTGATACATAGGTCCAGGATTTCATGTTGCATATGACAAGAGGGGCACCAGGAAATTAATTCATTAAGTTTTTGGATGGTACTGGAATTTTGGCAGTCATTGAAAATTGCATAGAGTAGTGGATTGCTCTGGGAAGTCGTGAAAAGTGATGGAACATGAAGGCTATGGACAGTGATCAGCATTGTGTTTAATGAAATTATGTCTCTGAAACACTTCTATGAAGGCACATAGCTAGCCTCTTGAAGTAGTGACCATGCTATGAAAGATTTTACAGTTGACCCCCTCATTTTGCAGGATGCAGTGATAATGATGACGCCATCTCGCTGTTTGTGAGCAGAGATGAGGATTCCTGGTTCTTGATTGATGATGATGGGGAGAATGAAACATCCAGGTTGGCCTTGGTTTGTATACCATAAGTCAAGAAGATAATTTGAAAAAGCTGAGATTATGTATTACTAAGTACCTTACTTGTAGACCTTGCTTCTCAGGAAGAATCAGAGAGTCTTATTACAATTTGTTTTGGACACAACAGTTTAGGACCCTCTACTGTGCTGTGTGATGGAAAAAAACTCTGAGTCACTACCAAAAGGCTCAGATTTGTGTTACATAATCTTGTCTCATGTGATCTTAAGGGACACCCAGTTGGACAACAGCCCTGCAGCTAAGAACACCACCAGTCTTCCCAGTGTTCAGCAGGCACACCGTCAGAAGCCGTCTCCTGTAGTCTGTAACCCAGCAGAAGGGGCCAGTAGCTCCCCAGGCCTGCCAGACCAGACAGACGTCAGGGTGCACAGAACACAAGGGGGACTGATCGTCAAGCTGCCACAGAGAACACTGATGAAGAGGAAGGGTGTAGCCATGCATGGTACCACAGCACAAGACGAGACACAGACTGCAGGGCTGTCTAGTCCCAAGCGACTCAGGACTGCTGTCAGGTTAGGGATGTTCAATGTCTGGCAAGGGTTAACTCTTCTTCATACCCCCTTTCCCATTAGACAGCAATTGTTGTTGAGCAACTGCATGTATGACTAGGCCTGATTGATTGGAATATAATGCAAGATGTAAAAGAATGATTTTAAAGATAACAAAACTCATAAAGCTTATCTAATATTATAGTATGAAATTCTTTGACTGATCTGTCAAATATTTTGTCCTTAGGAGATACATGAGTGGTTGCATACCTAAAAAAAAAAAAAAAAAAAAATTTTACGGTTCTCAGTGGCCAATATGAGATGTTGTCACATCGGCGCACCAAATCCGTAAGGTGTTTTTGGCACCCTGACAGACAGATTAGCCTTATAAGGCTCGGTGGGCGTCACTCCACCGTATAGGTGGGGAAGTCGTGTAAAGTGCCTTTCCCAAGGGCACAACGTCGGGCCACGGTGAGTATCGAACCCGGGACCTCTCGGTTCCGAGTCCAACGCTCTAACCGTTGCGCCACCGACGCCACTGCATCCTAAAGGGATGTTAATGTGACCTTGACTGTTTAAAATTTTTGGTTGAATAAATTATCATCTCAGACAGCCGCAGAGCAATGAAGGTTTAACGTGTTCCTTTCTGATATTTCAGCACTAGAGAAGGTACCAGACCCATGGAGATGGAGAGAAACACAGGCAGGGGAGCTGCGCAGCAAACAGCACAGTATGACAGGTGAGTTCCCTGTAACCATGGTTACAAGGTACAGGTACAGGCAGGGAGGACGAGCAGCAGATAGAACAGCATGACAAGCAATCTCATTTTAACCAGAGCTAAACCAGAGTTTAGCAAGAAGGACCTGAAAGTTAGTGTAAGGAATTCGTTTTTTTAGCTGTTTCTTCTTTTTTCCAGCAGACATGGAAACAGATGCCTGCCACTGCCCTTCGGTTACTGCCGACAACATTTCCTGTCATTGCAAGGCTGCAGTATGCAGTATCATGGCTGCAAGTTCGACCATAGGCTGACCAGTAAGGCAGTAAGTACAGCAGTTTGATTTGTGTGCTCAAGACACATTTTCTACTAACAGGTTTTGACATACCCTGTCTCGCACTCTCACCATGAAGTCATAGTTTCTGTGTGAGACCTATTGGAAACTGTGCATGTGTGTGGTTGTAAGAAGGCGGTATGTGGAGCAAGTTGGGAAGTACTTTGTAGAGATTTGATTTATTGAAATTGTAACAATACAATACATGTTGGACACAGGCAGCTGTTGCTGGTGTTGTGTCCCACACATAGAAAGAAATACAGGATAGGACAGTACTCATTTTCACTTAAGGTATGTGAGGAAAGTTGTGTAAAGTGCCTTTCCCAAGGGCACAAGATCAGTGGCATGTCAGAACTTGAACCTGGGACCTTTTGGTTCTGAGTCAAGCACTCTGCCATTGCACCACACGACCCCCGTCATCCAATCCTCTCCACAGTTCACAGAAACCCAAAACACTTCCCAGAGGTCTGTGGCCATAAATACCCCCAAATACTTCAGCAAAGTTTGAATTTTTGGTGTCTTGTTTATTCCTGCAGATGGCGCGAGATCTGATAGATTACGTCTCAGGGAAAGGCCTGGCTGTTCCCCTCACCGTGTACAGAGACTACATCCGTCTACTCATCCAGGCTGGCGACACGGCAGAAGCTGTGGCAACGTTCAGGAAATTGAGAAATTGGTAAGAAGACATTTCTAGTGAACAGACTAGCAAGATTCCTTAAGGGCAATCTCCTTATTGTTTTTTAATAGAGGATTTGGCTGGGAAACATATAGATGATGCAAATAGTGTTAATTTCCGCTTCCAAAGACAGCACTTAAACTTACGAAGGTAGAAAGCATGATATCATAGGTGAATTGATACCTTCAAGCAGGAAAAAAATACAGGCATTCGCAAGTATACCTTACCTCTATCTACTATGGGTGTAATCCAGTAAATAGACATGGTTTGGCTTATCTGTTGCCACTGTAGGAACTCTGGGGAGCTGACTGTCATCGTGGATGAACTGACTGATAACCTGTTAAGCATGCAGTGCTGGGGTTATCTGCAAGAGGTCCTTCTTCTGGTGCTACAGAAGGGCATCATGGTGAGCTACTCTTAGGCCACACCGATTTAATTTTATGGATGACATCCTCTGAAGACCCCCAAACTAGTGCGCGCGGGCGAAAAAAATAAAAATCCGGCCAAAAATAAAAATGCTACAAAACCACAGGAATACAAACCTGGTATTGTGAATTTGGCGCATTACATAGCGACGTATACGACAGGCCGACACATGCTGGATTTTTGCGGAATATATGAATCGACACTGCTGTACGTATGTACTGAGTTCTTGAGTCTTGGCGCTTCGGTAGCCTGGCTGCCGTCAACCAGAGTTATCACCACCATGCACTACCCAGGCCTAAAGCCAGGCCAGAGCCTCGGAATACGTGATCTTTTTTTTTTTTGAGATCGGGCGAAAATCAATGCGCGCGCGGATGTCATCCATAAGATTAAATCGGTTTGGCCTTACTATTGTTTACTCATGATAAGAAATTCAGCGATAAGAAAAATAATCTATTCAGACAGTAAGAAGAAATCTAGAAATTCATTAAACTAAGTCAGTAAATGATCAAGTGCTGGAACTGTGATTTTGATATTTGGTGCCAATTTTTTGGTACTAACTTGTTGACAATGTTTGTTTCTGTTGAATTGCCAGCCCAATGAGAATGTGCTGTGTGAGCTGATTCAGCATCATGGAGACTACAACAATATCCTGGCCATCAGGCAGCTCATGGATAAGGTCAGTAGGGTCAAAGGGCATGGGGAGGTCAAATGTATTTCACCTGCAATTTACTTTAAAGATGCTTCGTATTTCTCTTATTGAGGACCAAAGTTAATGTCCACTTTTCAGACTTGTTAGAATTTGCCAGTTTTTATGGTAGTGGCCTTTCAAATGGATTGACAGCAGGAAAAAAAATGCACATTTCACGTTGTTGTGAATGAGGCCATAGGCTGTGGAAAGATAATTCTGTTTCGTTCTTGTTGTGCTTGCTGGCTTCGTCAGCAAAACTTGATCTTCGTAAGCGGTTATCACTGCAACAAGACCTACAGTTCTGGGTCTTGTCATAGTTTTGAGTCCCTGTCCCGTTGCAGTATGACGAGTGTAACGTCCGGCCGGGAGATAACGTTCTGTTGCTGGTGGACAGCTGCCTGGCCGGGCCGGACCGTCCACCGTCCCGGGACAGTCTCACCAGTGAGGAGGACGTGGACGACAGGCACCACCGGCACTTCAGCCGCGTCCAGTCCGAGCGCAGGGGCATCGCCATGGAAACGGCAAGGGCCGACCCGAAGAACGCGGCGGGCCCTCGTCCTGCCGATCGTCCGACTGGGAGCCAGGACAAGCCCGGCCAATCCCTGTGGTCAGATGGGGCGTGTGGTACTGTACTGCAGGAGCCAAGTCGTTCCCATACCCCCCTGGGCATTGTTAACCCACAGCCACATTACACCATGGAGAGCTTCATACAGCGCTTCCAGGTGAGTTCTGATATCTGTTCTGTACAGGTGAGACCTGGCACTCTTGAGTACTGAGGAGTACATTACTGTTTCATTTACAGCACAGGTAGTAAATATTTCTTATGAACAGCTTAATATGAATCAAAACCTGAATAGTGAGTGAGTGAGTGAGTGAGTGAGTGAGTGAGTGAGTGAGTGAGTGAGTGAGTGAGTGAGTGAGCGTAAGAAACTAGAAGTCACAGATTCCACCTGTTAATCATAAGCTGGTGAGTCTAAGACAAAAGATTTTTGCATCAGAAGCAAGTTGCATCCTCTGTATCGTGTCACGGTTCATGTTCTGTCCAGCTTTTGGCAAAGTCAAGGGTGCCTATGGAGGAACTTGGCAAGCAGCTGGGGATGTTATACACCAGCATGAAGACCACAGTTGGTACCGAGAGCAGCGGCAATGTGGACGTGTTACGGGCCCTATGTGATGCAGTCAGCTCACAGGAGTGTTTTTCCGAGGTGTTTCATGCCATGGTGAAAACATTGGGTTACTCAGGTAGGGCTGCTGTATCAGCTGTTTTCAATAATAACACACTAAACCGCTAAATTTTCTTTCCTTGTACTGGAACAATTAAAAAACAATGTCATAGTTTCACTTATGATGCAGGATTTCGTGGTCTTTTCCAAGAAGGCAAGTCAGAGTCAATATGTTTATGCAAGCCGTTCGTAAATTTATTGTGAAGTCTATCTACAAACAAAATGGATTGGCTGTATTTGTACCCCACACAATACATGCATGTTGTGCTATGTTTTCATTGTACTGTAATCTCCACAGGAGAGGATGATGGGATAATCTTGTACACGGAGGACATCGTCCCTCTCGGGCGGGTTGCCGTGTCGCTGCTCCTGGAAGCAAGGCAGAGGGAAGCATGGGAACAAGGTGGGGATGACAATCTAGCAGCCATAAGCTGTTTGAGTTCCGACTGCATTTTCTCTGCCAGTTGTCTGAAAATGGCTGTCAACAAGTCCAGCAACTATTTTTTTTTGTACAATGTAGATGGGTGCATTGATGAAAGTTAGACATCCAGGTTAACAATACTTATGCTACTGGATAAATTACAGACATTTCGAGTGACATCCACCACTCTTCTTCAGCGTCTTTATGAACTAGCAGAATATGTTCTAACGTGTTGGGACATGTGTATAGAATGAAAAACCACTGAAATGCAGTGCCGAAAGAAACACTTAATCAAAAGATGTTGTTTTTCGCAGGATTCTACATGCTGTACCTGATGCATGAACACAGCATGTTGTACGACGAGCTGCCCGGCCTGAGTGATGCCTGGAGTGAGGAGGACCGATGGAGGGTGTCCAACGCAGCGCTGCAGATGTGCCTGAAGTCTGACAACGTCGGGTCGGCCCTCGAGGTGTTAAAGGGTAGAGGTGAGGAGAGACTGTCTGAAGGTAAAAATCTTATATTCCAAACCTGAAGAGCCAACCACAAACCTTTTTGCAGTGCATGTATTAGTGGTGAAAGAATGATTTAACATATTCTGTAGTGTTTGGAGAGACTAATTCCAATTTTACGCCAAAAAACAGTTACTCAAGCAACTGGATATTATTTTGGAAACGGTCAGAAGTTTCAGGTAGCATCCACTACCTTTCCTCAGTGTCAGTTTACTTTCTTATTACCTGGATGTCTAACCTTCACCGACGTAATTTCAATTTTTCCCTGTTCCAGATGACAGCTGGCAGTGTCCCCCCGAGTCTCTTGGACCTGTCTTTGAGGAACGCCGCTGCCTTCTGCAGGAGATTCTAACCGCCGTGACTCTTAAGGCAGAGAATGCCGAGGATTACTTCACCCTGATGGACACCATTAAAGGTACAGTTTCTGGAACAGACACAAAACACTAGTCATTAACTGGACGGCAATAGTTTTTGCTGTGAGCAGATGTGTATGTTAAGACTCTGTCCTAAGGAACAACAAGTAGTAGAAATTTGGAAAAATAGATGCCTTCTTGATCATATTGTATGTCATTTAGAAAGGTTCTGCCAGGGGGCACTTTTGACACAAATTGTGTAAATATATAGCGGGAAATAATGCTGTATTATAGCATATACAAGTCATATATATATATATGTATGATAACGTATGTATGCGCAGTAATAATCCATTTTAGATCAGGAAGATATAGGAGATTCCAAAGTTGTAGAATCAGTATGTTTCTTCCTTGGTTCCTTGCAGGCATGGGAGTTAATTTAGACCAGCAGTGGATGGAGATCCTGAAACAGAACCTGTCAGATGAAACGGTGAGCCTGGTGGCGCTGGTCTCTGAGCAGATGATGCGGAGAGGACTGTTGGACGTCAGGTCCAGCGGAGAGGAGGACATGAGGGAGATTATATCTTCGCTGGTTGATGTCCTGGGAAGGAACAAGCTGGAGGATGAGGCACGAAAGGTCTTCCTTCACGGCTGTCTTCAGGGGATGTACAAAATCCCCCTGTACCCTGAGGAAGGCAAGCGCTGGGACCTGTTTGTGCCCTTCGACCTGAAGGCTACGGAGATGCAGTTCTACGTGGAGCGTCACTTCCAATTTCTGGGGCACGATCTGATGAAAGGGAAGTTCGAGGGAAATCATCTCACAATAACACTCTGGCACAGCACCGCCCTGCGGGAAGAGGATGCGGAGGGCCGCACGAGATTGAAGCAGGCCCTGCAGGACGGCTTCGGGTTCAAACACGGCGTGGAGTTCATCGGTCAAGTGGTCCGAGGGTGCTTTACCGTGGTGATGTACTACAGCGCCATCCTGGGCTGGCTACAGCGCACGGACGTTGTGGTCGACGGAAGTACGTCCGGCATGTCGGACTACGAGATGGAGGAGGATTCCCCAATGGTGCCACCGCGCCCTCCCAGTCAGTGTAGCGTGGACACGCACTTCTCGTCTCTCACCAACGTGGTGAACAGGATGGCAGGGTACAACCCAGAAGGAGAGGAGGAGGACAGCCCTGGAGCAGACTCGTGCAACCCTGATGTCCTGAACCGTCTAGATACCACCGAAACCCGGGGAAAGCAAAATGAGAATGCCAGTGACAGAGGCCAAGTTGCCAACATAACTTCCTACATGGGCACAAGTGGTCAAGCAAACCTAACACAGCAGATCAGACTTAATAATAGTTTGCCATCAGCCCAGATGCACAGCTCAAATCCTGCAGTACATGTCAGGGCAGAAAACGGAGAAATGCACAACAGAAACCAAGTCTTCAACCAGCCTCGCAATGTACCCAGGCCCCATGACAACATGCAGCAATTTGGCAATAATGGCAGTCAAGTGCAGGCACAAGTCCATGATAGGAGAGGCACACAACACATATCCGAACTCCTCAGTCTCCAACTATCATCCAATTCTATACCCGCGGAGTTTAAAAGAAATCCCCAACAAACTTCCTTACTTGGAGAGTACCGCGAACCTTCCCAAGGCCCCCTGCCGAACCTTCGAGGTGTGAACCCTTCAGGAGCCCGACCACAGCTCTGCCCTTATCCACCGCCACAACAACAGCCTGGACTGCCGCGGTTTCCTGTTGCGAGGGCCATGCCACTGGTCGGGAGCCGCAAGGACAATGTTAACAACGCAGCAGGATATCACCCTGGCCGGGGTCAACTACAGGCTCGCAGAAACGACGTCAACAACCCACCAGGATTCCGCATGGGTTTACAGCAGGGCCACAGAAATGACGTCAACCCTGCAGCCAGGTTTCCCATGGGTCTACAGCAGGGTTGCAGGAATGACATGAACAATCCAGCAGGATTTCGCGTGGGTCCACAGCGGGGTGGCCAAAACGACACCAACAGCGCAGCGGGGTTTCGCATGGGTCCGCCGCACACCAACAATCCAGGAGGGCTTTACATGGGACCACAGCAGGGTCGCAGGTACCAGGGACTGCCCCAGCACAGCCAAGCAAGAGGAGATGGCATCAACAGGATGAGACAGGATGGTGGGAGAATTTGGGATACACCATCGCCTCCTCCCCCACCTCCACCCCCTCCCCTTCCTTCTCATCAGGGGTACGTCCCGGGAATGAAGTCGCCACCCAAGAGTTTCAAGACGGTGTCTCGTCCCAAGCAAGGACCGATCGACATCTTCATTCGCCGGATACGCGAGGAGATTGAGGGCCGTTTGAGGACGTGCGGGCAGATAGCCGAGGTAAGGGTGCCGCGAAGAAAGATAAAGGGAAAATGCCGGGTCAGATTTAGAGTGTAAAGTGTTGCTACATCACCTTTACACTTGCTGTTGCCTTACACTAGGTTCTTTTCAGGGTATTAACCTGCATGATACTTCCATTCGATTAGGGTTCTTGTACATTGTCCGTTTCAAGTTTCTCTCCTGGTCATTTATGCAGTCCCAACAGACCTCAGGTAGTTATGTCAGTAGAAAACTGATTCCTTGTCTTTTGTTTGGTGTTTTGGTCTGAAGGCTTATATGTTTTTACGTGACTGTTTACTGGGTTCTGAACATCATACCAAATAGTCCTGTCCAATAGTGAGTGGTAGAGGTTGTCAGAATCCTTGTTGAGGTGGTAACCTGAGGTTAGCCTTTGTCAAGCTTAGTTGCAACTTTGTGTGGTAACTCCTTAATTTTGTGATATTTAAAAAATTTTAGCCCAAATGATCTATAGCTTGAGTGGGTGCCACGAGAGCTCTTAAATTTATGCATCTATTTTCTGAGGTTCAATATTCTCCTCTTTCAACTGCTATATGCTGTTCAATCGTTCATTTCTTAACTGCATGACAATTTTAGTTTTTGTTAGCTTTAAGTCATTTCCAAGCCTTGATGTGGAGGATTTTGCATCTGCAGTAGGCAAAACACTAACAACTTTTAATGCCAATTTCTTACCCATTCATATAAAGTGAGTCTTGCTTCCTTTCTCTCTCTCTTGAAAACCTTCTTACCTCTGGCTAAAGTGTAAGCAGCAGAGGTCATATCCTTGAAATTTCCTTTCCCTGTAAAGAGATTAACTTAACAGAAAGAGACTTTCTTTTAATTTAAGCAGTGTCTTGATCATCTGTGAGTACCACCTAGTTCCTTTCCCAAAGGTGACACTTCTATTATCTTTGAAAAGCCACAGTTTTGACGGGACTACAGGAAACTTCTTGTAGTTCGTAACTAAGTTTTGTCTTTTCTGTTTGAGGTGATGAAAGATCTAAGGGTTATGGCCAAAAAGCCTGTACTACTTCTTTGGCTCATTTCTTTGGTCTCCGCAACTTTCTTCTCTTCTTATATTACCTTGAAAAGTCACTTAACTAAGGGTTGTCTTCTGTTTTGTGTGTGACGAATCTTTGATGTGCTGGGTTTGGTGAGATATGTTACCCATCATGCATTGTTGGCAAATGTCGCTGTTGTTATTAAAGTTAGCAACCGTTTTTATTTACACGAAAATGAAGACACGTGGCAGGGCCTTGACAGTCCTTAGAAATGATCTTGGGGGCCATGAATTGGCCAAAAGTGGTACAAACATTCCTTCTGTGTGTGTGTTGCTAACTTGTGTGAACATTTACAGGCTGTGGGAACAACTCCACTGCTGTAAGCCCATCCAGACGTTGGGCTCTATGTGAAGTGATATGAACATGTTGTTCCCCTGTTGTTGTTAAAGGAATATGTCTCGACTGTTGGATGCCGCCTTTTGGATCGGTTTCTTCAGGAGGAGGGGCAGGCATTGTTCCAGAGGCCACAGTTCAACATGGAGTTGCAGCGGCGTATCTTTAAATTTGTGGATTGCCACTATCGTCAGGAGTGTCCACGCTCATGGTGAACTAGCAGGGCGTCTGCCTGTCAGCTTTGTTTACCGATGTTAATTCCAGCCAGAAGGGAAGGAATTTTTGTAGAAATCTGTCAAAAACAGGCTCCAACGATGGAGGTCAAACATTATACAAAGGAGTTCTGTGAGAAGGAGCTGGTGTTCCAAAGATTTTCCCGTTGATCATTATTCTTCTGTGAACATACTTGATGCCTTTGGTTCAAGCTTGTCACAGCCAGTGCTATCCTTTCTTTCCAAACCATCACAAGTACCATCTCTATCTAAAGAAGAATTGGTAAAGCCTAAAGTGCCATATATGATACCAATAATGTCGTATCAGGATTTAGGATTCTTTTGTCATACATGGGAATGTTGACTGATGTCATTATAGTCAATGACTCGGATGCAAAGAATGGCTGAAAAGGATCATGTTATAACTACAAGGATCATGGTATAACTTACACCTGGTCTAATTTGTGTTTTGGTTAAGAAGCAAAGTTTGTTGATGGAAAAGATGACCAGGTTACAGCTACCAAGTTACTGTTGACAAAGTTGTCCTGTCTGACTTCGTGGCAGGATAGAGAAGCTAATTGATGCAGAAAGTTTGAACACTGAGGTCAGGCAGTGGTCAGGAGAAAGGACACATCCACTCTGCAGATTTACTGACTGCAAAATTTAATTTTCGTAATTTTTTTTGTTTTTTTGTTAGAGGACCAACAGCCTACAAGTCTTAAGCTGTAAACAGAGGATTGTGGAAACTTGTTATTTTGTAAGTGAAAGAATGGTGCTACAGAAACGTTAGATATAACATTACTTCTACATTAGTTTATTTTTATATAGTTAACCAGTTGCAGATAAGAAGAAAGCATGAAAGAAGAGCATATGCATGACATTTTGTTGACTTTAAGAAACTTTGTGGTTGAGGAATAATTGTTGACTTTGATAAAATTATGAAATCATGCAAGAGGGTATTAGTGTTAAATAGTTGAACCCCAAATCCAGTTCACAAGGGTAAATCAGCCCTTTTTGGCAGGTTTGGTGCATTTTGCTTTGTCAATAAGGCAATTCACACTGGACATGTGGCATTATGTGGGCTTTCAGACATATTATAGTACTAGTAGTATAATTGAAAACTGAAAGATATCTTCTGAAGTTTCAATGAAGGGCTTGATAACCGACATATTGCTATATACATGTTCATAATGCTGAATGTCAAACACATGTTGACCCCTGAATTAACCAAGACTTGGCAAGGGGTCCAATGCACTGTACCTGCCAGGTGATTTACCCACTTCAGAACAGGATTTGGAGCGCAAATTCGGATTTGTTGCTCATAAATGAAAGGCCCACTGCACTCATTTGAAATATTAATGTGCAAAATCAATGATACATAGTTTCTGATGCGTGTCCAGGGGCGGGGCTAACCTTGGCTTCCCTCAACTTACTCAAGGAGCTGTTTCGTTTGTTTCATGTTATTAATATTCATATATTACAAGCCTACTTACGTACGGAGCTGTTCTTTTGTTTCATATTATTTATATTCATATGTTACAAGTATACGAAAGCCATAAACAATGACAACGCAGCTATGCCTAACTGCTGTAGGATGTTGTTGAAACGTATTTGTGCAACAGGAATATCATATTATACGTTTGTTATTTTCTATCCATAGATAGGTTCACGTTGGACATTTTAGTCTGGTTGAAAATGTAGGAGAGGAACTCCGTGAAACAAGGTATAAAATGTATTTAGTTAGGCCACATGTGTATTTCCAAGCATCAAAGTTCTAACAGAAATCATCTATGAAAAGGCGCGTTAAAATGACACCCTAATTACCTGAAGTCACTAATAAAAAAAGGATGTTGACTCGAACAGTGGTGGTTTTCTGACTCATTAAGATTATTATTAACCTGAAGGTTTCTAATTTTGAACCGTTAACCACGAAAAGACCTCGGCATGGTTATAGGCCCATGTCATTGGAGGGTGCGTCCTTGCTACGAGAGGGCGAAAATTAAAACGATTGCAGACCGTACCATGGCCTGGTGGCATTGGCGACGTCCTTGCCACGCCTGCTCTCATCTGTTTCCAACTATAGCTTTGCGCTGTACCTGTCCACAACATATGCTTATAACACAGGAATGTTCGCAAAAAAAGCTCTGCTCTTCAGCTCGTCTTGGTTGTAAATCTAGTCAGTGTTGTGTTGCCCCACAAGATCCACTGCGAATGTACTAATGGCCAGATGTATGCATGTATGTTATAGCATTAGCTAAACATTAATATTGACCGTGTTCCTATGCAAGGTTACTGAACATCCGACGGTCAAGGATGATAGTCAACACGCGCTTGTCTAAGTACTAGGCAGAATTGACAACTTCAATGACGTGGAGATTAGCCATTGTGTTTAGGAGTAAAATCTCGAGAAGTTGCTATTTCACTCCGTATTGCTTGACCTCTGGGAATAAACGCCTGTACTGTCATACAAGTACCATCATCATACAAGTACGTCATCGCAACGCGACGTCTTTTGTAACGATGGTCAAACGCGTTTCTAGGCAGGGAAAATGTCCACAGCCCCGTTTTGAATTATTGCGAAATTACATGGTCCATTTTCCCCGCACCGTCTCCCTGTTTGAGGTATGCAGCCTTCGCCTACAGTGGAGTAGTGGGAACGCACCAGCTGGACACAGTGGGGCGGGGCCGTGGTAATTGCTCAGCAGCCCGACGTTACTACCCAACAAGAATCGGTACGCTAGCTTTGGGACCAGGGCTTGAGCGAACGCAAACTCCTACGACTGCGCTGATGCAGACCAATCTATATACGTACATACTAAATCGAAGAAATGTAGTCCATTGAAAATATTTATGAAAGACCAATAAAAAAAAAAACACGACAAATACAAACACGACATCTGTACTGCTTAGATGCACTGCAGTTTTCTTTCTTTTAGGTTAATGGATATGAAGCTGCTAAAACGTGTATGGGGCTCCAGCGAGTGTAGGGATGTTAAAAGTGGCGAAACCGGTTTTATTTGCTTCATCACGAGGAGAACCGGATTTATTTACTTTTTCGTGAGAAAACACTGTAGCGGTTCTCATTATTTCCCATGGTTTATCGTTACTGGATGTCCCCAAGAGGGATAGTTGCCAGGCAACCCGTTTGCATCTGCATGATTTTTACTACCAAATTGCCGCTGACGGAGAAGAGCCAATCCTCCAACTTGTGTGTGTGGTCATGCGCTCTGGTCACAGTTTTACGTAAAGCTCAGGGTCACAACAGAACCGTCGTTACCACGTACGTGGTATGTGCCTGCTTTCCACCGCCTGTGGACAATAGTCTGTGAGCGACGAGTAGGAATTTTTCATCAAGCAACGATGACCGAGTAAGCATGGACAGGGAGTAGCCAGACTAAACATCCACGTTAGGCACCAGGCAGAGAAGGGCAGGGCTACGAAAGAAGGGTGAGACTGTTCTGTTGATTAGCGGTTCGTAAAATTGTACGGAAGAACTTTGCCAACATGTATGGCTTACTTTTAGAAAATATTCACGACTTCTTCAAACGGGTCTATGGTGTGGACGTTTGGAAGCAGATCCGCAACCGTGGAGGCATCAAGGCAACCAGCTTTGTACTGAACCAGTCGTACCCCGAGACTTTCCTCTTGCGTCTATCTACGGCAGCATGCGAGTACACGGGAGAAACGCAGGACGATCTTATGTACGACCTTGGCATATCTCTTATAAAGTTCTACTCTCGAAGTGGATACGACAAAGTATTGCGAGTACTCGGCCGAAACATTGCATCTTTTATAAATGGACTGGATAACCTCCATGAATACTACCGCTACAAATACCCGAAGATCAAGCCGCCCAGCTTCTCCTGCCAAGAAGAGTCCAGTACCGGCATCACAGTGCGATACCGGAGCAAGCGGCCGGGCTTCCTACACATGGTGAGGGGTCTTCTCAAGCAGCTCAGCAAGCAGTTCTTCGAAAAAGATGTCAAAGTCGAAGTGATGTCAGAAGAACTCAAACTGGAATTGAACAAGGGCGTGACACTTGTACGTTATCGCATGCACTTCGACAACACAGCCCGCATGATGCCCACCTACACAATCAAGCCAAAAAAGAGCCTGGACGACATCTTTCCCGTAGAGAGCCATCATTTCTTCAGCTTGTTTCCCTTCCACATTGCGTTTGGCAGAGAGATGGTTATATTTAAGGTAGGTGACTCTTCATACATGTATTTCCCGCATGTACAGTATCCAAGTAGTAATAGTAGACGGTATGTTTGAAGAAGCCAATTGAGACGCTATGGGCTAAAATGGCTATTTGTGTATGAAATATTTTTGCACACTTAGTACATTGCATTGATATCTCGTATACATTAAGACTGAAATATCGCCATGCAAATATTATGTACAGTCGATTGAAATGTTTAAAAAAAATGAATCTGACCACTAATCATTTTGCGCACGAAATCATTTCATTTTGCATGCAAATATTACGTACACACGATTGAAAGAATTAAATGTGACATACTTACCTCGAGTGCCCTATAAGCCCGCCTAAGATACTGTGTGAGGGAAGATACCATCGTACATTTTGTTTTCTATTTAAATGCAAAGATACAAGTTAAGACTTCACCCAACGCAAACACCATTAATGCATGTCCAGTCGGTAGTAATCTGTCAAATCCTAAGTCGCTCGGTGGTCACGTTCTGTAAACACTGGACTGTGAAATAGTGTAAACCAACGGGACTCCTTTTTCTGACAGGTGGGGATGGCGTTACGAGAAATCCTGCCTGAACTGGTCGGCGAGCGTGTCAATGATGTTTTCTTTGTTGTTAGGCCACAGCATATCGAGTTTACATGGGACAATGTAAGTTTCTCTTCATCTGCATCTGGGGGTAGATAGTGTTCATTGGGGGTGGGGGTGGGGGGAACAGGCGAGTACATGAGTTCGAGAAAAGCTTAAGGGACCGAGGCAAGCTTTGACTACATTTGAACATATCTGGTCAACTATTCATATAACGTGTTGACGATTATTTGATGATTGTTGAGGGAAGATCCTCGTATCCTTACCGTTTATCAAAAGTACCACTCTTAAAATAGATTGTCATATTCTGAAAAAATAGTTACCGTTGAAGGCCTAACAATGAAAGCAAGGTTATGCCTTTCCTTATGGTAGCTTGACATCATCAAAGGATACTATATATTGCATGTGTTATCTGTACGTGTTCATCTGTGATGTTTAGAGCCATCATGTAACAGTTCCCTTCGCCTTGCCTTTCATTAATCGTGCTGTATAATGTCGAATGTTTGAATGTTTGTTCGTTGTAACATCCAAATGATGATGTCCCCAGGTACTCTTACATTCCAACAACGTGTTCGAGCTGATCTCAGACAGCCCAGGTGGAGCGACGGAACCTCGCGCTTCCCTGCAGAGGAAGCAAAGAACAGAGTCAGTCACTTCATATCACATTGCCATCTTGTTAACAGGAATGTGCTAACCTTAAAAAATGATACAGTTCCATTCAGCGAATATGCAAAATCTACTTCATAGTATGTTCATAATTATAGCATAGTTGCTGATATATTTTGATGACTTAGCAGTATACTAACGTAGAATGTCGTAGCCATTAAAACAACACTAAGAGCGGTTCTGCCCTTTGGTTCTGTTGAAGGAAAGCAATCAATCTGTAATTCATGCCCTTTTGGAATTTTGAAGGACTGAATGTGTTTGTTATGTGTGACTTTGTGATCCCCACATGTAGTGTTCAGTAAGAGCAGCAAGCCGAGAGGAGTCCGTGTGGAGAATGTGGACCCCACCACGGTGAAGGTGAAATGGGAGCCTCCCAAGTCCCTGACTCAGCAGCAGCAGATCCACGGCTACCAGGTGCGTTATCGTTCTCTCTTCATTTTACACATCCATCGCCATAAGTCACCATATTCGACACATCGTCTTATTGATATATGATAGAGTTGTTGTGAGTGCTTGCATTGTGGTATTTATATATACACACAAGTATCTGCTTACAAATGTTTTACGAGCATCGTTTATGTTCTATCGCGAATGAATCTTGACGTTTTCCAATCACAGATGAAGCGTCCTCTGATACTGTAGATTGGACGCTGTGAAAAGACCAAAGTTCCAGTCTTATTTATCAGTACACTGCTTTTATCTCTTGGCACTCATGCCCGCTCTGCCGATTCTTGCCTTGTATGTATAAATTGTTTTGTGTGTTCCTCGCAACATCACAGCCTCGTAACTCACTCAGAATCATGACAATCTTCCAAACCAATTACACATTGGCCAAGTTTTTTGAAAAAAAAAAGGAAATATTGTAATCAACTTTGCGATTAAGCGACCAGAATCATTCAAGATGGCGTCTTGAATATTGGATTTGGGTCTGTTCGATGCTAAAAGGAAGAACATGTGTTGACTCACACAGGTGTACTACCAGAAGGTGACGGAGGAAGGCGAGGCTGTGGGGGAGCCCATGAGGGCGGACGTCTGGAACGCCAAAACCACGGTAGCTGAAGCGCTGGTTTATAGACTGTCTCAAAATTTTGCAGCCTCACAGCAAAGAAACACACAATGCCATAAAAATGGAACTCATTGGGCCGCATACATTCCGAGGAAATTCAGCGTTTTGGTTTAGTCTGTTTCGATGAGAAAACCCGGAGTATTGCGAACTTCTGAGACACTCTACTACGCGTCTTTGTCTTATATCTGTCACCACCCAGCAAGCTTGATACCTGAGAAAAGCATCTACCCTTCTCTCCGAAAACGCTTTTCTATTATGTAACAGAAGAATCTTTTTTATTATTCTTGACACCCGACCTGGCCGAGCCAAAAGCAGCCAACAACGCTGATGACTGGGTGAGTTCGAAGAGTGTCCGATAATTTGTCCTTAATGATTTAAGGACACAGGACAAGACTTGTTGTGCATAGGAACTCCACAATTATTGCAGAAGTGACCGGCTACTGATAAGAAAGCTTGCCAATTAAATATAAGACACCACACTGTCTTCAGTTCATCCTACCATCCTGTCAATTATAAACGCTTTTCAGTGTTTGGCGCGTTTCTAAATCACATACCATGCTTGGTATGTCAAAGTCTTGTATGAACTTAAATGAGGCCTGCTTGGTTTGTAGTTTTATTATCCGTAGTATCAGTAGATGCTTGAAGAGACGTAGAGATGGCAGTAAATTAAATGAAATTTCGATGTCACATCTAGTATAATTGTGTAAACTAATAGACAATACAGGGTCAACTTTAAAATGAAGTCCCTTGATTTGCATGAATGTGGTACAGTAATCATCGGTCTAAATTTGGCTCGCAATTCATTGATGTTGTAGAGTGTTACCAACATTGTGTCGAATATCTAGTCAGTCTAGTAACTGTCCCTTAGGAGGTGGCGGTAGGAGGCCTAGATCCAGACGCTAGCTATGCTGTTCAAGTAGTCGGCTATACCAAGACGGGAGAGGGGGAGAGGAGCGAGGCCCAGGTTGCCTGCACCACCCTGAAAGCCCCAGCCAACATCGTGCCCGAGGTGACCAAGTTGCCGGCCGAAAACCGCGCTGCAGCTCACAAGGAGGACGGAGGGAGGGCTGACGAGGTCCATGACGACATTGCACGGCCTTTCCGTTCTCCAGGTACTGTGTTTTTAGGTACTGTATCATTATTGAACCATCTATTGACATCTACAGAACCCTTAGGAGCACGTTAGCAGAACGTAGTGCACCTGCATGTATTTAGGTACTATATTAAAAGTACATCCTGCAGATCTCTGACCTTGCTAGCAACAAGGAGAAGTGGAGGAAACTTGCAGTCGCCTGCTCTGTACCCGATCCATGATGATTGCATCTTATATTCATTGAACCATTGGCCGCCATTGATTGGCATCTACTGGCCACTTCAGTCATGTTGAAACTGCCTCGGGTCCATATCTTGTTCCCCTACAGCTGACGCCCACCCCCATGAGAGGCATCCGGTAGATGCCAAGCACTTACACCCAACTGCAGCCAACAAATCTGGTAAAAGTAAATACCTCAGCCTCAAGGGGCAGATGAGGTACGTGTCGGAGTGGAACGCGGTGCTCTTCCTGGGGACGCCAGTGTAAGTCAACCGCACTTACGTTTAATTACTCCATGCAATTATATGATAATAATAACTTGCCCGAAGGCAAATTGCAAACAAAACAAAGCAAAGCTGTTCTTTTGATATGTTTTAAAGTTTGAAACAATCAGTCATTTTAGAAGTACCTTTGAACAGGGTCTGTAGTTTGGGTTAGCTTGTGGTTTCGCTAAGTGTTTCTACCGTCACAGGATGGGCAACCTGGAGGATCTGTTCAACTACGGACTGTACCTGACCGACTTGTGTATGCACGACTGCACAAGAGAGATGATCATCAACGGTACTCAGCCTTCAGTGGAGCTGAAGTTAGCTGTTAATAAGGTAACTTATCCCCCATCATTGATACACTATTTAAGTTGTTGGAGGATGCTTAAGGAGAAGAAGAAGTAACTGAGTTATATTATCATAAAATATACACAAACCACCGGTACCTAAATGCGGCCCTCTGCAGATCGACTCTCCCACTTATTCAGTTTCATGACCTCCCAGACACGTGATGGCAGCAAGGGGTCAGGGGTAATCGGAAGTCTATACCGTCCCCATCTCAGTACTTGAGGTCGAGTCTTTTGCTCGACTCGACTGTGATCTAGCTAACTCGATATTAGTAATTCTGCTGATCGATACAGAGTCACTGCACCTGGAGATGAAAAGATTGTAAACATTTACACATAATGTCTCCAAACATTATAGGTTAATTCATTTGCCCTGGTTTTACTTTTTCAGCAAGCTGAAACCAACGACGAATTGGGCGAACTTGTCCTGAGGATCGACAAAGAGAAGAGAAAAGCTGATGAACTTTTGTACAGTATGATTCCGAGACCCATAGCCGAGAGGCTCAGGAACGGAGAAGCTGCTCTCAATACATGTTCGGTAAGATCTGTCACCAAGTTATCAGTGGGTTCATAAAATAACGTTTTTGGTTCGTACACACACTAATAGTTTACCATTATCTCACCTCAGATTGAGAAATCACCTATTTTGTTTCCACTGTTAGATATTTCACGAGGTCAGCGTCCTGTTCGCGGACATCGTCGGGTTCACGGACATCTGCCGTAAGGTCAGCCCCATGGAGCTGGTGACGCTGCTCAACGAATGTCACACGCTCTTCGATGACCTTGCTCAGCAACACAATGTCTTCAAGGTGGGTCATCAATTTGAAGAAAGATTGTGGTAAGGCCGTAAGGGTATTAATGGATAGGTTGAAAACTCAGGATCTGTCCAGACTGCAGATAAGTAGTAGGTATTGATATTGATGATACGTAGCTGATTTGTCGTACCAGATGTATCATTGCTTGGGAATGGGCGTAATTGTGACAAGAAATCGGAGATTTCAGCCACCCAAAACTTAAGTACTTCCGTACTCGGAAGTAATAGTTTAAACCAGAGCAGACTTGCCCTAATTAATCCACAAATGAATGTGTGTGGTTTGCCTTTCTCTAGGTTGAAACAGTGGGAGACGAGTACATGGTAGAGAGCGGTGCTCCCATCCCGAACGAGAGCCATGCGTTTGAAGTGGCTGACTTTGGACTGGATATGATGAAATCTCTCAGCACTACGAAGAACCCATCGACAGGAGACCCTATCAAAGTCAGAATAGGTCAGTGAGTGAACATTGACAAATATTACAAATCACTGTTTTTCAACATTTTAAAGTTGCTACTTTTGTCACTGATACTATATCAAAAACGTTGTATGTGGATATGTGCACTATACAAGCTATTCGGTATGGGTAATACTTGCTGACAGTTATCTTTCGATGTTTCGGTTGAAGGCATGAATACTGGAACTGTAGTTGCCGGGGTGGTGGGACTCAAAGTGCCGAAGTACTGCCTGTTTGGAGATGCAGTTAATACAGCATCGCGGATGGAAAGTACAGGGTTGGTGAGTATGGTATTCATTTTTTTGTATTACTATCATTGTAATAATTATCAATGACCTATAGGGTTTCATGACATCTAAGCTTTACAGCTGTTCGTGCAATCTAGGCACCTGTTGCAACTATTCATAAGACGCAAGATATAACACTGCATGTAGTACGTCCATTGAGAGAAGTATTAACATGGTGAATCTATTCATTCCCAATTGCAGCCCATGCATATACACATCTCCGAGGATATGAAAAAGTGCCTGAAAAAGGCATACATCATAAAAGAGAGAGGAGTTGTCACCGTAAAGGTAAGATTTGTTCGATATCCACAAGTCATTTTACGTCAATACATACATAATACAGCTATTTATTTATACTTCACATCAATGTAATGTAAAATCATATTTCAACTGATACCACTTTTAAATAG